TGGTTTACTTCATAAGATTTATTCACTACAAACTTGTATATATATATATATACATATATATATATATATATATATATATATATATATATATATATATATATATATATATATATATATATATATATATATATATATATATATATATACGAGCGATATTTAATGAACATTAATTTCTTATCGAAAGGTAATTCATGCATGCATGCCAAGACGTCATATATATATTACCCTGCAACTAGTTTTCTTCAGCATGGATAAATTATTTGTAACTAAACAAGACAATATATATGTCCAAATAATCAGATAAATCCATATTCTGTATGAAAGTAGAGATACATGTTCAACAATTTCCGCGTTCTTCGAAGTGGTTAAATAGAACCACCTAACTTTCGCTGTGTTCGACTGTTAATACATATTAGTATAATTGCATAGGTGATGAAACGCGCTGATTGGTTGCCATTGAGATGATTATAACACGATAATCACCTAAGCGATTTTCGAAATGGCAGCCGAAGCCGTTTTGTCAATTAAATGACGAAGATTTGTGTATTTTTCATTTTTTTCCAAATAATCATGTATGAAATTATACTAAAACAATTATTCACCTTCGTCTCGGTTTTTATTCACCGATAATCATCTCGCCTTCGGCGAATAATTGTTAATTAGTATTTGAAAATATGTTTCAATTATTTTCTTTGTCAAGAGTATTTCTTGTTTTCAGAAATTTAAAAAGACTCATAAAAATGTATGAGGAAATCATATATAATGTTAGTTTACATATATTTTAACTTTGATTTTGTCGACGGTTTAGGCCATTTTTAATTAAATTCACTTCACCAATGAAATCATGGGTCGTCCTTGTATGTATAGGATAAACACCGACAACGGAGTCTTTGAGCCAGATATAGCCTAAATAGAGTCTGGTTGAACACGTGAACTTTAGATGCGTTAAACAGGAGCGTAAATCCCTGGGGGGAGGGGCTCACTCCCCCACCCCCGAAAGTTTCAAATCGACAGTTTTGTGGGAAACTCATTAATTCGTCATGGGAAAACCAAACAGGTGTTTTGAAGAGAATTTAAATTTGGGAAGTTAAACGTAAAAAAATACGACATTACGAAACTGGTAGCAATATAAAAGTTAACAGAAATGATGTACTGCCATTTGCAGTAGTCGAATGTGAATTACATGCACTTCTGGTTAATTTCCATTCAGTATTAAGTAGTATGACGATGAACGCTTTCAAATATTATGATCTATTGATCTTGAACTTGTACGTGTTTACGTTAGGCGGATACGGCAGATACAAAACGCAGTTTGTAGGTTGGAATTTGGCAGGTCCCAATTTTGCAGGTTGGAAATTTGCAGGTAGCGAGGAATTTTGCAGGTTGATCATGTAAATTTAAAATTACATCACTATAAACTATTCTAGTAATTTAATTGTGTACTTAATGCAATTTGACTTCTTGTCCGCGCTTTTGATATCAGCCTATATATCCTGCTGCCATGATCCTAGCCTTTGCTCTAAGAAGTGGCCATCACCCCTGTGAAAACATTCAAAATGAACCAGATTGGCTTGGACCTACAGGGAGACGAGTGTCTCGTTGCGAGGCGCCTATATGACATCGCAGCGGTTCAGAAAATGCCCAAGTGAGATGTCTCCACTCTGCACCGATTTACAAGATTTACCGTATGATTAGTCGAGATTTACCGTATGATTAGTACTCCAATTACCGTATGATTAGTCGAGAATGTCAGTTAACTTTTAACAACATTGTAGTAAATTTACATTAACCTTGTCCCTAGGCCTGTACATGCTAATGCTGCTCTTCTTGTGGTCTTGGAACACACTCTAAGTCACTTCGCAGCCACTCCTTCTGAAGTTTCTGTGCTTGTGCCTCGAAGCAGAATTGAACCTGGAAATTAAACTTCTATTTCCTATAAATTAATGTTGGGACTATGGCCACTGAGGCTAGGAACATGGCAGCAGGATTGGCTGATATCAAAAGCGCTGACAAGGATTCAAACTGCAATAAGCACACGTCAATTACATTACTAGAATATAGTGGCGTAATTTTAAATTTACATGATCAACCTGCAAAGTTCCAGGCAACCTGCAAAATTCCCAACCTGGAAATTTCCAACCTGCAACCTGCATGATGTACCTGCCGCACACCGGCACAACTCCACTTTAATTGGTTCTTTCTTGACGTGCGAGGAACTGAAATAGGTACACCTACCTGTAAATAGCCATACAGCATAAATCTTATCATTCAGCATTTTTGGGTTGTACACGACTTATCATGAACCAGTTATTGTTATGTTTGAATTATCCCCGAGCCGACGGCGCGAAGCGCCGTGCGAGGGCACTAATCCCCCCGGCTATTTACACCCGGAGAAACGAAAGCATTAGCGAAGTCAAAAGTTCATCAATCATCGCGGGCGTGGGTCACCAACGGTGTTGGAGTATTGTGGGTGTGGTCATCCTCACTGATCTCAAAAATGTGGCGGACTGTCACGAATAGCGGACACTGATTGGTCCAATTAAAATTTGCATTATAACGACTGCATGACGGCTACTACTAAAAAGCGATACAGCGATACAACGATACAGCGATACAGGAACCGGAACCTGGAACCGGAACCTTGGAGCCGTGCATAATTTATGCAAATTAGAGCATTTTGCATAAAAAAAATATACATAATAATATTTTACAGGGGGGGGGGGAGGGCGCAATTCAATGATAATATACAAGACTATATGCAAGGCATTTTGATTTTTAAACAAAACAAAGAATGAACATCGTTGTAGCACTACATAGTAAAACATGTTTCGTAATTGCGCTGCCATTCTTCTTGTCTGTTTTGATATAACTGCATATGACGCACTTAGTTTATTTACTGGCCGCCGCGCCCGCACTTGATTATGAAATCTCAGCAGACAGAGAAAGAAACCACGGCATGCAAAGGTTATTAAGCCGTGTAGCAAAGCACAGAACACGTCACAAGTAATATACAAAATTATTCTGGTTATAAATAATATATGGTAATTATACAAACTATGTCTTACGTCATCTATAACGACTCTGAATGCCATACGCCAAAATGATGTACGTTTTTGGCTTTTTATCCGTCTGCCATAGCGCCAGTTTGCCAGAGCGCCGGCGGTTTTGCCAGAGCGCCAGTTTGCCAGTTTTGCCAGAGCGCCAGTTTTGCCAGAGCGCAAGTTATTATGTAGATATAGTTCCATAGTTACTGTTGCTTTAATGCGACACTAAATCAGTAGCTAAATGACAGTTAGAACACTTGGTGATCAAAAGACAGGATAATATTAGATATGTAGAGTTAATTATTTTGTATATAAGTTATGTTATGTATGTAAATATCTTTCAAATTAGAAGTGTTGCATTTTTATAGCATGGCTTCCTTGCGAAACGACTAATATTAAGAAAGGCACAATATTCATGAGCATAGCGTATCAACAACTGGCGCGCATATTTCCCGCTAAAAATTAATTTACGCAGTTTATGCTAGCCTGCATGCGCGCAGTCTTATGACTTCAAAACGATGTCGATATCATGAGACTGCGCGCTGGCTAAGTTTATACAGTATGCTACCAATTTCAGCAACAACTCTTGTTTTTAATAACCCACTGAAATGATACACAAACGCGGTCGTACAAATCTTTACATGTCACATTATTTTGAACGTTGCATATAGTTTTACCAGTGGATGTATAAATGCATATGACCGTGATATGATTTATGTTTTAAAACACTACAAAGGTCAAAGACAAGATGTATGTGGAAGTATATAAATGTCAGCTTTCATTAATAACCTTATTGAGTGACACGTTACGCGCATAATACTATATAGCACATTAAAATATTAATTTAACATGCTTAATAGCTTTACACAAAATGACTGAAAATTAAATGAATATATTTTCGTGAAGTTGAACTATTCAAAATATTTCATTATTGTTATGTTACTGATAATGTTTGATTAAATGCGTGATACTTCAAGTGCCACATTACCGGCTCGTTGTTATCGCAGTTCTGCTTCAGGGCAGGTATTTTGAATTTCGACTCTCTGGTTTAGAAATATCAAAGTATTATAACAATATTTCCTCAACAAATATGAGCAATAGACAAAGACAATAACTTGTTATGTAAGATGGTGTGATCATATATACAGTAATAAATCTTTCATATGCAAGACAAACTGACAAAGGTCGCATAACAAACCAGATTGAACGCAAGAGCATGTATAGTCTAGTAGTAGAATTGCAATTTTAACTTAATCGTAAATCGCAATATATTTCAGCATATTTTCTTTTGCGTCAAAGTAATTTCTGTTTTAATTCTCTGAAACAAAGCAGTACGCTTAGTTAAGTTCAGTATACGATATGGTTTGAAAGGCAAGCAGCGAATTTCTTTACTTGCCACTGGCAAAACTGGCACTCTGGCAAAACTGGCGCTCTGGCAAAATTGGCGCTCAGGCAAAACTGGCAAACTGGCGCTCTGGCAAAACTGACTAGCACTTTAGTAAACTGGCGCTCTGGCGAAACTGGCGCTCTTGCAAAACTTGCGCTCTGGCAAAACTGGCGCTCTGGCAAAACTGACACTCTGGCAAAACTGGCACTCTGGCAAAACTGGCGCTCTGGCAAAACTGACTAGCACTTTAGTAAACTGGAGCTCTGGCGGAATTGGCGCTCTGGCAAAACTTGCGCTCTGGCAAAACTGGCGCTCTGGCAAAACTGACACTCTGGCAAAACTGGCACTCTGGCAAACTGGCGCTCTGTCGAAACTGGCACTCTGGCGAAACTGGCACTCTGGCGAAACTGGCGCTCTGGCAAAACTGGCAAACTGGCGCTCTGGCAAAACTGGCACTCTGGCAAACTGGCGCTCTGTCGAAACTGGCACTCTGGCGAAACTGGCACTCCGGCAAAACTGGCGCTCTGGCAAAACTGGCAAACTGGCGCTCTGGCAAAACTGGCACTCTGGCAAACTGGCACTCTGGCGAAACTGGCACTCTGGCAAAACTGGCGCTCTGGCAAAACTGGCGCTCTGGCAAAACTGGCAAACTGGCGCTCTGGCAAAATTGCCGGCGCTCTGGCAAACTGGCGCTATGGCAGATGGATAAAAAGCCAAAAACGTACATCATTTTGGCGTATGGCATTCAGAGTCGTTAGTAGATGACGTAAGACATAGTTTGTATAATTACCATATGTTATTTATAACCAGAATAATTTTGTATATTACTTGTGACGTGTTCCGTGCTTTGCTACACGGCTTAATAACCATACTTTTTAGCCATGGCGATCTGTGGCTAAAAAGTATATCAGATTTTACTATACTTTAGCCACGAGGGTCTGTGGCTAAAAAGTATATCAGATTTCACTATACTTTTAGCCACGAAGGTCTGTGGCTAAAAGTATGCCAGATTTTAGTATACTTTTTAGCCACGGCCGTCTGTGGCTAAAAGGTATATCAGATTTCACTATACTTTTAGCCACGAGGGTCTGTGGCTAAAATGTGTACCAAACTGATACTATACCTGATTCGCATCGGAGCGACATCGACTTTACAGTTTCAAAGTGAGTTCGGCACTTTAAACTATGATTATATAGCAAAATTAAACAACACAACTTCAAATAGGAAAAGTTTTAAGAGCATACGAGACTGAAAAACACCTAAAATTGAAGTCGCTTGCATACGAATCCGGTATAGTGTAACTGGGGCCTAAGACTCTGTATACACGATACCGGAAAAATTTTGGACTGGGATGAAATTCGTTCTTTTCCGCCTGTTTACGCTGGAATTCGTGCAAATACGTGCAAATACGTCCGGTTCCGCGTGGTTCTCGTGTAAACGGTAGTCATAATATACAACAGTTACAAGTTGGACAATTTCAATAAAACAGGACTAACATATATTCACCTGTATTTTAGAATTTCACTACCTCTAGCCTAGATAACCTAATCATTAACATTATAAGCTAAAAATATCTCAATTCCTAAAAATCACTAATTTGCTAACCCAGAGAAGCCTACGATCATATATAACCAGTTGCACGACGATCCTGTGAGCAAACAGACCTGAAAAGTGTGAAATTTGACCGCGTACATAAGTCATGACGCCATTAACAACAAAGTATGCTTGACTGTATTTTTGTTACATGTCTCAAATGACTGATAGAGGATGATTTGCACTACACAACGTTTGGCTAAAACTGTCGCATGCAACCTGTTCACAACTTGAGTTGTACTGTGTAAATCAAGCACACAGCTCGTCTACGACAACGTATGTAAGTTGTGTGCTTGATTGGCACAGTACAACTCAAGTTGAAAGCAGGTTGCATGCGACAGTTTTAGGCAAAAGTTGTGTAGTGTAAGTTGGAATTGAAATTGTTCCTCAATCTTGGCAAATGTACGTTCCTTAGGATTTCGACATTCCGCCTTTTTCCAGGTCTGTAAGCTAATGGACCTTTGCTGTTTATTTCACTTTCGCCCCAATGGCCATATTTTCATCAGTTTGCCCCGTTTTAGCTTACACACGTAAAAACGCGCAAGTTGTCACAAGTCTGCAAACAAGTTGTAACAAATCTGTTCGCAAGCTGTCAACAAGTTGTCTTCGCACTGCTTGTTCCCAGTTGTTGTAACAAGTTTGGAACAAGCTGTTAACAAGCTTGATACCATTATCAGACTTGTCTGACAAGGTTGTTCTAACAAGTCTGATGCAATCATGATGAACAAGAATGTTACAAGGTTGACGACACAAGGTTGAAACAATATTGTTACATCACGACTGTATCGGACTTGTTGAAACAACCTTGTAAACAAGCCTGATAATAACAACGAGGTTGTTACAAATTGTTAACAGCTTGTTTCAAACTTTGTTGACAACTTGGGACAAGCAGTGCGAACACAACTTGTTGGCGGCTTGTTGGCAGACTTGCTAAAAGTTATATCCCCATGCTTGATGTTTCGTGCACGCATATGTTTCTCTTTGATCTTCATCACAATCACAAGCCTCTCTTTAGCCCTATTCTCCTGTACACACGTAAAAACGCACAAGTTGCAACAAACCTGCAGTAGACTTGTAGCAATGCTTTTCCAACAACTTGTCAACAAGATGTGTTCGCACTGCTTGCTTCCAGCTTGTTAACAAGTTGTCCACGGCTTGTTGACAACTTGCTACAAGGTTGTTGAGTTCGACAGACTTGTTACAAGTTGTTCCAACAACTTGCTATCGTCCTGCAATTCAACAATTTGTCAACAAGTTGTGAGTGACAACCTTGTAGCAAGTTGATGAAATAACATGATTGTTACAACTTGTCGACAAGCTTGCTACAAGCCTGTTGCGAACACATCTTGTTGACAAGTTGTGAGATTTTTACGTGTGTAGATGGGTGTCAGTCAAGTGATGCGTTTAGCGCTTGGTGGTCAACAAGTATTGATCTTGTGATTAGTACCAAATATATTATTATGCAATTTAACGAAATTTACTTGCTTCCACAAGGCATAAAGTAGCCAGCAGAGCTTTGGCCGTATTTCCAGGGGGAGCTTGAAATACAAGGGTGGGTAGTAGCGAAGTAATTGTAGTTCGCTACTGTAGCGAACTACAATTTTCAAGTAGCCAGTAGTTTTTGACTACTTTTATAAAACAGTAGCTGTAGTTATAGCGAACTACATTTTTCCTAAAAGTAGCCAAGTAGTTGACTACTTTTCGAACAGAAAATCGCTATTCGCTACTTTTTAAAATTATTAGCAACTTGATAGAATAGCATGATATTGAGACACGGTTTGCTTAGAATCAATACTCAATTGTCAATTTGCACTCTTGAACACTGTAGTTCACTAGTTCTTACAAACATGTTGCTTTGTGTTTATTGTTGCTACTCGTAAGTCGATTTGTTATTGGTTACATTTCAGCGTGAGTTAGTAGATGCTCCAAATACAGTAAAACTAATTAAAAAATATAGCGTAGCGAAATAGCGAAATAGTTCGCTACATTTTTTAAGCAGTAGCTGTAGTCAGTAGCGAACTAGCTTTGTTCAAAAGTAGCAGTAGTTGTAGCTGACTACATATTTTTGAAGTAGCTGTAGTTATAGCGAACTACAAAAATTCTGTAGTCAACCCACCCTTGTTGAAATACGGCCAAAGCTCTGCTGGCTAGGCATAAAGCGGCAATATGTGCAAAGTACGTTGACCACCAAGCATTTCCCTATTGTATAAAGCCTGCTTCACACTAGCAATTCGATCTGTCGGCGATCTTTCTCCTCCTGGCAAATGTGATCGAATGAATGACATGCAAAAGACTTAGAATTGTTTACTTCTGAAAAGCGACTCGATACTTTTGTGTGGAGTTCACTCATTTGCATCCGTCAGAAACACAAAATTGCTGACAAATGTCAAAATTGTTAGTGTGAACCACGCTTTAGTCTTGAGTGAAGTTAACCCACCCATTGAGCACGAAACATGATAAAATCACTGCATAAAGTAATAGAAAAGGATGCAATAAGCAGTCAGTCTTATTGTCTCTGCTTGTCATGCAACATGCTTCACAACTGTTTTCCGATTTGCGTGCAAAATGTTTTGTTACTTTTGTACAAGTTAAGTAAATAGTCTATAACTAGTGCATTCTGTTCTTTATGATTCTCTCTCTAAAATATACACCTGGGGGCGGTTTTTCAAAGGTGGTTTAGCGCTAACCTTGGGTTAACTTTAACCTGCTATTTTAGTTTGTGTGTTTCTGCACGTCTGTTTATTTCAAATCTTCAGAGAAGTAAACTCCTATGGATCCAGACAAGATCTCTGAAGAAATAGTTCCAAATTTATAGACCAACTGTCAGGAAGTAAATTGCTTTGAATTTTAGACTAATCTAGGGTTAGGCTAACCCAGCTTTGAACAACCGGCCCCTGAAACTGTACATGCATGTGTTTATGGCAATACTTCGATATATTATTTTACAGTGTCTTTCAGTTCTGCACTGGGTGATTGCACGTAAAGTTGCATGGTTTCTACCATAGAAAATGTTATTTATTCTATTGCGTCATTTTATGACGTCGTCATGGGTTACGTCATTTTATGACGTAACTGCATGGCCTCGCTACTTGACGTACTACTTGACGTGATTTTTTAGCCGATGGCGTTTACGCATACAACACGTGAAATTTCAAATTCATCACGTGTCTACTTCGTGATCATGCCGTGGGTTTGTCACAATGGCTGTAGTCGTCAGACTAGATTCGGAGCTTTCGTGATCGTCCGAATTGCCTTCGGAGTCCATCGCCTTAGCCTCATCGGGGAAGGTGAATGCTGCCACTTCGTTTGAGAGGGAAGTTTCCAGGGGGGAGTGATCGGGTGGGGTATCTTCAAGGTGGAATTGTTCGGACGGTGTGCGCTCATTGGGCACGTTGTCCGAAGGAGTGTTTTGTCGCTGCGAATGCATTCTCTGTAGGGTCGGATAGGGTGGTATGATGATATTTGGGGATGTCGGAGGTGTACGGCCAACTATCACAGGGGATAATTCTATATGTCCATCACTGTACCTTACGATTTCGGCATTCACTATCTCGGCGTTCACAATATGTCCTCCGTGTGTCGTAGAAATTGCCGATGGCGGTCGCTCCATTTCGTACGTCTTGTTCTTATCTCTGTCGAGAAAATGTTACAATATTTAAAAACTGTATGATGAAATGAATATTTGAACAGATCTCTAGGCTTGCACTTATTAACCCGTATATCGAACCTACTGATATAAAGACAGAGTCTTGTAGTTTGTTAATGTGTTTACTTTACATCCATAAGACTATGTTCTATATACATCTACTAATACGAAAATTTGTAGAACTAATGGACATTACTCAAGGACAAACGGTTAAATTTGGATGAATTGTGGTTAAATTTGGATGAGAAATTAGCAAAACTTTGTCTTGCTTTACGGGACAGAGTAAAAGTCAAATTGTAGCTCGTTTAGTGTTTTCCGCTTCTTTTTCGTCTGATAATTCTCTTAAACCGCTGTTAGTTAACGTAGCGAATCTCGCCATTGTTTAACCCATTGAGTGGCAGCAGTCTCCATTTAACGAGTAAAATCGTCTGGCGTTAGAGTAAAATACTAAAGTAGAGTGCATTGCCATTTAAAGGGTTAATTGTAGCGCCATAGCGTCGCTCTTCTCATGTGCCGAACGCATTAAAAACAATAGATAATCAGCTGAAATGCCTCATTGTCTATTGTTTTGAATGCGTTCGGCACATGAGAAGCGCGACGTTTGAAACAGGCCTAAGATGTTTGTGCCGTATTCAGTTTTGTACTTGGTCAATCTTACTTGACAAATTGCTTTACAATGAAGAGTAAAGAACCTTTAAACACTTACGATAGCCCGCAGACGAGGATAATGATAACGACAGCCATAAACAACGCCACTCCGCCAAGAACAAAATTCAAAATGAGGTGAATTGAAGCTGAAAGGAACAGAGAGAATGAATTGCAATGTCAAGGAGCGACTTGGCCAGGCCTGTACACGTAAAAGTTGCTCAGCAACTTTAAATTTTGGTATCTCGGGTTCAATTCTCATCGAGGCCAAGCAAACATTTTAGCTTGCCTGGTGTGGACGTGACACACTCACGCCCGTATTCTAAAAGCTGACTCGCACTCAATGAGTGGACGTTCAATCTGAGCTTCTCTTGAGTGTCAATGCTGTTTTTGAATAGCTGGAGGGTGAGTAGTCACATAGTAAATTACTATGTGACTACTCACCCTCCAGCTATTCAAAAACAGCATTGACACTCAAGAGAAGCTCAGATTGAACCTCCCAAAAGTTGCTAATGCTAATAATACGACTCCCAAATGCGCATGCTTCGACTCAATAAAACCACAACAGATTCCCATAACAACTACAGCCACTTCACTCAAATATAAGATCACATGTTTTCCGAACTGACAATCCAAACTTGCATGAAGCCCAAACCCGCGCACCTTCTCCGCTACAGCCTACAGCTAGGGGAGGGACAATGGGAAGGGCAGATGCTTAGTTAGATTAACTTCAGCGATCAAAATGGGGCGCTCCTGATCGCAAAATTTTTGGGGGCCCTTTTGGGCCTATCTACAAACAGAGCTAAATTTCAAAACTTGCTTACAAAGTTGGTTTGTGATGTTGCTCAGGACTCACGCCCGTATTCTAAAAGCTCACTCACACTCAATGAGTGTGGAGGTTCAATCTGAGCTTCTCTTGAGTGTCAATGCTGTTTATGAATAGTTGGAGGATTAGTGTCGTACTAATCTATAAGTAATGAAATTGAACCTCCACACTCATTGAGTGTGAGTGAGGCTTTTAGAATACGGGCGTGAGTCCTGAGCAACAGAAACCAACTTTGTAGGCAAGTTTTGAAATTTAGCTCTCTTTGTAGATAGGCCCAAAAGGGCCCCCAAAAATTTTGCGATCAGGAGCGCCCCATTTTGATCGCTGAAGTTAATCTAACTAAAACATCTACCCTTCCCATTGTCCCTCCCCTAGCTGTAGGCTGTAGCGGAGAAGGTGCGCGGGTTTGGGCTTCATGCAAGTTTGGATTGTCAGTTCGGAAAACATGTGATCTTATATTTGAGTGAAGTGGCTGTAGTTGTTATGGGAATCTGTTGTGGTTTTATTGAGTCGAAGCATGCGCATTTGGGAGTCGTATTATTAGCATTAGCAACTTTTAAGGTTACAGAACACCTTTCCTTTGAGTGTTAATTTTGCCTAAAAATTTTTTATTGGTTTCCATGAAAGCATTAGATTAGTTCTACTATCTGACCAAGTTTGAACAAAAAAAGTTGAAAACTCGCAGAGTTATTTATTATTCGCTTGCAGTAAGAAAAACATTGAAAATCCGGAAGAATTTTAAGGCAATTAGTGATTTTCAAACGAGTTGTTCTCCTGCGGGTTTTAACGAATTATTCTCAAATTTTCACAGGACATAGATAAAGACGTCAGTTTCAAAATGTGTTCGGCTTTGTTCTAATTTTGGATATTTTAATAAAAAGGAGCAATTCACTCAAACGATTCAGAAATATATTGTAGTCGTCAAAGGAATCGCCATATCAGCGGAATGACGAAATAAACAAAAATTTCCGAACACAATTTTTTAGAACAACTATTTTACTGTATAAAAATGATATTTTCATAAATATATCTTAAAACCAGCCGGAACATAACTCAAAAGCGTAAAGCTACCGCGATTTAAGATTTTCCTGAATAATTCTTACATTATTTTATTGTTTATTGATGAAAATCGGACTGATTTTGAGCGCGCAGTAGCGATTTTCCACAAAACGCCAAAAAGGGTGTCCTGTAACCTTAAGGTTTTCCTTAAAATAAGGAAGTTTGTATAGTTTCAGGGATGTTCTAGGGAATTGTTTTAAGGATATTTAAAGTATTTAAATCTTTTTAGTGTCGAATATTTTGTCGTGAACGTCGTCGTGAACTTCGTTCTGAACGAAAGCTGTAAAAAAAGGACGGGATATAGTTTTATCTCTCGCTGGAAAGACACGTTTTGCAGTAAAATACAAAAATGGCCACTTACTGCCTTTGTCTTCCGCCTTGCATAATGGCACCTTTTCTCCAACATCCCCCGGGGTTGTTGGTTTCATGACTTGATTTCCTTTTTTCGGTTCAGTTTTCCGGGGGGTGCGAACCTTCGGGACTGTCTTCGGGCGAGGAGCTTTTGTAGGTGCGGGTAGCTTGCCAGCAATCAGGTGCATCTCCCTGAAAAGTTCGAGCGGTGGCCCGCATTTGGGCATTTCATAAACACAATCCTCTGTAAAGAAAGATTATCAGAATATAATTAGGGATACTCAGGAATTATTCGCCAAAGTCGAGGTAAATAAGCAACAATTATTATAAGCATAATTTTCATTGGTTGTTACCAAGTTTTTTAAGTCTATGTGCTCCTTGTATAAAGAAGTTATTAAATTCACGTACGATTTTCAGTCAAAAGTACAAAATGTCGTAAAAAATTTTAAATTGCTAATACCTGCCGTCGACTACACAGGTAAAACCGCACAAGTTGTTACAGGTCTGCAAACATAAGTTGCTACAAATCTGTTCACAAGTTGTGTTCGCACTGCTTGTTCCCAATTGTTGAAAAGTTTTAATCTGAAGTTGTTAATTTTTTTAAAACAACTTGTAACAAGTTTGATGGCGTCATCAGACTTGTTACAAGGTTGTTCTAACAAATCTGATACGGCCATAATCTAACAAGAATGTTACAAGGTCGACGACACAAGGTTGTAACAGTATTGTTACATCATGATTGTATCGGACTTGTTGGAACAACCTTGCAACAAGTCTGATAATATCAACAAGGCTGTTAACAAGTTAAGTTGTTCCATGCTTGTTGTTGACAACTTGGCCTCGGGACAAACAGTGCGAACACAACTTGTTGCATAGCAAACGTGCTATGTATAAATCTTTATTAAAATATTAAAAGCAACACCTCACAACAAACGTGCGGGCTTACAATTTGCACTTACTTATCAATAATTATTATACTAATTTCTGAATTAGTATTGATTAAAATACCATTATTGTAATGTTTAATGAAGTTCCTAAGAAGTTAATTTCTAATTTAAAAATATCATATGAAGTTAAAAAGACATCTATTAACGAACACTCTTTTAAACCTTTCTGTTCGAACTCTCGGTAGTTCATACTCATGTCCGCGATTGCGTAATTCCAGTTGACGACTAGGAGGCAGCAAAACTTGTAGGGCATGGTTGGGATCCGTAGTTATTTTCTCCCATAAATCTCTGTCTTTATTGTTTAATATATCAACAATCGATACCTGATACATAAGATATCCATACTTATATGCACGTTTTAAAAGTTTATCTACTTGACTAAGATACTTAGAATACGACGCACATCCCCAGACCTCTATACCAAAAACTATTATTGATAAAATAAGACTATGGAACAGAAGATCCAGCTCTTTCCTAGAAAACCCGTAGTATTTGCAAATCCGAATAATGTACATTCTGCTACAGGCTTTACTCATTAATTCATCTAGATGCATGTCCCACATGGAAGGATTCTCTTGAAACGTTACACCATTCATTGTGTGAGATTTTTGCATGTGTAGATAATGTTTCACGCCACTATATAGTTTGCATATCTCGATTGATTCGGAATAGTGAATGGTATAAATTCCCTTACCCTTGCTCTGAACGCAAACATATATATGTAATTTCATGTGATGTTTTTCGCAGCTCCCGTCTTTTCCACTAACTTTGCGCGTTTTTAGTTCAGGTTGTTCCCCGTTACTTGTGGCTATAAACAAAAGATGCAATAAAACCGATGAGCTCACTACAATAGTTAGACTCTTAATATAATCCAGTGCCAGTTGCTATTCGAGCCATTTTAAGACTGGTTTACACTATCAAAGTTTCTGTGATCCATGTCCAGAAATCACGGACATGATTTATTCTTCTTCCTTTGTAAGAAATGTTTCAGGGAATAGCCTTTCTCACGATGACGAATATCCGCCATTTTTGGGCGGCATCTATAATTCTTATTAACCAATGCAGACAAGAAAGAAAGAGAGAAAGGGTAATTGACTAAGTGTTAAACACGGAGTCGGTTGCTTCAAACATTTCTTACAAACCTTCAAAACTTGGAATTGACCTGTGCAAAATACCTACTGTAATCACAGAAACTTTTATTGTGTATAAAGCAGCCTTTAAGGTCTGGTCAAACGGGGATATGAGAGTGGATGAGAGTTGGTAGTCACGCGATCTTGGTTAGCTGTTCTTAATGCTTTCCCAACACTATCATGTACTCTGTTTAAGTTAAAACATAGTTGGAACACTCATCAAACTTTTAGTTTGTTAATCTAGAGCTTGAAATATCCACTGAAAAGCAGTTCGTGACTATATCAGCTCTCATCAACTTTCATTCTCGAGAAATTGCAGGGCCATGAAAATTCATGTAAGTACATTACTAGAAACCCCCTACCCATTTTACCCCATCTCAAACATCAATTATACCCCACATTCCGGGAACGCGGAACTTATATTAGAATATCTAGGGTAATACATTTTTGTCAATTTGGTATTCCTACAAGAATCTAGGTTAAGGCTCTCGAAAATTTTATTTAAAACACATCGTTACTATTTTGATCTTCGCTTTTATGCTTTAATTATCCTTTAATTATAGGCTGTCTTTAGCGCACAGACTCTTGTCGCCACGAAAAGCCTTTCAATATCAATCTTATATAACCGCCATTGTTTCATGCGCATGCGAACAATCGTCAAAAGTTTTAGTTGTTCTAAACAATGATTTAATTGTCTAATGATCGCTCATACACTCAGACCAGGAGACGCTTTATAATCACATGGGTATATTTTCCCGAACACCGCAGCGCGCTATACTGTATAATGAAACAAGGGTTGAATCAATTAACAAGAGTTGGCAAGCGAAAGTTTGCCTGAGAGCTTTATAAACTTCATGCCCCGGTCAAACGGGAATAAAACCACAGTTGGTTGTGTGCACGAAATGTTAAATGTTAATATAACAATATTAAACATTTATCTCACGTCAAGGCCATCTCTTGTTTGCCAAAACCAGGGACGCCGGAAGTGGGGGGGCAGGAGGGGCAGCCTCCCCCGTTGCCCTTTACCAGGAGGGGCAAGGGGGGCAAAGGTGCCCTTTCAATTTAAAGGATTGCCTTGGCGAAATAGCGAAATGACAGAAATGTTAGTGTAATTCTTTTACGAATTTGCTTCAGAAAACGCAAGAAATGCAGTCATCGAGCTTCAAGAATAGCACAATCGCCTGGCGGAGAACCCCCTCACACCCCTATCATCCAATAAATAGAAAACATGATTAGGCAAAGTTCAACTCCCGATTTTTTGCAAACATCTCTTAGTATATATCAATTCAAAAGTGCCCTTCCACGAAAATCGGCTCCCCTTGCCGTCACATCGTTCCGGCGTCCCTGGCCAAAACCATAGATGTATTTATTGCTATACCGAATTAAAGTCGTGGGTATTCTTCAGCTTCTTGACAGGGCAGATTGGAATTCGCCCCTTAACTGACCCTTCCCAGGGGCGGCGCTAGACGTCTTTGAATGGGGGGGGGGGTGCGTGAATTTTGCTGAGTTATCAAGGTAAATTTTGCCGAGTCAATGCAACCCCTAATTAATATTTCTGCTGACTGGGGGGGGGGGTGTTATACTCCCACACCCCTTTAGCGCCGGCCCTGACCCTTCCACCGTAGCTGCTCCGTAATCCGGCAAAAGACGAGTCATATAAAGGCGCCCAAGACAGCTTCAACTCGGTCAAAGATGATTAGCACACTTTAATTAAATTAATAAAAGTGCCACACCGTGGAGTGACGGAAGAACGGACGAACGAACTGATTGACGGATTTCAACGCTCTGCCCCGAAAGTCGTGGGTTTTCACGGGGCGTTCCAGTTTCCGCTCACAGGGAAAGTAGACAGGGTGGGTTAGGATAAACATAGTTAGTATAGGTAATAGCATGGTTTCGAGTGCAATTTGGATAAAACATGCACGAGTAAGTTTTTCAAAGAGCATCAAAATAGCACGAGTCCGAAGAGGGTCCTGAAGGGGGGTCCCAATCCCATTTCCCACCTGAAATTTTGGCAAAATCCCAGTCCCAGTTGGATTTTTATTAGAAATCCCAGTCCCAGTTATTGAAATCCCAGTCAATAAAAAATCCTTTACTTATCGGTAGAATAAACAGTTTTAAGACCTTTTAAGCAAGTGGCAGACACTTTTTAAAAATTAGGGGGGGGGGGCTCGTGCCAAAAGCACGGAAAATTTTAAAATTTGAATCCTGGAAACGACATTTGCAGCATTCTGAGACACGCATAATCAGAAAACCCAGAATTCCGGGCGCCAAAGTATGCCTGTTCGCAGGTAGTGCTGTGAATAATATAGTTAACAACAAAAATCATGACCAAAGACACCAAAAACGGATCAAAATTGTATTTTAAAATACTCAAAACGCAGAAAAATTGGGAATCGACTCGCATTACCTCAATCCCATTCCCATTTTTGAGGACTTCATTTCCCATTCCCAGTGGCCAAATCCCAGTCCCAGCAACCCAAATCCCATTTTCCCAGTCCGAAAATAGATCAATCCCAGTTCCCATTTTACCCCTTCAGGGCCCTCTTGGAAAACTCACGAGTCAGTTTCAATGGTCATTTCCCCACTATGGGGAAAATAACCATTGGAAGAAGAGAGGGACTACTTACATATAAAGTAATAATGTTTTCCTTCTTCGAACTCTGGAGTGAGACCAAAACCCCACGTTTTCATGAATAAAAAATTCTTCGTCTTTATTTTCATTTTGTCCTCACACGTTAAGATAAGTCTGTTTTCTTTCGAATTTCCATTCGTGTTCACCTAATGGTAACAAAACACTATTTCACACAAGGAAAAGAGACGTTTTAAATCATTTCTGCATGTACTAGCATATTTTGTCTTCTGTGTAAAGCAAAATGAAGGAAAATGCACTTATGGGATTTATATTTTCTAATTTAAAGCAAGTCAATCACAAGGGAAATATTTTTGAGCAACTTTTGCTTATTCAAATGATGATTGAATAGTTTAAACACTTTCATATGCACATACAGCTATTTCAATTAAGGTTGTCCACGAGCAAAGCGGAAAAGTCGAATACGAGCGCGAAAGGTTGCTGGGAATCGCTAATAGATTAATGATTTTCATAGCGATTCCCAACAGCCTTTCGCGCTCATATTCGTCGACTTTTCCGCTTTGCTCGTGGACAACCTTAATTGAAATAGCTGTATTCGAATTCTATATGCATATACTCGGTCTCCGGTACATGTACGTTATGAGTCAATTAGCCTCGCTTTCTCACGAAGGCCAAAATCCGCCATTTTGGGGGTGCTGTCTGCCCTCGTGAAAGATTCTAGACAATTCAAACAACGTAAAGAGCGACTTTTAAAAGTTGTAACTATAAATTTACCATTATACAAACAACTACAATACTAAAAAGTCGCATTTCGTGGTGCGGAGACTCTCAAACGTGGGAGAGGCAGTGCCCCAAAATGGCGGGAAAATCGACCGTGAGGCCACAGAATAGGAAGGTATAGCAGAAGCGTAACTCAAGCAAGTATTTGTCCGCGTTTTTACAAGCGATTCGTCATCAATCACGCCATCCTGGCTAGCACAACCGGCACTTTGTACCTACCAAAACCTGATAAAAACTTCCGGCTGTACTAGCCAGGATGGCGTGGATTGGCGTGAGTGAGTTAAAATTTTCGTGGACGTCAAACAATAAGGAAAACGACTAGAGTTACGCTTCTGCTATAACTTCCTATTCTGTGGTGAGGCCTTTAAGTCATATTGAGCGCTCTACAGGATGAGCCATTGCCGCTTACGCATTGCCCACGCTCACTGCTTGCAGTTTGAGCGCTCTGGCATGGTTTTGATGTCCCACGTTCGTGAGGCATCAAAGGTAACTGTAAATAGCAGTTACTTTCATCCTGCTCAACAGCACTACACTGATGAGGCCCATAAGGCCGAAACGGTACCGTCTGTAGTTCACTGGTACGAACTTGTTGCAATTACCTCACATTTATCATAACCTTCTTTATCGACTTGCCACAAATTTTCATTAAAACTAAAAGTGTCCGGAACTTCAGTCATCCAGTTATTCATATGGACCGTCGGGCAGACAACGGTCATCCCGTATGGTATACTGTAGCCATCATTCCTGTATATGACTTTCATAAAAACCTCTTTGGTCGCATTGCTCTCTTTACTCCGTTGTAAAGTTTGAAACCTAGAAACACGATAGAAATATATACGATTTATAACGAGTGGTTTCTTTATTGATGATGAATTGATTGATATTCTTTAATTGTTTGATTAATTGACTGATCGATAAATTGATTAATTGAACGATTAATTGACTGATCAACAAATTGATTCATATGTATTGTTTGATTAATTAATTAACGGATCGGTTGATTGATTAAATGATTGATTGATTGATTGACTAATCGATAAATTGATTAATATGAACTGTTTGATTGTTTGATTAATTGACTGATCAATAAATTGATTAATTGTTTGATTAATTGACTCATCGATCAACTGATTAATTGATGTATTGATTGATTGCTTGATTGGTAGACTAATTGATAGACTGATGGTCGTTTGAGTGATCGATCGATATCGACGCCGTTAGTACATAACGATAAACGTCGTATCGGTCTAGCTCCTTATTAGCATTCTATTGTCTTATATATCCTCCAGCCTGCATTGCGCACCTAATAAATATGAACCACCCAGCCTCGTCCCCAGGCGCTTTGCCGGTTTAGATTAGAATTCCTCTTTCACGTGGGCTGTGTCACAGAATATAAAGGCAGAAATTGACAATTCTAAAGAGTAAATACGGTGAGTTTTTCTTTTATATTCAATCGTACTACAACATTATCTTATTTGTACTGTTTACAGTTTCGTAGTGAACTGATTCACTTGCTTTCGTCCGTTATCTAGGCTTATATCCACCGTATTTTAATACATGTTTACAGCTAGTTTTAATAATAATACGACTTGTTGGTCCGTATTATCACAGTTAATAAAACCGTGGTATTATTTATAGGGAGTTGTCAAACATTTGACTTGTTTTATTGCCCTGGCAAACATTTGCCAGTGCAGACAAAAGACTTATTTGTTCTTAAAAGGTCTCAGTGAACGATTCTGTGAGTTATTAAACCGTGTCACGAGTTGCTTGCAAAACATATACTATTTATAGCGGTCAGGAAAGCAGGGCTTTATTTATCCAAGCACTTTTGTTGACCCCCGTTTTAGAAAAGAAGATTTAGTTTTTGTGACACACGAATGTAGCAAAGCGGCAAAGTTCCTGAAAGCTTTTGTTGTTTAGGGGCCAATTACATGGAGCATTTTCAACCCCGGGGTTGAACTCAGCCCTGTTTACCAGGTTGAAATTTCAGCCCTGTCTGTAATACAAAACTCTACAAAATTTTCAACCCAGAGCTGAGTTCAAGGTTCAACTCCGGGGTTGAAATTTCAACCCTGCTTCAGCTAGCAGGGTTGAAATTTCAACCCCAGGGTTGAACTCAGCCCTGGGTTGAAAATTTTGTCATGCAATCGTTTCAACCCAGGGCTGAAATTATCATGACTTATTCGAGCATATGTGGTAGTGACTATTTATTACAAGAAAACAAAATAAAGACTTTTTTCTTCCGGGAATCGATGCCGAGAAGATAGAGTATATAGCGTTTCAACCCCGAGGTTGAAATCGTCCATGTAATCGCAAAAAATTTCAACCCGGTTAACAGGGCTGAGTTCAACCCCAGGGTTGAAAATTCTCCATGTAATCGGCCCCTTAGGCTCTGTTGCCGTAGCCTCCTGCGCAGACGTTGTTAGTGGCCCGAGGCCTCACCTAACGTCTGCTCACATTTGCTATACATTTGACTTCCCGGCAATTAACCAATCACAATCATCTACACGATAATTGGAAGATCGGCCTTCAATGACCTTCACACGCATGGGTTATATCAACAAGTCTGTAGTATTTTTAAATTTGAAAGTTTTAACACTGCGCATTAGAAAAAGGCTTTTCAGTCTATTATAAACGAAAAGGATGTTGTCGTAAATCTTACAACTGACGCAGGAAATCCCTTATTTATCACGCCGTTACCGAAGCTATTCGATGTAATATTCGGATTTAAATATTTAAACAAATTGTAAACATTGTAAACATTTAGTAATCGTGGTTTCGGTTGATAAATTCAATACGAGATCAAGTCAAAAAACTACACGATCTAGGAGTCAGTGCTGTGTCATTATTAAGTTGAATCGAGAGCGATAAAGAAGCGAAGGCATTGGAAGAATGGAAATATTCTGACTGTATTATATGCAGAGTCATTGTTGAAGACCGAACGATGGAAACGAATGCTTCAACAAATTGTACGTATAGCAAAATGGTTTGTGCTTTGGCTGTTGATGCATGAAGCTCATGCGATTAAAGAATGGTATGTATTATAATAAATCCTAAAAATGTGTTCGCTTTTGTAATTCCCAAAGACACATGCAGGAATCGATCGGGCTTGGCCATTTTAATAGTCATTATTCATTAATATTTTATATTGTTTATTTAAATTGAATTTGTCTTTTTATACATTGCCTCGTATTATCTATTTGCATGTAGTACTAGCATGCAAGTTTATATGAGGGCAATTATGAAGGGTTTACATCAGAGGGTTGGGGCATGTATATTAACTAGAATGGCTCATAAACTTGCTGGTGCTACGTAGATAATAGATAATACGAGGCAACGTATAAATCAAGACAATATAAAATAACGACTATTAATTAAAATGGTCAAAAAGCCGATCGATTGCTGTGGCTTTGAGAATTGCAAATGCAAACACATGTTTAGGATTTATTATAATACATACTGAAATGAGCTTCATGCATCAATAGCCAAAGCACAAACCGTTCTGCCATACACTTTGTCTTCAGCAATGACTCTGCTGTGCCATATAATACAGTCAGAATATTTCCCATCTTCCAATGTCTTCGCTTCTTTATCGCTCTCGATTAAACTTAATAATGACACAGCACTGACTCCTAGATCGTGTAATTTTTTGACTTGATCTCGTATTGAATTTATCAACCGAAACCACGATTACTAAATGTTTACAATGTTTACAATTTGTTTAAATATTTAAATCCGAATATTACATTGAATAGTTTCGGTAACGGCGTGATAAATAAGTGATTTCCTGCGTCAGTTGTGAGATTTACGAAAACATCCTTTTCGTTTATAATAGACTGAAAAGCCTTTTTCTAATACGCAGTGTTAAAACTTTCAAATTTAAAAATACTACAGACTTGTTGATATAGCCCATGCGTGTGAAGGTCATTGAAGGCCGATCTTCCAATTATCGTGTAGATGATTGTGATTGGTTAATTGCCGGGAAGTCAAATGTATAGCGAATGTGAGCAGACGTTAGGTGAGGCCTCGGGCCACTAACAACGTCTGCGCAGGAGGCTAATGTTGCCGCCACGTTGCTCGAATGTAACCGCATGGTTTGTGAATGATATATATGTAATCTTTATTGTAAACATTGCACAATACCAAAGAGTCCATGCATCGATGTACTTGTATTCGAGTGTATTTTTTCTGCAGTTTTAATTCACTTTTCCAGCTCAAGGTTGTGTAAATTTTAGATTTTAGTTCGAAAAATTTACTTTCTATTTGTAATATTTGTTATTCTTCAATCATCCCATTTCATTTTGTGCTGATTTGATCGAAATTTTTACCAGAAATCCAAACATAATAATGGTTTAATGGTGTTTTTTTTTTTGTTTTTTTTTTGTTTTTTTTTAACATGCATGCCATCTATTAAGCATGGTAGCTTTATATCATAAACATGTCGTTTTATTTGGAAAAAAACCCCAGCTCAGATGACCCTGTTTCTTGGAATCCCAAAAACTAAAGCATGTGAAAATGATTTTTTGTTGTTTTTTCTTTTCGTTGGGGGAAAGATTCAGTTTAAAAACTCAATCCAAGATTGAGTTTTGACATCCGTTTCGTTTACTGGAGGTCAGTTGGTGCTTGGATAAAGCCCTGGAAAGATATATTATTTATATGATATCAATTAGTGAACAACCCTCGAAAATTTGCCTCAGCACTTGGCAATTGCGGAGGCAAGTTACAATTTTCATATTTACAAAGTACATGTGTCTGTTCGTTTTTTGCTTAAATTTACAAACTACACCGTCTGTTGGTTTTTTGGGTTATCAAAACCACTTTAATAACTTGAAATTCAAATCTTAGCTAGAAGGCCGTGTTGGCTGTGTTATTGCGGCCAAAAATGTAAAAACACGGCTAGATGAAATGAACGCGGCTTCATTATTTAGTTTTGGATGTGCATGTAGGTTCATAAAATAAGGTGTTGCTACTTAACAACATACAGAATTTCTTTGTAAAATCTACTGTAGTTGTTGAAATTGGTAAAAGTGATCTGTGATGTTTTAATGTTTTGATGGATAATGGGCACCATAGTGTTTTTAAAATGGTTTTAAATGCCTAAGAGTTGCTAAAATACAGTAATTAATTATAATGTCAGTGCGAAATATGAGCGTATGCTCGCCTTGTATTAATGGTTGAAAAGCATAGAACAACCACAGGTATAGTCTATTGTTGACATTAAGCATAACTGGAATCGTGTTTTTAGCTGATTCAAGGCAATTGACATGGGCACATCCTGGAAATTTAGAAACACGCCCTTCAGCCTATATAGGTACAATGACCCTGCAGCCTATATAGGTACAATGTTAGAAAATAATTGGGTCGTTCCAGAAAAGATCCACACTTCACCCACGGAGGAAATTTCTGCTGTCCGGAGGAGGAGGGGAGAAAAAATTGTTTCTGATAATAGTAAATGTATTAGGACATCCAAAAGGGTTAGAGGGGGCTAACTTCCTATTTCCTCCATGGGGGTGGTATGGATGTTTTCTGGAATGACCCATTGTTAGGCAAGGAAAATTTCTCAATTTGTCAAATTCACTCCCTGTTTGTTGCCGAGGACTTCGGCAATTATTTGCAAAGGCAAAAATAGTTGAATTATAAGAGTTGGTGAAATTACTTGTATTTTTGTCTGTAAAAGAACACAATGACGAACGTCGGAGCGAAATCAAAGCAAGCACAAGATTTCAAGGGTAACACCGTATGGTCGTCATTAACACAGGAAGAAATTAAAGCAAAGGTTGCCAGTGAGTTTGAAGAAAGAAAAAAACTAAAAGAGGTGCAAAAGCGCCATTTCGAAGATCTGCTGAAAAAGCCAAATGTTACCGCCGTCGATATAGATTATAAGAGGTTTTAAGGCAAAGAAATAGATCAGCTTGCTATTGTGATATGGGTAAGGGAAAAGAAACCTGAAAGTCAATTAAATAAAGATGAAATTCTTCCCAAAAAACTTGATGGTTGCGTTGTCGATGTTGTCCAAAATGAAGCCACTTTGTGCAGATTCAATTGACCATTTAAATCACCTGAAAAAGCTGAGCAGGTTTGTAGATATAACAATGAGTGATGAAATGCTAGCTGCTGATGTCCTGCAACAAGTGTGAGTTGGTATGCTTAAGGTATATCCATCGTGTAAAAGATATTTTATGTGTGCATGAAAGATTAGACTGCTTTTTGATCCAGGCAAAAAAGTAAATTCTAGAAAAGTACTTATTAAAATTAGTAAAATTGCAAAACTTGGTTACGAAATGTTGTAAAATACTGAAAATATAGTCTTGCGAAGTTTGCATATTTTGTATATGTTTGTATTACGTGCGGAAATTGTTACCATTTTTAAGCCGAAAATGGTAACAATTTCCATAGTGATACAAACATATATATATATCGATTCGCAAATTTCCTTCTTGAAAATTTGAAGGACATTTTAATTTTGAAGAGTGGAAACACTGCTTGCAAAAACAAAATGGCGGTCATTTCATAGCGAATTTCGTAAATTTTCTGAAGAAATTGTAGCCACAGACCTACCATGTCTCACGATTTTATGCTTTCTCACGATCTCACGATTAAGTCACCAAATCTCACGATTTTCGGAACTTAAAAAAATCATTGAAGAGCGCAACATCTAGTTACAATAAGGCACACTCTTCCAAGGAAACATCGCACTTCATTAGTGTATACTATTAATAATGCGCAATGTACAACGCCAGAATTTAGTATGTGTAGTGTTTGTGTTACAAAGTAAAAGGCGCGTCCTGCTAAGTTTATTGTCCTGCTAGTCTTGATATTACTCGTAGTTTTCTTGTTTTTGTACATATATTGCGTTATATTTCCAAGGAACTCGTACTGACACTGGGAGCTACTAAAGCCATAAAGAAAAAACAACCTATTTTTAAATTAATAAGCCTTGCATTTACGGTTATATTAACAAAATATAAATGCATACTATCATAAGATTGAATATCTATTGATTATTTTCTAGTGTTGTTAAAGTTAACCCTGGTCATATTAATGAGCAAACCTGAAAATTTCTAAGTCTCACGATTTTTCAGTCAATCTCACGACTTTTTAGATAGCAACTCGCTATTTCTGCTACTCAAGGGTTGGCAGGTCTGTAGCCATATTGTTCATTTCACACATCTTGTTAGTACAAAATTACAATAATAGTCAGCAAAATACTCCATATCTTCCATTATAGTTAAATACATTCGAAGTGATTGTGAAAATCAACCTTTTATGTAAACCTTATAATACATTGTAATCAATGAATCATTTTGCATTCGCAAAAAGCGAATTTACATTTACGCAAATTGCGAATAGCAAGCCGCTAATTCGAACCCAGGGGGAGTGCTGCCACTCAATGGGTTAGATTAAACATGCAAATTGTCCTTTGCCATTGCCATTGCCATTGCCATTGCATGCCCATTGGTAAACTGGGGGCGCCTCGGTTGTACAGGTTTGTAATAAAAAAGCGAGCTATAAAACAGATGAAAATGCAAACTTCAAGACTTGACTTCATCGTTTGACTGTGGTGATAAAGTATTTAAGTGTAGTAAGAAAAAGAATAGTTATTTGCACATTCATTCATGGTGACAATGTTGATTTTACAACGATAACCTCAGACAGTTTATATATGACTGTTGTCAAATTGCTTTGCTTCATCTGAAAATATGTTAGTTTTATGCACAGTTTTATGTCACACAAAATGCTGAAAACAGCAAACATTGACAAAATATATTTTGTTATAAACCGTATTTTATAGGTGTTCGGAACGTGTATGAATACGTAATATAAATACAAACTTAATAAGTTCTTTGAATGTTTGCATGGCGATAAAATATAATTGTTTTTGTTTGTGGAAACACCACGTAAATTTATTACTGCAAAGCTTTCGATCCGTAAGCCCGGATCTTCATCAGTGCTAATAATATGCTAGTGCCTCATATTATTAGCACTGATGAAGATCCGGGCTTACGGATCGAAAGCTTTGCAGTAATAAATTTACGTGGTGTTTCCACAAACAAAAACAAATACAAACTTGTTTGGTAGTTCAATTGATGTAATTAAGAGGGCTTTCATTTTAGCTATCGTTGCACTATTATGAGCCTGCGATTCCTTGGAATGTCACGTTTGTGACACCCCCCCCCCCCAAAAAAAAAAAAAAAAAAAAAAAACGCAGGAAGGCCTTCGACTCTGGCTCTGCCCAGGCTCTCGGGCTCTGCCGGCGTAATTAGTAAATATATATGTATGACCTCACATCCTTTCATTTCACATGTACTTTAATTAAAGAGCGTTGACAATAGATTTGCAATTTCCTCCAAAGTCATTAAGCATGAGAAAAGTGGATTTAGCATGTTGAAACATATAGGATTTAGCATGTTGAAGCCTGTCATATAAGATCATGTATTGGAAAAAATAAAAATAAATCTATAAGCTACTATTTTCACTGGTTTGTGCTGTCAGACGTTCTTCCTGGAGGTCCAGTAAGGGGGAATCCTTACAAGAGGAATCCTTAACTAAACATTTTTTATACCGAATAGCTATAATATTTCCAAATTCTACCCCTATACGTTCAGTAAGAATGAGACCTGGCAGTCGCACGACCATGGTTTATAGCTGTTTTTTAATGCTTTCCCAACATTATCATGTGTTTTATTTAAGTTGAAACGTAGTTGGAACACTCATCGAACCTTATATTTTGTTAATCTAAAGCTTGAAATGTCGGCTGTAAAAATTCGTGACTGCCAATTCTCATCAACACTACGCTAGGAATTCGGGGTAAAAACTCGGATAAAACAATAAAGAGGAACGCAATACAACGCGGAAATCTCGCCCGTGATTTCGAAGACTAAATCGTGTTTACATAATTCACAAATGCTATTGTAACAGATAAAAAACAATTGCATAATCTCTTGGAAAACAAAACGTGTCATAATTCGCTCGTCAGCGTACGTACCACAAAAAATTTCTCAAATGAATTGTTTGCGTGAGTCGACACATTTTAATCGTGTTTGCACAGTGTTGCGAGCAAAACAATCATCTAATCTGTGACAATAAAGGGTGTCATAATGCGTAATAAGCAGCCACGAATCAAAGCTCTTCGTATCCAATTGCCGCCGTTTATTCAACGTGCAGTTGCACACACAATTTGAGTGTTTAAATCCGTCCGTGAAATTCTAGGCTCCTCGCAGCCTGAAATTTTGTTCAAAGGATGTTTCGAAATTTCCGGTGGGGCCTGCGAGCAGGCTATGAAATTCTGGGTAAATGTGCAGTTACAAAAAAAACGAGTCTTACGATCAAAAAGATGCTTTAGATATGTTTGTTGGCTTTTGGACTCTTTGGAAAATGTCAAAAACACAGTTCTCAAGCTTGAAAACATAAACATTCATAAAATTACTGCATTGATAATTAAAGTCGCTCGGGCTTGCAGCGTGTTCGCTGAGCGTACCTATTTTTTCGGTTACGTTACAATGCCACTTTCATTGAAATCTTTGAATCTAAAAGTTGTCTTTGAAAGGGGATCGCCTACATATATATATTATTATAAGTAACAGCTTATTTTAGCAGAACAAACAATTTACTTGTTATGTCAAAAGACATTTTGCAAAGTTTGTAAATATTTCTGTCTCCTGTTCCTGTTCCTATACGGAAATAATTAAATGTATTTCATCTCCAAACAGCAATGCGGTAGCTTGGTAAAACATCTATTTGTTCGCGTGTGGCTACAAATTAACAAAGTATAAACATGTAACTATTAATTAGCAGTGTAAAACATGGCAAAAGACACGTTTCTTAAAATAAAACTCGGATTTCCTGGCCATATTTCTACCAAACCATTTAGGGCATTGCTCACAATCAATACAAAATTCATTTAATTTATTTGACTATTTTTATATTTTTCATTCACTTATTACAGCTTATAAAAAACTTATTGCTCAACATATTTCTTAAAACCTCATAGACATTTGCATAAACTATAGTTATCTTTACTTCCATTTTTCGAGAAAACAGTCGAAAAATGAATTCTTTAATTTTCTGAATTTTTATGGAATTGCTTTGGACATGGAATTTGGATCCAGTTTTGAAGTCAGTCCTGTCAGCGCATATTCCACAATACAGGTTTTGCTCTGTATCGTAACAAACACTATAATGGTACAAAGAACCGCTTAAAGGGGCCTTTTAGTTTTGACTTGAAGCCAAACTCCCATAAAGAAACATTCACATGCAGCATGCCAAGTATTTCTAATTTGGCCAAACCTCACATATTATTTCCTCAACAAATTTTTTTAAATTGGCATGTGGTTACTCCTAGTGCGAATATTTGTCCTTAAAACAATCTGGGATAGCTATAGGGCGGATACAGCAACTTTATAAACAATATTGTGGTCATTTCTTTAAGTGTTTTAATGTATGTGGTCAGCGAATACAGCAGGAATGCAGGAAATCCATATGGGGATGCATGCATGGGGATCTTTTAGAATGTATTTTATTAACCGACGTCAAGTTTGGTTATTATCTCATTCTTTTGTAACTTACAAATGTTTTATGGGCTCTATTTCGTATATACTATCAAAGTGTTACTTAATTAATAAAGTATTAAAAAATTATCTTTTTATTCATGAGAAAACCAATAAACGCAAAAACTATAGTGGGGTTTCTGGTAGGATTTTCATGCCACGATATAATGTTTATTCTGTATATACACATGCATATTGCTTCAGAATAGTATGTAATTTTAGTATATGCATTTAATATATGGGAACCATGCAATTAAATCAAATAAAAAATGTTCAAGTTAAAAAATTATTTATTTACTATTATTTACCTTAATATAATAAACCCATACATAAACTCGAATTATTAAGTTAAAGTAGGCTAATTAATTACTTAAAAATTGTAAGAACCTCAAAACAGTATTTAGCTATGTACCAAAATCAATATACATAAAAATCTTGGTTGTTAATAAATGAATAAAATGAATGATAAATTTACGTGGTTTTTCCACAAACAAAAAGTATTAAAATGAATGATCAATTTTACAAATATTTATATCAATAAAATAATTCCAAGATCAGCGGACTTTTTGTTTGCTTTTTTTATATGATATTTTTTATATGATATTATTGTTATGATATTATTTTTTGATATTATTTTTTCACATGATAGTGCACGCTCTTCAACATATTGTCCGTGCATAATGGCTCAAAATAGTTGGACCAAATAATACGTGTGCATGACGTTATACGCACGAGCTGGCCATATCGTATATACTGAATGGATTTTCGGCTGCCCCATTTTATGGAAAGGGTGTGCTGGCTTGCATGTTCAGGTCTTGCACCAGTAGCTGGGAAGAGTGGTTTTCGTTGGCTCGATTTGACAATTGCTTTTGTGTTTACAACAATGAATTGCTTCGTTCTTTAGAAAACCCCCATCCAATTGGAGACGACCTTCCGAGGCACTGCGAGGCTTCCCCCCTTGCAAGCCCCCTCCCGACTATACCAATTCCAAACTCATCGAGTAAACAAATGAAATACCTCTACACACCTCCTACCCCCACATCTCTTAATTGTTCTTAGTGTTATATGACTTATTTAATTACATTTTTTATCAATCTTAAAAAATATTAGACCTCATGCAAAGGTTGTCTGGACACCTAAACGTGTCCTGAAACATTTCAATTTTTTTAGAACGTGCGTTATGACAGGACATTCTCCATTTAATTAAGCATACAGATAACAAACAACTTACACACAGCAAAGACGGGCAATTAACTACAAGTCTCTAAGCAACATTGCTGCTATGAAAACCATACAGTGCAGTTTTCGTACTATACTCGCGTACATCGCACTGCTTGTAGTGATGCACCGATATGGAAATTCACCGATATTCCGATAACCGATATTGAAGGACCGATATTTTGCCGATACCGACATCGATATTCCATGTCATTTCACAAAATTCAAAGATGACATCATCAGATTACCGATACCGATATTTCTATTTTAGTACCGATAAGCCGATACACCGACATGGATATCGATGAATCAATAACTGCTTGTTTCCAGTGGCCAGCTGTTGACAAGTCTGGGACAAGTTGTTATAATCTTGTAACATAAGGCAAACAGCATCGCAACAAGTGACAGTTGATATCGTCTGCGCATAACAAGTTGTTGACAACTTGGTGACAACAGGCATGCACGCAGCAACTTGTTACGAACAATCTTGTTGGAACAACGTGTAGTATTAAGTCTGTTCCATTAATTGACCTTGTATTAAACAACGTAAGATAACAACTTGTTCCAGACCTGTAGCAACATCTGCAGGCTGGACAACAACATTGCATGTTACATGCAATTTGTTTGTAGTTCTGTAACAATTTGTGCGCGTTTCTGCGTACGTATATATATGCGTCATGCGGCCTGTGTTTAAAGTTTCAAGAACCTTTTAATAAAAACAGGCAGTTTTAAATTATAGAGCTATACTGTTATAAATGAACTTAATCTTGTGGACTAGATGCCTCGACGCACCACGATTTTATAAATAGAACGTCTAGAGGTCTCTAGATTACTACGCTTGTAGTTTTTAAGACAATGTCAATGTATTGGAAAAGGCTTTTATCCTATTGTTCGGCATGACGCGAAACGTACGTGCAAATTATACAATTGTACCCAAAAAATAAAGCTTCTTTACTAACCAAAGCTAAATTTATCACATATTTTTGGCAGCGTTGCCATATGCAGCAATCACAACAAATTTTAAAAACGTCTATAGAAGGAAAATGGTTCCCGTTCAGCGAATTCTGTAGTGGGTATTATCAATATGCAATTCTTCCAGACCAATGGATGGTAAATTGTAATAGCACTTGGAAGGCGAAACAATGAAAATATCATTTAACCTATAACTATTGTTGTTTCAGTCCATACAATATTCCCATTTTGAAGGGAAAGGTGCATGACATCTCAGTGCTATATAAAGACAATGTGGATCAATGTAGTATATACCTATAGAAATTGATCTTGAAAACCAAATGCATGTATTAAAGGCCTGCATGTACACAGTATCCCACGAGCAAAACAATATTAAACACTGAGAGAGGGAACCTGGGACTAGGCCGAGGCCAAAAAAAGGTGAAAGGGGCATTGTTGTCGGCATCAAATGTATTAACACTCTTTTGGAAGTTTTGGGTTTTAATGAGTAGAATTTTCTACATTGATGCGTGATGTTTGCCAGACAGTCTGGAACAATGGTCAATGACTGTCCATAGAAATCCATCGTTAAATATAAATGCATGTATATATTAGAAGCTCTTCCCATGCATGGGTAGACTTTCATAAGTATAGAATCATATTGAGACCTGGGTTGGCTATAGACAATGTGGAACAATACTCTGTTACTACCCATACAAATTCACCTACAAATGAATGTGTATACAATTAAAAGGTTCGCGAAATGGCTATTTTCTCCCTGGTGTGAAGTTTCATTTGTTGGGTAATGGAAAACACACACACAAAAGGTCGAACTGTCGTGTTGTAATGAGTTTGAAAATTAAAATGTCATATAAACGTCTTCACCATTGTAGTAGTTTAATTACAATATCTGGTCAAGCGAAAAATATGACAGTGCAAATATCGCCAACCTTGGAAAGCAAATAAACTAAAATTTTGCCCAAAAATAGAAAGAAAAAGGAAACATTTTTGCTCAGCCATTAGTCTTTTACAAGGTCGGATAAAATGGCGAAACAAGTCTTCCATCTTGGAGTTTGAATCAAGACTATTGAAAAACAATTGAAATTAAACATCAAATCTGTTGTATGTAAATGTAAATTTTACGTGTATCGGTGTTTGTTTTTCAGCAATTCAAATTGGCGTTAAATTATAGCCCTCCCTCATGCAAAAGTATTTTTCATTATAGGTGTGGGCCTATTAAGAGGTTGCTAGACTACGAACACTGTATTTTTGCACAAATACTGCACATTACCAATACACCTAATTCACATCGCCTTCGGGTATTTTCATAATTATCTATATGTACACAGTGTGGAACGAGATTAAAAGCTAATCCGTCACATAGCTTTATTTCACAGCTCAGAAGATTTGGGCATGGTGTTCAAATCTATGACATAAACATGAAAGATTGTTATCAAAGAATACACCTATATGATCCGCTCAGCTGCAGTGGCGTTTGCTTAGGCTCGTTAACATTCAGTTCATATTAGCCTGCGTGGCAGGCCCTCGATTTTATGGGGGGCCTGATTTGCAAATCAGGCCCCCCCCCCATAAAATTGAGGGCCTGCCAAAATCACCCCACCCCCACCCCATAAAATCGAGGGCCTGCCACGCAGGCTAAGTTCATATTAGTAGGTAATTGTACTGTTTCGAGTGCAATTTGGAAAAAAAACATGCACGAGTGAGTTTTTCAAAGACTATCAAAATTGCACGAGGTGTCCCAGTTGTAACAAGTTTGTAACAGCTGTTAACAACTTGTAACCGAAGCTTGATGGCATTATCAGACTTGTTACAAGGTTGTTCTAACAACTGTGACGGGACAAGGTTGTAACATTGTTATATCATGACTGTGCTGAGTGGTTATATTACTACCTTAAACAACCGTTGCTGCAACAAGCCTGATGATATCAACATGGTGGTTACAAGCTGTTAACAGCTTGTTTCAAACTTGTTGACAACTTAGAACAAGCAGAGCGAACACAACTTGTTGACGACTTGTTGGCATGCAGACATGCTGTTTCTGTACAAGATGTGAGATGTTTGCGTGGGTGCACAGGGTATAACCGGATACTGTATTATATTTACGTAAACGGATAACCAATTAACCAATTTTGGGCATAATTGGGCATAACTTTGCCAAACTACCTGTTACAGAAGTCCATTAAATTAAATTGTTTCTGTTACTATAATACAAAACATAAAGTCCATTATTTCAAACCTACACGCTTTTTGTTTTAGCATATAATTACAATACAATATATGACATTTCTTTGCCTTAAGGCTGTTGCAAAAGTATTCTTTATTCAAAAAACCTGTTTGTTACCTTTGCCATTGAAATATTGCTATTGCTTATACTTATAATTGATGCAATGAGCACACGCGAGGTAAATAAAGACGTTTCATAGTATCATAGGATTTTTACCGTGCAATATATATGTATTATCACCGGATCATTATTTTGTATAGTGAATGTCCATGCCATATCAGCTCTAAACATTCTAAACATGCTGTTCCTAGTCCCTATGGTCATTGTTTACTAACTTATTGTGTTTATTTACAGTATTTCCGGAAACTTCAGCCGTTAACACAATCACAAAATTTAAAAGAAGAAGACAAACAGGAAAGCGGCGAAGCGGAGGTCATAGCTGTACGGGTGGGAAAAAAATGAGGTGGGCGGACAAAAATGGTCGCCGTTGATGGAAATTGCCCGATATTAACATGGGTTTATTGATAGATGAAAAAAAAAGGATAAAAAAATATATGAGTATATTGCTGAACCCAGATTGCAGTGGACATATATGCAGATAACATATTCATATTTGTTATCCAATCCTTATATTGTTGTCATGGTAACAAAACACTATGATCACGAGTAAAATAGATAAAAGAAGATAAGACAATCCATGACAACTGTAAATTTGATCGGTCAACAAAAATTAAATTGAAATATTCAATATGGCCTAAAATGACACTAAGGAATGTACAATGTTTGTCATGGGAAAATGTTTACAATAAGGTCAAATAGATCTCTGTGATTGGTAGAATTCGGAGGGAGGGATCAGGACATAGTTTACTTTTAGTAATTTTAATTTTATTCCGTCTCAGTCTTGACTTGCAATCATAAAATCATAAATATTTGGACATGCAATGGACGCTTTAGACTAAATTTTAATCTAAGTAAGAACAACGAAATCTATCACCATAGCTAGAAAGAGCGTCTTGGAATTAGTAATATTACAAAGTTTGGTTGCGAAATGTTGTAAAATACGGAAAATATAGCCCTTCAAAGTTGGCAAATTTGTATACAAAAGTATTACGTGCGTGAATTGGTAACTATATAATTAGTTACCAATTTCCGCACGTAATAGAAATGTATGCAAACTTCGTAGAGCTATCTTTTCCGTATTTTACAACATTTCGCAACCAAACTTTGCAGTTTTTCTAATTTTGATAACTTCTTTCCGAAAATATCCTTTGTTATTCCCAGATTAAAACTTTTTCTAAAGCGCAAATCGTCCATTGTGTAAAGATTTAAGCTCGATAACAGGACTCTGTAGCTCAGTTGGTTAGAGCTCGCATCGGAATCGCATGGCCATGCACATGTTCGATTCATTCATGCCAAGGTCCATATATAGTTGCATTTTCGCAGTTGCTTCTGGTTAGGTCTAAATATGTATAAAATTCACACTAGAAATTTTCATCTACAGAAAAATTCTTCAACATCTCTACCAAGCCCTAGTTCAACCACACTTTGATTACTGCTAAATGGTTTGGGGTAACTGTGGTCATGGTGAATACTTAAGAGGGAAGCTTCAAAACCGAGCTGCTAGAGTTATTACCGGCGACCCATATGAAATACGCTCGATTGATATTTTAAAGAAACTAGAATGGAAAACGTTAAGTGAAAGAAGGGAGGAACAACAACTAAAATACGTATCAAAAGCTCTTACATGCCAATGTCCTAAGAACATTTCGGATATGTTCAGATTATCCAACTCTGTGAGATATGAATTACGAAGCAATAATAATAAGTTGATGTTGTCAAAGCCAAAAACAAATTCAGTGAAACGTACTTTCGGTTACGCTGCTGCTAAAGTTTGGAATGAGACAAATAAAAACTCTTGAATTATCTTTTATCTTATTTGGGTGGGGTTTGAGTGTGAAGATTTCACTGTTATTATATGGGGAGGGTGGATGGGAGTTTCTTATACTGTTTGTAACTACACGGCCTAATGAAAAGCAACGAAAGCCTTGTAAATATTTTATAGTTGATTAGCTACCGTGTATAAAGATGTTTTAATAATAATAATAATAATAATAACATATTGTATAGGCAGTTGCGATATTGAAAAAAATCGATATCGGAAAAAAATATCGATAATAATATATCGACTATATCGAATTATGCAAATGAGAAAACGTAATTTAATCAACCATGTATACATTGTGTACATATCACAAACAGTTAAAAAGAAATGCATGAAACCAGTCATGATACGTCTCAGAGACTTATTAACAACGGTTTATCTGTTTATGAAAGTTTATTAAAGATATATTTACAAGCCTTAAGGCTGCATTCCAGTTACGCGTTTTTCATACGTGCGTACACGCACGTAAAAGTTGAATTCGCTTTACATCCTACTTATGAAATAACTAAATTTATAAAAGGAGAGCATTCAGTTTTGTGTATGATTTAATGTGTATTTGTTAAAGTTATTTGCACTTATATGAAATTTTAAGCGAATTCAACTTTTACGTGCGTGTACGCACGTATGAAAAACGCGTAACTGGAATGCAGCCTTAAGAATGGTTTCACATTACGTTTGTTCGCAATTGCCGCCATACACACGTTGTCTAAACTTCACTGGTGAGAACAATAATTGCCGAATAATCGGAGATTAAGTTGTTTAGTTACAACTTTCGATATCTTCGTATGCGAAAAATCGAATATCGATATTTTTGAAATATCGATATTTATCCTATCGCAATTGCCTAATATTGTACACTAGTAATAACTCCAAATTCACGTCGATATCGGTCAACAGAAAAGGAAACAAAAATTTACAATTAGAACTGATACGGTTTGCGGTCGAAAGGCTGGAAATTTTTGCATGGGAATTTATACAATCCAAAAGGATTTTGTTATGAAATATGATTCCATGTAGCACCTGGAAACACCAGGCTACGGATGTTTCGGTTGGTATTTGACACGAAAAGGAAGAATGACAGGATTAAACAACATGATTCAGAATTCTAACCATTTCTCGCGACTGTGAACCACTATGCTACCAATATCCCGCAGAAAATTTCCATTCATCAATCGCTAAAATATTTTGTAAACTTTAAAAGGCAAATCCAGTCGTGTAATCATTTAGCCCATCTATTTGCATTTCGTAATAGTTTTCAGTAATTTGAAACCTGCGTGAATACTTCGTCTTGGACCTTCGTATTCATCAAAACTTTTTTTTATAAAAGCAGTATAATAAATATATAGATTTTTAATGTTAAGCACGCACTACTTTTAAGATTTATATTGAAGAAAAACTTAATTTTAAGTAAACCCTTTGTTTTTAACAACAATTATATTATAATATAGTCTCTTCATACTTTTTTAGCCTACAAATGAGAAATGTTTCCAAACTATTTTTTATTTTATTTTATTCATTTCGTCAAACATAACGACATGCCAACGTGGCAACGAAAAAGCCAGAAACACCGCCAAAACAACAACGAATGGCGGGGATACTACAACAGGATAAACCAATAACTTTGAGACCTCATTATAAATATGTGAACACGTTGTGTGATTGGCCTTCTGAAATAAAAGTGTTCAGTGTTTATGACTCGTTCTTGAGAAATGTAATTTAAATATTTGATTGTCTTTTATTGTAATAATCAATCTCAAAGCTTGTTCGTGCACATTGGTACTCATGGGTGACCTTATGGGCCCCTGATGCAATTAACGTTTATGTACATATCATTAAACCTTTTTCCGACACATATATAAATTTTAGGTTCACACAATCCTCTAATTGACTCATTGAATAATCTGCTGTGTCCTTCCTGGATATTTTCTTAAAACCCTTGAAATTGATGGAAAGGGTGGAAAACATATGACGTGGGTAACAGGATCCACAACACCTATTATCAACCAAGATTATTAAAGTTTAATATCTTATGATAAAGATAGGAAACAACTAAATTGTTCATTATTATTCTTTTCACCTTCTCTTAAACCACTTTCAATTAACATGCCAGTGAGCAGAATTGCAGGAAAGAGGTCACACGTACGAAACGTGAGCCAATAGCTAAACATACACGCCTTTTCTACAAACTATTATTATTATTATTATTATTATTTCATGAATATTTAAACTTAAAGCCAGGACAAAACACTTCAGTAAAAAATTACTGCTTAGTCCATATAAAGTGTTGATAATCCCAATAAAATAAATTTCACTGTAGATTACCTTTCCCCATTATTTACTCATTAAATAATGTATTTTATCTTTCTGCAGTTTTAATTGTCAAGTTAGCGGGAAGGATGGAAAATATGTGACATTGAAAAGGTTCTATGAATCTATTGTTATAACCATCATTGTTTACTGAAAATGGAAAAAAAAAACAAGAAAATTGTTCAAAATTATCAGTCACTATACCATTTAAATTATTTGTAATTATACTTAATTCCTGTTGTTTTACATACAACAGTTTTTAAACTGCATTAGTGGAAAGGGGGGGGAAATTACGAGCGGAGTTAAAAGTTCCACAATGCCTATTAACCATCAATATATTTAAGTTCAATTAATATCTTATACAATATGAAATAGGAAACAACTAAAGTGTTTGTAATGATTATATTCTCTTTATGATAAACGATTTTCAATTGTCATAAATGATTTTGGAGAGAAAAAGGTCAGAGGTAAAACGATGAAACAGGAAAAAATAATGAGATATATTTTCCAATCAGACCAACCTTTCCGGGATAAAATTCCCTGTTGCGTTGCCAAATTTGCCAACCATAAAATGGTGTCTTCTTTAACAGGAAACACTAAATTTTCTACCTTAATGTATTATGCTGTCTAACAAGCAGTATATATATTGAAACATCTGTTTTCATTTATATATAAAAAAGTTAAACCATTTACTGATGTTAATGTAAAGGTAGCCCTTTCTCCTCAATTATTTTAAGACCTTGAGTAGAGGTCCGACCAAGGATTGAACCCGGGTGTCAGCTTAGGATTGAACCCGGGTGTCAGCTTAGTGAAAGGCAAGTGTGATACAAGTGATGCTGTAAATAAATAATACCGTTCATTATAGCAAGCGTGATACGTCCAAAAGCTGTTATTTATTTTAATTAAATATAATAATTGTGTTAAAAATATTTCTATTTTAATGCGCGAAATATTTTCCATTCGTTAAGAGGTTATCTATTTTCCTCAGCACGCTATCAGTTTACCGACAGTCACACCACGAGTTTTCGATACAAATTGGATATCACATACAATCGCTATTGAGCATTGTAAGCACCGCGATATACATAATAACTGAAATTGAATAGTATCGCGTGCTATCTACCAAATTGCTCAAGCGGATCGAAAAAAGCACACAAAATTCAATCAAATGGGCCGACTCAATTCGAATTGAATCTAATTTGCAATCGTTATGTCGTTAGTTTAACTTAGCGCAAATCTCTTGGCTGACTATAAATTGACACCAAATGTGGGTTTTCTAGTTTGCCAGCAGACATGGTATTCTAATTAAATCCACATCGCACGAGCTCAGTTTCATTTTGAAAGTAGCGTTTTAAGTGATTTTAGCCAAGGGCTACACAAGTAATTGTCTACCTCAGAACAATGCAAATAGCATTTTGTCAGACAAATCTATTCAATGCAAATGCTGATGTGCGTTTTTGGCATAGATCGAACGTGCATATAGCAATGGTCATAGGAGTGGCAAGCGAAAGCCTCGTAGTAAATTAACACTGGAGCAATAAGGGATGACCCTTACGTTAACATTATTTTAGAGAGATCTAAAATAACTTTTCAAAGTTGAGTCCATGTTTTCCCTTGCGCGCTTGGTAATACTGCCATAAAGACAGTTTAGGTCTTAAGTTTTTGTTGCAAGCTGTCGTTCTCTCTAACATCGGTAGGCACTAAACTTTGACCTATTCCACGCAATGCCAATGATTATGGGTTTGTGGAGCAACAACGTCAGATACCCTCGCCATATTGCATGAACATTTCTAACATAACATAAGCCCCGGTCAAACGAGAATGAGAGTTGACAAGCGAGAGTTTGCATGAGAATGTTCTCAACTCTCATGCCCCGGTCAAACGAGAACAAGAGTTGCGTGAGAGTTGATGAAAGGTGACTGGATATTATTATATACACAAATCAAAATTTGAACCACCTCGATGTTGACGATGGTCGGCGAGACTTTGCGGTCAAACGTGAACTCATAACACATGTGACATGTCGAAATCGGATATTCCGATACATTTCAAATATAACAGTACATTAATTAAATGTTCAATATAAATAATAATGCTACCACATTTATCTATTATACTGTATAGAGTAAATAATTGCTATAGTTTTGGTTTTCAACAATAATCACTCTGTGTTGTTTCTTTGCAATTAAATTATGAAAACTAATCGTTTAACGCGTCAAAACCATAGTCAAAACATTTTCATTGGGTCACCATAACACAATATCATGGCATTGTTTATTTTGCAGGCAAAAGTATAATCATTTGATCAAGTGAATTTTGAATATTTGTAACATTTTATCACCACCAACATAAATGGTCACATATTTTAAATCAATGAACATTGAATATTTTACATGCAAAAAAAATATAATCACTTAAGTATACCCTCTAGGCATCCAAACAAAAATTTATAATCGCTTGCTGAAGAGTCTATAAGTACTGTATCCTCTAGCGCATTGAAAGATTCTGGTCCGTATTATAAACGAAATTTGCGATTGTATATTTTACAGGCCAAAGTTTGTAATCGCTTGACTAAGTCACTATAAAGTCCGGACTAGGCTTGTTTCGAGTGTATTTCGATTACGGCTTGGTAGCTGTTTACAATATATAGTATATGATATATTAATAGGAGCTTGAATACACGTAACACGCTTGGTAATACATTTTATTATGATATGAAATGAACTCTCAGGGCCTATATATAGACTATTCAATAAATACTATTCTCACACAAAGCTGGGAGCTGCTGCAGCCAACCGCCGCAACACTAGTTCAGGCGATGAAAAATTGCGTCTGTCATGTATTAGACACATTTTCATGCGACTTTTGAATTGTGGTATCACTCAGTCAACCAGACTGCGACATAGTTTGAGAAAAGCTTTTGGGATTCAGATTTAATCTTTCCTGGCTTTAAGGACAAACTTACAATAGTCAAATGCAAATCAAGCGTCTGGTTGTCTAGTTAAATACAGACAAAATACCCGTACCAAAAAGTCAAAATAGAACTGTTATGTTTTTTTTTGGTTCACACTTTTTGGTCGTTGGTACTTTTAATACCAGGCACAACTGTAAATGCAACAGATGTACCTATAAATTGGTGAATACCGATTTAGTTATAATTAAGTTATAAACATAACATATAGACTTAAAATCTTTTCTTTAATAATTGTGGCTACATATCGTGTTTTAAAAATATATGTAATGTGGTATAGCATACACCATGCGCCAATTGCAGTGTCAGATATAGTATCTGATGTGACGAAGGGCTTTCATCGAAACCAAATTTTGCATATACTGAATGCAACAACCTATACTACAAAGGACTCGTATAAAAGAGTTCGCTTAACGTTTTTAGCAACATCGTGGTTTATACTTGTTATGCAATTCAGCCGAAGAAGGGTGCTAAACGAGTAAGCGGTTAATCAAATTACCATCGAAATGTTTGATAATAATTTTGAATAGTTTGGGCAAGGCGTCTAGCAAACTCGAATCGACCACATGAATTGTTGACCACAGCAATTCCGATTAGCATTATTTAGCAAAAGTTAAAGCTATCATAGCTTTCTACTCTAACCAAACAGTCGAAATGATACGCTCTGCATGTAGCGATACTCGGACATTTTAACCATTTCCACTGCAAACCGTCACCGCATGTCGTTGACACACTGACCATATCTTAAACGTCGCATTGTTTTGGCTTCGTGAGTGAAGCATTAAACATGTCAGCGAAACCAAACAGAGGATTAGCCCGCTTTCGCTTGTATATTTTCGTCGAAATAGCGACAATTAGGTGAATGCGATGTGTTTTTACCCATGACAGTAACTCAGTGCAAACTATGCTGGCCAATTGATATATTACTAGGCAAATACCACACGCGCAATTTGTATGCCATCCGTAATTATATTGGTTATTTCGGAAGAAAATAAGGATTAACTCGCTTTTGCTTGTATATTTTGGTCGAAATAGCGGCCATTATAGAAAACACAATATATTTCTAACAATAATAATGTGCATTACCACATATATACCAGCGTATTAGCTATTAAATTGGCTATTAATTGGCGAATGCCTCGTAACGTCTCATAAGTGTTACTATATTAACTTGCTACAACGAGTGTTTTTATGCAAAACACAAAATCGGTAATTCCAAGTATACGAACATTTAAATATATATTCTGGCTTTCTACAATGCTTTAGTCATTGTCAGCCAAATAACGATGGGGAAATATTATATTTATTTGGAATAACCGGTTTTGTTTGTGTATTTGCGTATGGTATCGCGGTCGTATTAAATGTCGGTGCGATATAGTACTGCACTGAACTGTCTTAACTTAATAAACTCCGTTTTATTTATTTAGAACAACTTTAGTTCATAATCTACACTACTTCAGGACAAAAGTAAAGGGGAGTTTTCCACAACGAAGAGATTCCACACAATGCTAACTTATAGAAGGAGTCGCATATTCAATCGATCAGTTTGTATTGGTATGTTATCGATGGTATTTTAATAAAATAATGTCTGTAGCGATGCTCACTTACCGACAGTCATCTTTATGCCAATATAGCGGTGGATAGTATAGCTGGCCAGCAAAGGAAACGGGCGATAGTAGCAATAACAGTAAAGTTGATGCTTTCATATTTGTTCCGAGATGCTAAACATATGTGTTTGAATATACCAGTATAAAGCATGCGACGATATGTGAGTGTTTCTTCCGTAACAGAAAACCGCAGGGAGCCAGGGGTTATGGTCCGAGTGTCGAGGGCATGACAACGTGGTTCGTGGGTTCTAATGAAGAGGGTGGGAGGAGGGGGTTTCTGCTCGAGTGTCGAGTAGTGTGGAGAAATTCTCGAGCTTCGTGGGTTTCGTGACCCACGAAAGGAACGAGTGTGTTTCATTTTTGGACAGTGAGGTTCGAAGCTGAACGGTTTGCAGTTGGCTGATGGAACAGTCAGTTAGAGCGCTGCACCGGAATCGCAGGGCTTATATATATATATATATATATATATATATATATATATATATATATATATATATATATATATATATATATATATATATATATATATAATTGAATGAAACTGCTCCGGGTTAGGTCTAAAAATGTATTTAGCGTTTTCGAATATTCCATCTACAAAAAAGCCATTTACGATTTAAAATAATGTTGTTAGTTCAGTTTAGGTTTCCAGAATATAAAGTTAGTTTAGGTTAACAGGATCTCAACTCTCAAGGAATAGAAAGGATATAGCTATCCAGTATAAGTTTTGTCGAGTATATAGTTTAATTTATTAAATCCAAAATTTATATTATTTACGCTCCAAACCTGATCGGTTTGGGATCAGATTTTATACACAACAACCATGCATGGTTGGCATGCATGAATTCTCGTCCTCGATACCCTAGCAACGTCCTACGAGTTTCGTCGAGGCTATATGGCAATTGCCCACGCTTTATAAATATAGATTGTATATGAATTCATTATATCTGCTATTTCTTTTCAGCGAACTGTAAGGGACCAAAATATAATAAAAAAACGTCTAATTTTAGCACGCGATAGAGCCAAACCCAAACAAAACGCTGCTTTTTTAAAAGTTAATTTAGCAAGGACATATGTGAAATTTTTGCAATGACATATAACAGCAACGCGATAAATTCCAGGTGGATTCTTGTTGGTCGAAAGTGCTGTGGCCATGCACGTGAAATAGTCTGGATCTAGATCATGTTACTGAGTGCGCAAACTGACTAAAAAAATACATCGATACCGAAATGTTGCATTCATATTAGTCACAATGACATGAGTCTGGAAAGCCAAGACCAAATGGCGGCGACTTTATCTCGTTCGTGACTGATAAGTGCATTCGAGGAATCATGTTGTGTTTAATAAAAAAAATGGTCCATAACATTTGAAAGCAATATGTTATGTTAAAATCATGGATTGTAATCTGGATCTATGAAGACTGAAAACGGAGTCTAGCGGCACCACTCAGTTAGCGTCACAGGCCATTCGGTGATATAATATGAAAATTGTGGATTGATAGGGATACATTATGGTACCCGCTATTTTCAGGCAGTTGTATCTCATCAATCCTCAGTTTTCTGGGGTTTTTTCCATTATTTTTATAATTTTGTTATACAATGAAAATACAAACAACTATTTTCAAAACAACTACATTTTAAAACTACATTGTAAAACAACTACATTTTAAAACAACTACATTTCTGGGTGTGGTCATTGACCAACGCTTAACATGGAGTCATCATTTAGATATGATTCACAAGAAAATCACGAAGTGTACAGCAACAATATCAAAAGTAGACCGTTACATAAATATGAATGCTCGAAAGCTATTATATTATGCCTTAGTCTATCCATAACTGTTTTATTGCAATTTAATATGGGGTAACACATTTACAAAACAAGAATTCAGAGGTTAACAAGCATCCAAAAAAGATAATGAGATTAATAACATTTAAATTCGGAACACACTGAACCAATTTTTCAATTTAGAGATCTATAGAAATATTAAGCATTGAACAAATAAATTGCTGTCTCACTATTTATGTTTCGATATAATCAACTAGAAAATCAACCCCAAATATTTAAAAATTATTTCACAGCTAATTATGAAATTCACGACCACAACACCTACCAGCGCTCCTTCTTTATTCGTGCATCCAGAACTTGGAACTCTTTACCAACTACACTAAGATCTCCTGACATTAATATTAGGCAATTCAAAACCGATTTACAAACTTACTACCTGACAGCCCTGAGAGAATGCTTCGACGAAGAAGATCCGAGGACATGGAAGACTATTTGTCTGAAGTGTAACACTAGTCGTTACTTACGTTCTTCTGAACTAACTTGTTGTTTTTAGTCTCCTGTCCATGTACTGTATGTTATATATTCTGTACTGTATGTGTATTTTTGTATAGGGCCCACAGTAATTGGTTTACACTGTTGTGGTGTCCCTGCCATTTTTGTCCATGTTTATTGTGTAGATGTCTATTTGCTGTTCTGTTAAGTGTTTTTGGCAAAGTTTAATAAATAAATAAATAAATAAACACAAGAAGTGCATCTCAACTTCACAAAACTTTCACTAAAGAACTATGTAAAACATACTCTTGTTATCAAATAGTGAAAAAGAAATACAAATTGCATTGATATAAACTGTCTTATTTGTACATATAATTATCTTTATTTCTTATTATGAACTGATTATCTTTATAGTCCTATGACAAAATAATGTTTTTGTACATGTATCATAGTTTAGTCTTAAACAAAAGCCTTACTGATAGGTTTCTATATTTCAACTGCCGGGTTGGTTTCGCAGTATCAGGGGCTAATTACAGACCTAATACAAATTAGCAATAAAAACAGTGCAAATCAGTCTCATTACTCATATCTAACTCACTGAACTGAGATATACGCAGATTTATACTCCCGAGACCCGAGGAGATATCGCGCTTTCACCTCGGAGCTGCTATGATAGAGTTTTCCAGATGTTGATAGGAGAGTGCCGATTAATATGCATTTTATCTATACTTCAATTCGTGCTAATCGTGCGACATGTATGCAGTTGGCTGATTATAATCCAACTCTACCAGTCCTAAATTATCTTCCCTAGCCCTAGGGGTGGTCATCCATCCCTTTGTCACTCTGGTGACAGCACTGGTGTTATCATTAGAAGAAATCCTGCGATGTCTGGAAGCAGTTTTCTTTCGGGTGATAAAGGTGAAATTATAATCAGCCAACAATGCATGTCGCAGGAATTGCAGTATAGATAAAATGCACATCGGCACACTCCTATATATCAACACCTGGTATAACGTATAACTCGTAGCATCGAAAGTCGGGAGCCTCGATTTAAAAGGAGCCCCAAGGTGAAAGCGCGATATCTCCTCTAGAGTATAAATCTGCGTATATCTTCAGAAAGTTAGATATATAACGAGAAATAGGGATTTTAATGAATAGTTGCACTGTTTTTGATTGCTCATAAAGACCGAGTTTTATACCACACAACTTTTGCCTAAAACTGTCGCATGCAACTTGCTTACAACTTGAGTTGAAGTCAAGCACACAACAACCTGAACTAGCCTACATACAGTGATCTGATCAGAGGTCCTGTTTGAAAATCATGTGCAATGAAAACGTTTTCCTCAATAAAGACTACTTACTATACATTACTACTACTAGTGCATCCTTTCACATCCAACGCCAACTGCTGTCATCATCACTGCGTGAGATATCAAATTAAACACGTTAGGTCACGCAAATTCCGGGTTATTTCTTACAGTTAATACATATATCATGACATTTTGAGGGTGCAAAACTGTCAAGTTTTTTGGCCCGCAGAGTGCATGGTATTTTTCTGTCAAACACATGAGATCACCGTGATTTTATGTTTTTTTTATTGAGATCAGAATTCGGTAATTTCACCATGATATGAGTCATTCAAGTTGAGTGACGAGAGCCATAGGTATGGCTAGATAAATATTAGGAGTTCGATTTAAAACAACAGAAAATTATTAGTCATTTCTTGGAAAAACAGAAATGTGACAAAAACGCGACATGCATGCACAAGCGTGTATTCGTGTGCAGGTGAACTGAGCATGCGAGAGGGAACGCGTATGTGTAGACGAGGATTGTCAACACGATTATGCACAAAAAATGATAATAAGATATTTGAAGAGATTTTAAGACTCGGCCAAGCTATTTTCAAAACGGAAAATGTATATTTAATGATGTAGTCTGGCCTAAAATCATTTGGAAGAATTATACTTATTAATCTTAAAAAACAATTAAGTCAAAAAAAGAAATTTAATCATATTTTCGTCTCATTATGATGAGGGAATTCGCTGATTGACAAAAACCGTATTGCTCGACTATGAACGGTTAAAGTTATCGAATATTTCAAGTGTTCGACCACTTCAAAACAGTAGGCCAAAGTTATATAGCAGCCAAGCTGGCACTTATTTCTGATTGAAAATTCAAAGAATTTACTTGCAACTTACTTTACTTTATGATGAAGATTTGACGCGCTCCAAACAGAACTTACATATTTGGAGCCGTGATGAGAGAAACGAGAACGAGAGGAACCGAGGAAAGCAGACATTCAGCTAGGACAGTCTAGCTGTTGAACTCCGGAAAGTAGAACAATTTACATCTTTTAAAATCAAACTGTACATTTATCACTATCTGCCGTAGCCTGCGAATAAATGGTGGATTAGAAAAAATGGGCGAAGAAAAAAAGGGCGAGAAAAACGGGGCGAAGCAAAAAATGGGCGCCCTTCTTTTAATATTAGCATTAGTGCATGGTATAGTATATATTATGTTTTGCTCAGGGCTGCATTGAAAATCACTCTTATGATTGAGTGCACTTCCTGATTAAATATTGTAATTATTATTACTATATCGATTTGTGATCTTCTGATTAAAATGCACAATGGAATCATTGATGTTTTTTGGCTGAAAACAAACTGCGATTTCCGTCAGGTATTTAAAACTTGGTCACTTGGCAGTCGTGGCCCGTATTACCTTATGAATCTCTAAATTAACACCTTCAGTTTCCCAATGTACCAAAGCATAAAACCTGGTCACTTGCCAGTCGTGGCCCGTGGGATACATATTTTAGCGTATTTTACCTAGACCGATTTGTTTCCGTGTGCTTTTTACAGGATTAAGTAAACTTTAATATTTCCTTTCAACACTGACTGAAGAAAAGACAATAATTTCCGCCCAGGTCGAAGTGATTTTTTATTAACACAAGGAATATCCATTTTGGTGAAAGATGTGCCCGTCACTCGGATATTAAATACGTTTTTCCTTCAAATTTTTAAGTTTGAATCATGAGAATGAGCATGCACAATTATCTGGTCGCTTTACGACTCCGAGATCGCTTTAGGACAATTACACAAATTTGGCTTAAGTAAGGTTAATGGTAGAAAGGTTCAGAACTGCACAGAAAAATTCCTCAATTGAACATGAATTCAGGGGCTGGCTCAAGCTAAGCCGGGTTGAAACAAATGTCTAGTATCGCAGTCAAAACGGGCTCATGTAAACGATATAAAAAGCAAGCCGCGTGAGGTCTTTGAACCCGGGTTCAAAATCAGGCCTGATCAGACTTATCAGAGGTATAGCAACTAAACGCGTCTGTTGTTAGTCAAGGTGAATAATTGTTCAATGGGTAATGGAAATAATTTTTTAACGGCCATTAATGACCTTTTGATGAGTGAAATCGTCTGGTGTTTAGTCGGATTAAAATCATCTGTCGTTAGTTAGAGTAACTTGGACAAGGATTCTGTCGGTTTCCAAGAATTTTTTTTAAGCGGCCGTGGCACATTAAGGATGCTTTAATCCAAGTTTTATTTTGGATGAGCGAAGAAAAGCAAAAACTGATCAAGGAAAGGGTAGAAATTCCTAGTTAAACAACGATTCTTGATTCGATTCCAGTTTGTACCCTCTTGGTATACCTCCACGTGAACTAAAATTAATAGAATTAATTTTCAGCAGGAGTTAAGACTCAATTTAGCCACTGCAAAACATATCAAACTGTATCACTACTTATGTACAAAACATACCTATGTATAATTGCATGTGGCGATTGACATCTGTCGTTGATATGATATATGCTATTCAGGCGCTTTGGGGAGCACGTGTAAGTTATTTTACAACTGATTGACCGCACGCCGTGCGCAAAGGAGGTGCATATATTGTGCGCAGCTTGATTTGCGCAAAAAATTCAAATTAACGGAGGGCAAATGACCAATTCACAACCAATTTAGTTCCAAATTCAATTTTGTGGATTTGACGGAAATTGCAGGTCGGCTCAAGAAAGACCAGTTTGGAGTTCCGTCTGCACATCGATGATTAATCCAAATGACGCGATCAACGTCGGAAATAAATTGCAGTTGAATAAGACTGTTTAAAATGTGTGCGTCAAAGTATTCAACTGTTCAGTCATTTGTATTTTACATATTATGGCGACAATACAACAGTGTTCATTTGACCTGGCATTTTATTCTTCTCCGTGTAAAGCAAGAAATACGGGAATTATTTTTTTCTGCTGTTTTACATTAGATTTTAGGGAATGCTTTGTTTGTAATTTGAAGCAATCGACAATTCAAAAACTGACTGATAAGATAATGATATTAGCAAAGCCCAGTGTTACTACGTTGGCACAGGTGCTTAATAGTTTTCTTCTTCGCTTCAATATGGGTGTGGTATTAGCTTCTAGGCTCACTCCTTTGTCGGAGAAAAGTGACCGCACGTATAATCAAATTATTCTGACGCCCCAGTAGAGTTGATGAAAAATACAGTTAGTTTAACATATCGAAAGCGTAGCTAAATTTACTCCTAGTTCAGCAGGATGATAAGCTTTGATAGCTTACAAAATTTCATAAAAAAATTTCTTTCTGAAAAAATAACAAAACCGTGTGCAATATTGTTGTTGAAAGTGACACTGTCGATGCTATCTTTGTAATTAGTTGAAAATATACAAACGAAAAACCATCTGGAGAACGATGTTACTATAGGTGACCTCAGTAATTTCCCTCCAAGAGGCAAATCGTGCAGGTGCAAGTACATACGTACATCCAATTTCTCTGTCATAAAACCAATAAAAACCATGATGCGCGCATGCATGGGTGAACTTATAGTTACACAACTGGAGGTTGTTTTGTACATAATTCTAACAGTTGCAATTATTCACTTAAAGACTATAAGAACTGGTTTGCGGTATTCAAGCTGAAATAATTAGGTAATTATTATAGTACTGATTTCCGCCTAGTATATAATTTAAACTATGACTAAGACATTTAATTGGACCTCTCTAAAGTTAGTGTGTCCGTATTAGGAGAGGTGACTCAGTGTATGTCCGTACATGCAGTATTTTAATAGGGAGACGTGACCGTATTAGAGGTATACCCTGGTACATATTATAGGAAGACGTCCGTATTAGAGAGGTAGAGTCCAGTATTGGGGAGGTGTTCATGATGTACTTTTCAAAAACTCATTAGTACTAATTCATGAGGAAAACACAAAGGAAAATCATAAGCATGTCGTATCTTTTTTGTGATAGAGATTTCCTTTGATATACATAAACTTTAACATTGATTTTCTCGACTTACACAACGTATTTTTTGAAAATTACTTCGTTAATGAACTTACTGGATCGATTGTTTTTTAAGCAATTTGAAACATTCGCAGTGCGTGTTTTATCAGACCGTAAAGATACTGGGCTTTGCCTCGTATCTTTATATCTCATAAAACATTGCTGCTCATGTTTTAAGTAGTACATAAAAAATAAATGTAATCCGAACCAAGATAGTCAGTATCTTGGCGACCGCGTTTGTTGACATTGGCACATTTTACACACACCGGTAGTTAATTATAGCACAGATTATAGCAGTTTCACGCCAGGTGCGACTTTCGCCAATTGCAAACATGCCGTGTTTTCTTGGGTAATTCCTGCCCACAGTTTATGCTACAAAATCTTTCATAATACCCACTGATTCCCCATGAGCAGTATTACAAAATGTACATATATGGCAAAAGTGATGATCACCATCACTCTGTCAACGCCTCATTTAAAATACAAATATTTTATGTAATTTGCCGGTATCCAAGACTAAAACCCGAATTCATGAATATTCAACACGGCGTTCGGCAAGCGAAACACCTTACATCAATCTCGGTCGTATATTATAGATGAAACCGAGACGGTTTTAAATGTACTTTTATATGCCTTCTTGCCTCGTTCCGGTTCTAAAATTACATTCAATTTCTCAGAAGAGGCCAAGAAGGTCTAATAGGATACATATCAAAGAATGTTTAAATCTGTCTTTATTCTGAAAATGCATGGTTAATCGTATATCTGAACCCTTTTTCGGCAATATATCAGACCCAGTAGATATTAATATATTTTATTATCTTTCTTTATTATCTATAACAAGCTTAGAATCAATTTCAGACGGCTACTCGTTGAGACTATTCAACTCAACTGTATTTTGTCATGATATTAATTAGGTTGATTATAGTACGAGAAATTAAAGTTTCACCGTATATTTTTTATTCATTGTTTTAAGAATGACTTTGCTTTCCGAAAGTCGGTATAGGAGATGTGTTTCTTCTATTGATGAAGTCGGGCAAATTTTTGTCTATCCCTTATAATCCCCCCCCCCCTAATTTTTAATCTCCCCCTAATTTTTCCCGCCTGTACTATGCCTATGAGTGGAGTACCTGAGAAAGACAGCAAAGGTAGCGTATTCTCTTCAGTTATATATTTTAGGACCTTGAGTAGCGATCCGAGCAATGATTGAAGCCGGGTCTCCCAGCTTGAAAGGTTTTAAGCGTGGTGACCACGACATCCGACTGAGGTGTAATCATAAGGGGCGGACCATTAGAAATCCCGGGAGGGGGGGTATAAAATTTTTGCGGCACGAATTTTTTTTTCAGTCTCATGTCTCTGCAGGAATTTTTTTTAATGCATTTAACCTCTGCACGAATTTTTTTTCAAGACTACTTGTACTTCACTGTTTGCTTGCACGAATTTTTTTTCTCTGACGTAATGGCTGCACGAATTTTTTTTCCAGGCATTTTTCTTTGCACGAATTTTTTGGGGGGAATTTTCACCCCCCCCCTCCCGGGATTTCTAATGGTCCGCCCCTAATCTCTGACAACTGTATATTGCAGGAACCGAACCCAGATCAGAATTCAGGTTTTATTCATGTGACTTAGTTACCATACCATGCAGGACTGATGAAAACAAATGATTCATCAACTGCAGGAGATATCAAGACTATTCTCCCAGGGTGTCAATCATATCTGCTGCGCAGAGACAGTGTTTCCCAGTATGAGTCGTGCACCCATACAGAGTGAAATAAGAACAAAATTAAACTAATCTAAACAGTATATTTATATATTGGATATGCTCTATAAGCTCTGCGGTCTACAAGTTCCCCCACAAGGCTATCTGTGCAACATGTTGGCCTCATTCCTGATTGATCCGGGTTGGGTTACTTAGACAGGAGGAAACCGCAACCAAACTAACTTTATTTCATACCGAATAGCTTTGTCGGTTTTGCCTGAATTGTTATCTCTAGAGAGCTGCATTAATTACGTCTCCTATTGGTCCAATGTTACTCCAGGGTAAACCCAAACTAAACTAACTTTATTTATACTGGATAGCTCTATCAGTTCAAAGCAGGCCATATGCAGTAACTGGATCAATATACGCGATGCGTCTTACTCAGTGGCAGTAAGACGCATCTCGTATTGATCCGCGCGGGAGGAAACCTAAACTAACTTATTTATACTATAGATAGGTCTATATCAGTTCTGAACTGTTCCCAACTTCCCCTGCATGGTTCGAGAGATCCAGTTTTAATGCCATCTTGTTACCGTAGCAGTATATCAGTTCTGTCGTCCGGTCTGTCGTTATTGTATCACTTCTTAACTGTTTTCTTCTATAAAGAGCCAATCTGTAATCCCTTATCGGTCCAGTGTTACTGCAGCAGGGAAGACATGCAGGAATTCAGAGCACCTGCAGAAAACCTGTGGTGTTTGGTAGGCCACTCGAAGCATTCTTCTCACATGGACTTACAGTACAGATTGGCTCTTTATAAGAAAACAGTAATAATAAATTTATAATACATTTTAATATTAAAAACTCATAATAAATCATTTTACCAGAATTTTCACTTGTTGAAAATTTTCTTAAGTTCAATGTAGCTTCAATTCTGGCCATGTATATGTATCTATACCCTTCGGCATGCAAAGCTCATAGATTTCAGTGATGTCTTTGATCAGGGTGTAGAAACAAGGTGGAGAATTTGTCAATAGGCGTTCTTCCAAGATACGATTTCTTCCTTTATAGAATTGTTAAACTGGCTAACCACGGGGCCTATATATCAGACGGACAGATATATATATATATATATATATATATATATATATATATATATATATATATATATATATATATATATATATATATATATATTACCTGTATATATATATATATATATATATATATATATATATATATATATTACCTGTATAATGATACTCTTTCTATATATATATATATATACATTTATATATATATATATAGTTTACTCCCCATCACTCACTAATTTATTTTACATATAATTACGGTGTTTTTTTTTCTTCTGTGTTACTACGTACATGTATCCTAGATCTTGCCGTAAATTGGAAAAAACGTCCTTTCTTGAGCAATGAGCATTCATGTAAATACCGGCTTGAGCGGGCACATTTTTTTCACTTGTTTCCCGACGGGATCACATGATCAGCTAATCACGTTTACCGTTAACTACTATAGCTCAGTAATTATTATAACAACTGATGTCATTACTGAATTTCTACTGCGTAGGCGTAGCTAAAACAGTTCAGTGATAACATATATATATGGAAATATAGTAACCCTCAGTCAGTGATTCAGTTTGTTTTAATAATCACGGAATGGCACATCGTAAACTATACCTTGTATACCAAACACTTTTAGGCCTCTCAGCGAGTGCACAAAACCGAGACCGACCTCTTAGACAGCATCGCACGCAAAGAAATATTTTTAGTCCGTGAGATCTATTTCAAAACCGCTATCATAAACCATCGTATAGGCATGCAAATATGCAAGTAAACTATACGGATTGTTCCTATTCACCCTGGCTGTTTAACCCCATATGGTTGTCGCAGGCAGGCGATCATATATCTAAGTAAACAGAGTCATGGAGCAACCATTCTTAACCCACTATAGCTTTTATTGTTCATCGCGGTAATAGCAATGCGTAGGCTTGCGAAACTTGCCATACAGGGGTTACATTTGCTAAAAATGGTAACGGTGTTCCATAAATGGAAAAGTTGTCATATAAACATGACGAGTCGCACGGTTTAATCATGTACATGTAAATTGCCAGCATTGTTGTGGACGTATTGGTTCCTAGCTAGCTATTCTTCCTATAGGTTAGCAAACCAGGAAACATTGTTTTCTATAGCAATGTTCCCAAGGATGAGCGGAAATGAAAACATTGCTTTCTGGCAATTTTTTAGCCCAAAATGGGCAAAGCAGAAAACATTACTGCACGGAAACATTGTTCCCAAGCCATGTTTTTCAAACTGGTGGGCAAACCAGAAAAAATTGTTTTTAAGCCATGTTTCCCAAAGGCGGGCACAGCCGAGTGAGAAATTTTTTTATTTATTTTCTAGCCATGTTTTCCAAAGGTGGACAAACCAGGAAACCGCGTTGTTTCCTATAGCCATGTTTCCCAAAGGCAGAAAAAGGTACATGAACAAACTGGGAAGCATTGTTTCCTAGCCCGTGTTTCCCCCAAAGCGGGCAAACCAGAAAACCATTATTATTGTTTTCTATAGCTATTTTTTCTAAAGATTGGCAAACCAGGAAATGTTGTTCCTATATAGCAATGTTCCCAAAGTTGGCAAACTAGGAAATATTGTTCCCAGCCCCATGTTTCCCATAGTGCATGGGGAGACTGTACAGGGTGTCTAAAAAAAAAAACACTATGGAAATTCAACAAGCTGTCGTGCATCATCATTACATCAACTTTGCTAAACAATTCAATTTTTACATAGGACGAAAGAACAGTTATTTAGCAGTTCAATGCCGACACCTTTTTTAAATCGTAACGATGAGAAATATGGCAACATACTCGTCAAATAAAAATTGCCTATCGAAATCACATTCTTCTACCGTTGGAATTGAAAAATAAGTAAATACATTAATTATGCAAAGTTAATCCAAAAGCAACGCGAGTCTGCAGCAAGCTACTATTTTTTCCCCCGTAAACTTTTGTTTGATTACGAATGTTCTCTGTTCAGGTGGTTAATTGAAGAGCGCGAAGGTCCTCTATTAAGTTTATCGGTTTTTAAAAACGTTTAATATGCATATATTATATTTAAACTAAGCTATTCAATGTTTTTCTACTCGGCACTTCTCAATGTTTCCTAAGAGGACAAGTTAGGTCCCTAATTAGCACCATTTTTGGAACCGAAAAATGGTTGGAATTAACGACAATCAATCATTTATAGTCTCTTTAGTGGTAATTATAAAAAGGAAAACGAAGAATACAGATATTTGTAGAACGTTATACCTTTTCATATTTTAAGATACACTATGGCAACGAAAACTAAGTCGTCTTTCAGTAGCAACTCGTGATATTATATAAGGGCACTATAAAAAGGCATTAAAAATCTAAGTACAGGCAATGAATGTTGATAATAGTACGGTTTCCAGAGTTTATTTAAATTAAGATGTTCTGTACAAATAAAATGGTACAGGTGGTTTGTAAATTGTTATTGAAAATTATTTATATGCATGCATGTATAAATAGTTAAAAAAAAAGTTAGCCTTTCTCGTCGTAATTCAGTTCCTCATTATTCCGTGACTATTGACAAAAATATGTCGCAGTTTAAAATTAAATATACACGACTTAATCTAATTCTGCAAACATAAATGGAACAATGGAAATATTAATGTTTTCAGTTGAATAACAAATATAGAAGACCAATTAGCGTTCTTTTAGTCAAATAAATATATTAAAGTTGCTTCTCGAAAAAATCTTACTATATACTAGTTTCCATTCTTTCCAAACCGTAGCTAATTATTGAAAACGCATATCATCAAATTTGTGGTCTATAATTATTTTTTGCCATTGTCATTGATATAACCTTTTATGGACAAAAGCTGGATCGAAATATCAGCAGAAAGTTAATTCCTTAAGAATTGCGGTTGTAATCTAGAATTTATCATATGACCGATAGGATATATACAGTGAATATACTCAACATTAATCGTATATGTTTTTTGCATGTTTTTATATATGGTGAATATCTATTTGCCAAACGGGTGATTCCACAAAACAAAACAATTATATTAATCATCCACTTCAAACTTCCATTTTGGGTGTTAATTTTTTGTATAAAAATGAGCCAAGACTTTTCTATTGCTGACAATGAGTCATGATTGCACGTGCTATTCAAAGTATTGTTTGAAATGGGTTTCTTTCATAAGAGAATTAGGGGCAGAATCTTCGTTCAAAAGAAGAACCATTTCGAATACATGCATGCATGCGTGGCGAATAATTTCAGCCCATCTAGTTGGACTAGAAATTTTCCACAGAAAGGCATATACTATATAGTTGGTTCTTCACCAGTAGCCCTATTATATATGGTGCACAAAGTTGTTCAGACTAGCCCTTACATATATATACTGGTTTATTGGGGGTGAACAACAATTTTTAATTATATTTTAAGGAAATTATTACGGTAACCCGCTGAAGATAACTAAAAAATAATAGTCGAAAAGCTAACTGTAGGGACATAATGCATTGTACTATATATTGTACTGGACTGAACTATATACTGTGCTGTAATGTCTTGTGTAAATTCAGTATAAAATATGATGGCGAAGTTATATACTAACTAACTAAATAAATAATAAATAAAATAATGCTTAATGCTCTCTCAGTTTCTTTCTTTAGAGTTACCGTTATTTCAATACATAGCTTTAAATCATGGTTATTGCTTAGTAAAATTTGAATGTAAGGAAATTTCACATTTTCAGTCGCTATATTCGCATCAGGAAAACAGGACTCTTGCCTACCGAAGATTACAGCAAGTTGGTAGGCCTATACTGCTATAGGCTAATAATTTGTTTAACTAATTGGGAGGTTATTCATGATCAAGACTATAAACGTGTAGTCCTAGCTCTCGCCTGCATGTTGGGGCTAATATAAACACCTCATTTAATAGAAAAACATATCAGTCGTGTTTTCGAATTAGATTGATTGTTTTTCTTTGAAATTCTTTCCCATTTGTGGTAAACAGCCATCGTCATGACATAACCTGTTAATCAGATCATATATACACCTATGGCTATAGGAATTAGGATATAATTTCCTTGATGTCACAGCTCAAGCCAAGCCTACTGTGAACTTACGTACGTAGCTTTCTGTTGTTCCGTCTTGTGGGGGGAGGTGAAGAATGAAATACCACGCAAATTTAAAGATAGAGAGGGGGGGGCGTCTATTAAAATGATTTTTTTTCGCAGTTATTTAGTAAGGCTGTATTCGAGTTAAAAGTGATACTGCACAAAACTAACTACTAGTCTTTTATTCATTTAGTTATTTTATGAGAAACTTTATAGGGATTTTTGAATCATATACAGCCCTTACTATTTTGTTCATAATATATCGTATACCATACACTGAATGAAATGCCTTGGGGCAAAATAAAGTTCCGCCGGGAACTACATGGGTAATTATTTTCTAGCCATGTTTCCCGAAGGTAAGCACACCAGGATTTAAACATTGTTTCCGATAGTTGCCTCAGTATTGTAAAGAACTTTTAAAATATTTATCATAGAACTTCTAACTTTGCCAGTTGCATGTTTATTGTGTCCTGCGTAATTTCTTATTGGAAACTTATTTGCGACATGTGCCGTGTGCCACTGGAGTTCTTCAGCAAAGTAAATTGCGTGATTACACATTTTTCACATGTTCACAATAATTCAAAATGGCGCCATTGTTTTGGTCAAAATCTTTAAAAAATGAACAACATGTAAAAAAGATGTAAAAGGTTTTCATCCAAAATTTCAAACGTTCTTTCAAATAAAGCAATAGTTTCAGTATTATTTCCAACATGCTTTGTTTACTCTAAGACACAAGCATTAACTTTTCACTCAGCAACATTCTTGCTTGAAAGAAGAATGTAGGCAACGAAGATAAAGAAATCTCTTTTGAGCATTCTCGATTAAACTCACTTTTTAAATATTGGTTTACACGGACACTGCCTACATTGGACCCCCGTGTTTGAGATATGTTTTTTTCAGGTAAGTTCAGATACAAACCACGACAACTCATTGCAGAGTAGGCCTACTACCAACTAACCTACACTGGACCAGTAAGTTTGCATGAGATACCAAACTGAATTTCCATGTTTGATCAAGTTTTAAATGTATAGTTTCAACATCATTTTACGGGAATTTCGGAAGAGTTTAAAAATATTGGCTTCACGGTATTTCAAGGGTAATAATAGGATATTTACTTGTCTATGGTCGTATTGTTATTGTATATTGGGCAATATAGGTCAATATATTAAATCACATATGTCTAGTTAATGCATGATCAATTATCCCACGACTTCCTCAATTTGAAACTGATTTGAATCACATGTTGTATCTGTTGATAGGTTTTCCGTAAATTTATTTTATTTTTGCGTTATTTTCTAGTAATCTGGAACTATCTAAATCACTGTTTTGCCTCTATTATCATCGCAACAGACGGTTCGCTTAACATGATTCAGAAGCGAGCGCAAACAAAGAACTTTTTATCGATCTGCTCGAGGATCTACTTGTCCAAGGGGCGGAATCTGTGGCGGAATTAGACAGTTAAATTGAGTGTATCTAACGATCGAGTGTCGAGGCGAGGGTAAAAAAAGTCGAGGGAGGAAAGTTAAATATAGAGGTTCGAGGGTTAGGCATTGAAGGACGAGTGTCGAGGGTAAAAATGTTAACACTCGACTGGGAGAAGGGGGGGGTAGGATCTCTGATGTGTCTGTGCACTGTGGTCTGTGTGATGTCTTGGATCTACAACAAGCCTGCTTCTGTGGTCGAGGGTTTGATTGGAAGGACGAGTGTCGAGGGTACAAATATGTTAACACTCTACCCTCGACTAGAGGAAGGGGGGTCGATCTCTAGTGTAGGGATGCAACTACCTCAGTCTACCTGAAAAATGCAGCGAAATTCGACGTTTCGAAATTCGCTTTGACGTCGAATTCCGAAACGTCGAATTTCCGGTGTCGAATTTCGCTTCTAACGTCAAATTTCGAAACGTCGAATTTCTTCCCTCGACGAGAGGAAGGGGGGTTGATCTCTAATGTAGGGATGTAACTACCAAATACAGCGAAATTCGACGTTTCGAAGAAATTCGCTTTGACGTCGAATTCCGAAACGTCGAATTTCCGGCGTCGAATTTCGCTTTTGACGTCGAATTTCGAAACGTCGAATTTCTGGTATTTTTCAGTATTCACTTTTTCAGGTAGTTACATCGTCTACATCCCTACCAACGAAAGCTTGTTATAAGTTATTATTAGCACTACCTACACTGGCACAAACCGTTTAAGACTATATCTCTGTATATTATAAAAAGCCTGGTTCTGTGGTCCAGTGCAATGCTACTATAAAATGCCCACGGCGGCAAAACATTTGTTTTTACATGAAACGAATATATTAATGAATGGTCTAAGATTACGAGTTGGTATTATGCTTTAAAATAAATTTTTATATTTTAAAGATATGTAGCCAACGTTGACCAACGTTTAATCGGTAGGGCAATTTTACTGGCTAACAGGCATTTGCCATGACCGGGCTATAAACGACAGATATAAAAAAGACCTGGAGATCTTTTCACTCATGGCTGTTAATTAAATAAATTGAATTCAGTCCAAACCATAGGAAATATTAGCAAACTCGATGCAGGCATAATAGACCTTATCAATCTATGTTTTTGTTTTACGTTTATGCAAAAAAAAATGGTTGGTTCATCGTCACGTGTGTATTGTTTTTTTTTTCCAAACCAATATACCAAGAGCAATACATGCACAATGGTTAAATTGAAAACATAGCTGTTGCCTGTTGGTTTCTCTAGCGAAAATACAATAACGACAATACAGACCTGTCACGTGATGATGAACCGACCATTTATTGCATAAACCAAGACAAAAACAGACAATGATTAATGAGGTCTATTTTTTCTGTATATCGAATTTCTTTAAATTACAAACCTATAGTTTCTTATTTTCTATTGACTATATATCTACACTTTACGTAGTTTTACTGTATTCATTGCTAACTTCTTTAATTTTCCTCTACCCTCGACTTGAAGCCTTGATCCTCGAAGATTTTTGTGGTCTGAATTCACTCTTGCGTAGCGTTGGCAATGTATCGTCACTTGACACGATAATATAATCTCGTAAGCCGTTTCACTGCCTTGTGGCGTACCAAAGGCTTAATACCGCTGCATTGTGACAGAAAAGGAAATACTTAGCTCCCTTTGATAAATAATCAAGACTCTGACTCAACATCGCTCTGGTAACCTTCTGTTAAAATCTAGAACGATTTCTTCGACGTTCTAAACCGATATGCGAATCGCAAGCGTGGTGTTTTGTATTGGTATTTTGGTAATATCAGAATGCCTTGGTTACTATTATCCTCCGGTCTTTTGGCATTGGCAGAATTGTGTGTAAGTTTGAACCGGTATATTATACATACGTAAAAATCGCCCGTATACTTTATATAGCATAAATGTGTGAAAATACATATGCGTTTGTGCAAGATCGCTATCTCAAACGCGATGTTTCAGTGTTGATAGTATTCTGCAATAATCTTGTGTGATTTGCGTCTGAACTATACCTGAAAACGATTCCAAACGTTTTTAAGTTTGAATCTACATGATATCTTGTTAAAGCCCAACCGCGCGAAACTATATATAGAAGTGTCTAAATATATGGTTATCTTGACATTGCGATTCTAGTGTCGGCGGTATTCTACAACAAGCTGCCGTGCTTTGCGTCTGAACTACCTGAAATGATTCAATTAGCACTTCGCGTTTCGGATCGAACGAGGACCCCATTTACGTAAATGCCTTCGCTTTAATAATTAGTTTCAGGTTGTTTTAGACCCAAACCAAAACAGTCTGTATAATTGCTATCGATTTTGCATTCCTTCCGAATAAGTGGATCTTGCAAAACCCAAGATATTTCGTTGATTCTAGGATTATAGAAATCTGGGGTTTACGAATAGACTATATTCGCGCATGCTTCAAAACATATTGCTGGGAAAATGTTATGTTATTATTATGCGTTCCATATACACTAATGTATACATATATCATTGGTTCTTATTTTAATTTTGTTGGGGTTCATTAGTGTTGGTATAGTATCGTAGGCTACGTAGCCCTTGCTATATTCACGCATTCCAATAGATTAAGTTTACCGACGGATATTTGCCAAAGGATGTACAGCTATACATATATTTCATCTGTGTGAACGAAAATTTCGGCGCTCACAATATTTCAACGCTTCCTTATATGCGTGTAAATAACGCAAATATTAGTCATCCAACGCATTTTGAACAAATATGTTATCATTTAAGCAGGTCCTTAACGTAATCTTACACTATAGTCGGTGCCTTGCTACGCGCGTATTAAGCTGGATCGCATATTTGGCACTGGTCATGTTTGGATAAGGATTTCTAACAAAATTTATTAAGTATATGCGTCGACTTTAAACAGGCGCACAAGTTAAAATATTAATCGATGATTTGGTTGGCTAGATTGGCTAGTTTAAATATGCTGATAATTCTGTACAAACTGCAGAGATCATATCGCAGATGTGAAGAGCTGTGCGCGCCCTGATGTTTGGTTTTATAATGTCTATTAGGATTCATGATTATTCATTATTATCATATAAAGTATACACGTAGCATTTTGTTATACCAAACTACCTTACTATAAGATGTCACTGGAGTTTCACAAAATCGGCATAACATTGTACAAAAGTACCATTCATTGCCCGATATTTGATAAAACATTTTATTTCTTCGTATATATTCTAATATAAATGCAAAATCGACATCTAAATGGTCATTTTTACGATCATACAAATTTTATATGGTTTTGAATATACTCTGAAGTCTGGAAGGTCAATGTTCGAGACTTTTCAAGTATGCCAACATAAACAATATTCCCGGGTTATACCTTGTCCAAAAATTACCTGCATATATGTACTATCATTTTATCATTGGCATGCTTCAGCATTGAAAATTCACCGAACAGTATACGTAAACATTTTTTTGCGCGCAAATTTACCGCATTCCTGTAATGATAGTGAACTATTGATATTCGGTTTACCAACCCTTCGATACTTTCCGCAATACAGGAAAACCACGGCATATATAGTGATGGTGTATACCCATTATTCTGACTCAGTTTGGTAGCTACCACATTGTGGTCTGTGGAACGTAGATCACACCAAACTATTCACTCTATCGCAAATATTTTGATACACTCTACGATAAGGATTAATAATGCGCCGTTGTTTGTGTGAAAACCTAATCGAAAGTCACAATAAAAAGTCAATTATCTCCTTGTTATAAGTTCCTGTGTGATATATTCCGCTTTCCTGGCCTTTTTTCAAACGGATTTGCGTAGCGAGTTCTGCACGTAACTAGACACATAACCATCTCTGTTTACCATATGTCAACAATTCGGTCGAGGTTTAAGGGATATTTTCAGTGAAATCCCCCAAATTGATATAAGAACAGACCGTGGCTCAGAGTGCATTAAAATGCGGAGCAGTTCGTTATTGGTGCAATATTATGATTATAATCTTGAATCTGTTCGTTTGCCACATATTATAATTATGATTTTGAATCAGTTCGTTTGTTACAATATTATGATTAATTTTGCATCTGTCGCGCAAAGAAGAGATTCCAGTTTGACTCTGTCTCTGATAAGCACTGCAGGCTTCGTTGGGATATTTTGGTTTCCTCCTGTAGTAAACGTAATACTGTTGGAGTGTAGCTATTATAAGATAGCTTTGGGGCGCTTTAGTGGACCTCTTGCGAGGCTGGACAGTTTAAGATGATAGACCTATCCATTAATCATTATTTAATGGAGTTAAGTTAAAACTAAGTTTTAAGGAGTCCTCTGGTAAGGGCCTATATTATACAGTTTGCATGTATAATGCTTAAGCAATAAGGAATGTCTTTTACTGGGCATTCAGAACTGACAAAGCTATTCAGTTTTGATCACCAATCGCAACCAATCGAGATTACTATAGAGACGAGGTCTTTTGAAATGCTACTCTTTGAGTCCAACTCTGAAAGCATTCTTTTAAAAACTGTCAATTATAAGATTTATGAGAGAAACCATCTTTGCAAGAGATGCAAACAGATTGTGTGTATAGCCTGTGATTGTTTTGAAGCGAGGCAGTGGCGTGTATATATCATTAACTTTAATTAAAAATGACCTCTTTCGCATGACCAGAACTCGCGCTGACATGCTAAAGTCATAAAATCATATAATAACTTTATCATCAGTGTTGCAAATTAATTTGTAGATTGCAACTTTTAATGAACTATTTCGCCTAAATGCGTCAACATTTCCCTTGAAACTGTCTGTTTACGTATCAAACAGGAAACTTTAGATAAAAGCTTTGTCTTTTTTTCAAAACATGAAGCAATTTGTTGCCCAAGTCGCTGCTGGACAAGCGTTTGCCATCAAGCGAACTCCATGGGGTTCTGGTTGCTCTATTTTGGTTTAATGAACGTTTTCATTTTTTTATTGTTTAATTTTAACAACTTTTATGCAAATTGCCAATGTATTTATATTTAAATGAAGCTTGCATGTACAATTGTGGTTGCTGTCCAAAATGTGCGCACAGTACAACTGTTTAGCTTATATGATAGCATCAGGGGTAGTAATCTTTTCTAATAAAAAATCATGAGCTGGTTTTGTTATTCTTAATCTCTTGTATTCAGATTGCAATGTATTTTATTCAAATCCGACTCTGTGAGCAATTTTGGTCGCCATCCAATAATTATTTGTTGCCTTAACTGTTTCATGTTAGCAATATCTTTATTTCAAGATAAGTATTGCGTTTTGTACTAAAAGATTAATTCCATTTTGAATATTTGCAATTAGTTCGCATGCGATAATGTGAACTTAAAACGGTAACTAATGATTGTTAGATAGACAGATGTCTGATTATTTATTTTCTGCCCCAATAATTTTGAATACAACAAAGCACACATGAAAAGCTTTAACAATTTAAGTGGTGCCAACAATTCTATAAATACTATTTATTTATTTTTCTCGAAGAAATGGTTTTTGGGTCCCCGTTAAAATCTACATAAGATGTTTAGACTATAGAAATTGGTCTGCCAAAGTCTGTCCGATTCTATTAACTATGCAAACCCATGTCAAGCCTGTCCAACAGGCAGTATAAATGAAGTTCGGTAATGCATGGTTTATTTTACGTCGTCATTTTAGGAATTAAGCTTTGCGCTATTTTATAGTTATTTTAATTCAGTTTGGTCTGGTTTGAAACTTTTAGTTATTTTTTTGCGTTCATTAAGTTCGTCTAGTTTAGATTTCCTTCTGAACAAATATTCAGTAAGGTTCGGCCATTTCTACATTGCAAGATAAACTAAGATATCCAGTATAAAGTGACTTTAGTTCAGGTTTCCACGCAGAGGACCAGTAATGGATGACTCTTACTGGAACTCTAAGGAGAACAATTTAGAACTGGTTTAGCTATCCAGTACTACATTATTATTATTATTATCAACTTTATTTATGGAGGGTGGACACATAGGGTCATAGGCCATAGCAGTAAAAACTGACAAACCTGCAGTCTGTGGCCCTCCGAGAATAGAAGTCACAATACATTAAGTAACTACTTTCAACTACTATAAACTACTAACTTATACAATTATATAATCAATATTAAAATTATCAATATCCGTAAACTGAAATAAGCATTATTTATTGTATGTCTCGACTGTCCGAATTTTTGGTAGGATAAAGTTTAGACCTCGCTTTCTGTGTGCTCCGTACTGTAGCCTCGACTGTGGCTCTCTTACTTAGAGAGAAACGCCCGTATTCTAAAAGCTCACTCACACTCAATGAGTGGAGGTTCAATCTGAGCTTCTCTTGCCAGTGTCAATGCTGTTTTTGAATAGCTGGACGGTGAGTAGTCACATAGACATAGTAAGGTATGACACCAGCCCTCCAGCTATTTAAAAACAGCAATGACACCATTGAGTATTTGAGTGTGAGTGAGCTTTTAGAATACGGGCGTATAATAGTTTGTGTAAACTATGAGTTGTGACTTGTTCGGTCTTCTGCTCATACCAACGTATCTGGGTTCCTGTGGCCCGCCCATGCATGAGGTTTAAATGATCTATATATTAAGTACATTGTTTCAGTTGCCTTGGCGGCAACGCGGCAGGCTTGCGCTTCCTATTAATACATCTCTTGCAAGTAATAAACTAGTGACTGCGAGAAACACAATAACTAAACCAACAAACGCTAACTAATACCTACAACTCCGTCCAAAGTTTGCCGTGGGTGGAACAAAAGCGATATAAATCCACCTCACACCCAGGCGCGATACTTAATTGCCGGCTATTCATGATCTTGCTGCACAACGGCGCGCAATGACAAAAGTGGTACCGCTAGGTCTTCCAGCAAAGAAATTATGTGAACTGAGAATTCTCAACAGTCGAACCGGCATTAAACTAACTATATTTGTACTGGATATCTAAACACAGTTCGAAACTGTTTTCCCTAGCTAGAGGTCCAGTATAAGAGTCATCCATTACTGGTCCACTGTGAGGAAACCTAAACTCTAAAGTTCTAAACTCATTTATCTATCCAATCATTCCAGTCCAGAATCCAGAGTAGATTACTCCAGTCTTTAGTATACTAAGTGCAAGCCCCAAACCATAACTATATTAGGGTCTGAATATATAATGTTCCGGATAATCCCAATTTAGCCTTATATTGATGTACTGTATGCACTATTTGCGATCTATATAAGTATATGTCTGAGAGAGACTACAGTTTAGTCATGTTTTGGTATTCAATTTCGTCTTACTTTTATTTCGTCCTGCAAATAATGTTGTCTTCCTCTTATGTAAATGGCCTAAGTCCCCAAAATATTATGGTTAAATTCACCCTCGCTATCTTTTATAACTATCGCTCACTGATCCCAAACGAAGGATATAGAGCTTACTTTTGAAGCCAGGATATTTATGAGTGGGTGAAATTCTTTACAAATGGAATGGTTATGTGATTAACTTAGCTTCACTATGAAGCAAATGTCTTTTTCTGTATTACTTAAAACATTTGGCTTCCCAAATCTCTTCTAACGAGTTTTAGAACGCTTTAATTAAACACTATAGATGCCGGGCCATATTCATTAGTTTTAAGAAGAGTGGCCACTGATGATCAATTATTATCTCGACAATATCTTTCATTTCTCAACAATAAACAGAAACTGACAGAACCTCATCTAAGTTTCAGCAAGAACAAAGTATATTTGTGGTTGACATTGCAATATGGCCGCCTTTGGCGTTGGACGGTGAACTTCTTGCGAGCTTGGACATATCGCCAATTTCATCCATTAACGTTTTGTAGGTGTCATATGACTTTTAATAAAATGGTTCTTTTCCGTTACTTCCTTCACAAGCTGTAGTTTTGCCAGCAATATTCAAAAAATAGGCATAACATTGCTTCCTGGCACTTCTTATTTCCGAGTGGCAATTGAAAGGGCGCCTCAGTAAGAGCCTGCTAGGCCATGGACATCACTGTTACATTGTTTGTATGAAGGAGGGGAGGGGTAGATCAATTGACTTTATTAGTACTGGTTACTGATCTGAATATGTGACTGGATAGAGTATACTTTTGAATTCAATCAACCAAGTTTGAAGCCAGAATATTTTATATAATAGATGAGATTTTAAAGTATGTCAAAACATCTGATTTTAAAGTATGTCAAAACATCTGCAAGTCTGATCGTGGCGTGTTAAAATGAGCTATATTATCAAGCAGATGTCTGTTCCTGCTGTATGTAACTTGAAAGATATGGCTTCCCATATCTCTTCTAATGAGTTGTAGAACAATATGCCAGGCCAGGGTGGGAAAGATATAGCTTCCAATATCTCTTCTAATGAGTTGTAGAACTCATTAGAAGTTTCTAATGAGTTGTAGAACAATATGCCAGGCCATGGTGGGAAAGATATAGCTTCCCATATCTCTTCTAATGAGTTGTAGAACAGTATGCCAGGTCATTTTCAAGCTTGCCCGGTGTGGATATACATGCACACTCAGAGTAACATCACAAACATCATATTCACCTGAGTACACAACATCAACACAGAAAAAATTAGAGTTGTAGAACGTTTTAAACACTAGATAATGAGACTTGTGGCAGCCAATTTGGTGCGACCTCATTAGTTATTCACGGGCGAATTTAAGGGGAAGAGAGGCCGCTGTTGAAAATTTCTATTCGGACAATGTTTATCCTTTCCTTCCGACAACCAGAAACTTTAAAAGAACCTCCTCCATCACTTCTAACGACGATCAAATAAAGATAAACATGACTGTGGAAATAAAACTCTGAAAATTTATCTTATTTGGCTTCCAACCGCAGTCAGGCAATTTATCCAACTTCCCCTCTGTTGAACCACAAAAGTAAGAACAAATAATGGAATACACACTTTTAAATATACAGTATTGCTTCAAAAATATGGGAAAACATACCTGTAAACATAAAAATCAATTGGTATATTTAAATAATATTTCTCTTGTCTGAACAAATTTAGAAAAGTGATCAATTAATATAGTTTGTATATAGTCTTGGTTAGATATTAAGTATTGTAATGTGTGTTATTTAGAGACATAATTTGTCTCTTTTGGCTTATCTCATTCAGTTAATGTCATGAAATAGTAGACAGTGGTCAACTAGAAAGCTATGCTCAGTTTGACCACTGTGCACTACCACTATATTGATTTTACCATCCTTTTTCTTTTCGTTCTATTTTTTATTCCAAAACTGCTTTGTAATTAATCTAACGAAATAGTGCAAAGATCAATGTCTGGAATATGGCGTTGCAATATTTTGCCATTAACTTTTACTTTATGTTAATTTCAGATTTCGCAAACTTAGAGAATCGTACGGTACGAACGAAACGAAGGAGTACTTCATGAAAGTTTTACCACAAAACAAATTGAGAATTGTTTGTCCGAGCTCTATAACAATAAATGACTGGATTGGTCGATATAACCGCGACAGATACCAAAATTTTTGGCTGGTGGATAAAAATGGTTATGATAACTGTAAAGTGAACGACGATACGAATCCAAGCATGAATAAGTTGATAATGACGTGCAATTCACCGAAGAACGTTATCATAAAAACATTTCAGTTTCACCCAAGGTTTAGCCAACAAGAACCGCGGTTTGTTCCTGGACGCCATTATTATTTTATCGGTAAGACAGGAAAACCAACAGGGATAGAATGGAATATAATGAAATAGAATTAATTATTTACATGAAAAAATTACTCAATGCTGATTGAAAAAAAAATACTCAATGTTGTTGTTTTACAAAAACCTGAATACAAAGGTGACATTTATAATTAAATAGATAACATAGATAAATAGAATGAAGATTGGAAGGAATAAAAGTGCTACCTTTGTTGAGGCTGATTTGCTAAAAGCTCTGTTTTTTTCTCCTACAGCGACGGGTGGTGGAGATGCAAAGACACTTCAAGATAAGTCTGGAGGTCATTGCACGAAGTATCATATGAAACTTCATATCTATGTTTGTAACCCTAAGAAAGGTTAGAAATTTTGCAATGATACAGTAGTTAATATGTGGTGGGAAATGGCACAGGAAATGTTGAGTGAAGTATGTATGTTGATGGTGGTGGTGATGATGGTGATGATGGTAATGATGATGATGATTGCAGTGATAATAATTGTGGTGATGCCGTGATGATGGTGGTGGTGATGGTGGTGATGGTGATGATGATGATCGTAAGGTCATTCCTAAAGGAAATAGACCAAAGAATTTTTTTCAAGATGGCTATTTTTCAAGATCGTTATAACACGAAAGAATCAACAACCAGACACTTATAACAATCCTAAACCTTACCATAAACTTAACCCCAATCCTAATCTTAACATTAACCCCTAAACTAAAGCGAACTCTGAGAAACCTTCGTCTCGTTCACCTTTTCAACATTAACGTGATGGTAATGATGATGATTGTGGTGATGTAGGTTGTTGTGATTGTGGTGATGATGGTGATCATAATTAATGGTGATTGTGACGATGATGATTATAATGATGGTGGTGGTGGTGGTGGTGGTAGTATTGATGATAATGATGATGATGTTTGTGAAGCTCTTGCTAAACGTGCCATTGGTGATGATATGGCAATGATGATGGTGATGTTGACGTTGATGGTGATGGTGATGGTGATCAGTGTTTCTGTCGATATTGATGTTGTTATTATTGGTTTTGCTTTTGTTATAAATGTTTGGTTGGGAACAACCATATTCACAAAGCAGTCATTAACACCATGCAAATATATTAAGAAATTATACATTATTCCAAACAGAGACCTGTATATGGGAACAACCATACTGTGAACCAACGTATGAATTTGAAAGAGTTATGACATCATATAGTCGCAGTTTACCACCACCAACGAGAGGTGTAGTCACCCTTGCCCCTCTTCCTCCGACTCTGCCTCCTTCTCCGAGCATCAATAAGCAAGCCATGACCTTCCGCCCAACAAATGTCATCGCAACTGAGCCAAAAAATGGCATAGCTGAAGAACAGAGGGATCGAGAATGTCAAAATGAAGATGATGGAGGTAAACAGGTTATTTTTTGTGTGTGTTTTGATGTTGGTAAACAGGTTATTTTGATGCCATTTCGATGCATGTATCTGTGATGGTGATTCTCAGAAATATCCTGCGTGGGACTATTTTTATGCTGCACACCTGTACAAACGCACGAGTTGTTAGTTAAATAAAATTCGTTGCTGCAACTAAATTGTTAAGTTACATTGCACCCTATTTTGTTATTTCACTGTGTCTAACGCCAGGATACTGTTTAAAACTAATTTAATTTGAATTAGAAAAGAGTGGATAGACAGACGTAAGGATTGAACACATATTTTATATGGAAACATGTATTTTTAGTTATTAGCTAAATCCTCGACCCCACCAGCTCTGCTGATTAATTTATCCGATAAATAAAGAGATTGGTCGATTTTTGCTAAGCATTATTTCTTTACTTTTAGCTTCAGTGCACATGATCCTCAATTTTGTTCTGGGCGGAGTAATTCTGTTTATGGCAGTCGTGATCGTCATTTTGTCTTGTGGATTAGCGTAAGTTTTTCATTTATTAAACTTTTATTTTGCAACAGTGGCGGACACTGCATGCAATAATTTTGTAAAAGTCTGGTACCAAATATCACAAGCATTGTTTAGAAGCAAGTGGCAAGCATGCAATCACACCCATATAACGTAATTGTCATATTAAATAATGACTATTAAATAAAACTTAAGCTAAAGTTAGCAATATAGCAAGCAATATATGATTCTGTACAATGCATGCCAATTATGCCACAACATACGCGTTTTATACAATCTGTGCATGATTCCTCACAGGTGTACTTATAAAATATTTTAACAATCCCGAGTTGATAGTTCTAACTCTACAGTATATTAAACAACATAACGATTAGCGAATCGACATGATTAGTTGTTCTGTTTGACAATGGTTACATGCTATTTGGTTAGCATGTGTCGGACCAGTTACAACGTATGTCGGATTGGTACAACATATGAGTATGAGAGTCGATGAGAGTTGGCAGTCACTTATTGTTACGGGGACCTCTCAAGCTCTAGATTAACAAAATAAGGATTGATGAGTGTTCCAACTTAAATAGAATACATGATAGTCTTTAAGAGCAGCTAACCATGCAAGGTCGCGTGACTGCCAACTCTCATGCACTCTTATCCTCGTTTGATCCTGGGTTTAGTCTTAATATCAATCCGTTATCATTCACTTTTAGTCGAAAATCAGAACCAGCCAGGCCGGCTTCTGGGGCATTCTCAGCCGTATCCACCCAAGAACCTAACGGCAACCTGTACCAAGAAAGTGCCAGATATATTCAACCATTGTATACTCCGGCAAAATCACCTCCACAAACGCCGATTAGCCTCAACCCACCATTCTACCTCGCACCAATGGCAGAAATTCGACCGAGGTCATCGTCCAATAGAAATGCATTTAATAATGCTGTCTATGGCAGAAGGCAGGACAGTGTCGATGCACAAGCGGGACAGATCGAAGTGTCACCGATGTTGTCCGACAATTATCCGAATACGCCCGAACCAGTATAGGATGATAGAGGTATAGCATATACCTTAATTCAAGAGCAATAGGTAGCTTCTATCATACCTCCCAGCCAAAGATGGTGGCCTATATATATACTGCATAGTGCCTCGGCTTTGCATAAATGAAGCCATTGACGACCATTTTGGTGTGACCACCCCAAATCCATTGTGGTATTTATTGTTGACACTTTAGAAGAGGTTTCTGCAGTTTCTGAAGAGGTTACAGCTCCTGCCTATTGCTGGAAAGGACGAGTATTGTCTAGCTAGAAATTGATCATCTCTGCTTCTTCTTGAATTTTCTAGCCAATATTTAATGCGTTCAGACCAACATGGCTGCAGGCTGTCTCAAGTCTCATCAGTAATGTTTTTAATACATTCGTACAAAACTACCCAGGCAGGACAAGTCGAAGAAAAATTTTATATTTTCAGATAAACATCCAAATGCAGCTCGATGTCTTAATTCAAGAGCGAAAGGCTAATTCGTGGGATCAAATATAAATTATCGACAACTATATATATAATGTAATATAGGTATAATAGAACACATATATATAATCTACAATGATCACACCACAGTATGCTTTAGGAAAAATGAAACCATTAGTTTCCGGAGAAACACTGTATATAATGTTTAGAGCTTGTTGACACAGTCAGATTTATCGGGTTGATTTCAGATTTGTATTAATGATATTTCAAAATTGCAACGGGTGATAAATTTTGGTGACGTTTTCATATAGGTGGACAGTCAATTCACTGCATGGTTAAACCAACATTCGTTCATGAGATTCATTTTCAGTCTGAGATAACCAATTTATTGGTTGTTTTAAAGTGCCTATGACACGAAATTTCACCCCAAAGGTTTATGGTTGCATTGTAAAGGTCACTTAAAATAACTTAATAATTTCTTTTATAGAATTTTGGTAACTTGCTCCCTTTTCAAGATATTCAACTTTGTTTCATATGCAAATATCACCGGTGTGACATCACATCACATCACATAATGAGTTTTTTCGAATTTTCACGATCGGAAACGTTTTTTAGATGAATGAAATCCATGTTTGAAACCGATGAGGCTAGTTTAGAATGCGCTGTAGTTGCTACAGCGTAGTTGCTACAGCGCATTCTAAACTAGCCTCATCGGTTTCAAACATGGATTTCATTCACATAATGAGTTTTCAGAAAAGTATAGTTTTCTTGACGAATACGTATCTAAAAACTTAAAAATTGCCCTTGTGTATGTATTAATTTCATAACTGGTAATTAACCCTCTGTATTTGTTTGTAAAAATATTTTATCCAGGTAAAATATCGCGTTTTCAAAATGTTGTTATACGATGTAATGTCACACCGGTGATATTTGCATATGAAACAAAGTTGAATATCTTGCAAAGGAAACAAGTTATACCAAAATTCTATAAAAGAAATTATTAAGTCATTTTAAGTGATCTTTACAATGCAATCATAAACATTTGGGGTGAAATTTCGTGTCATAGGCACTTTAACTAGTCTTTTTTTACAGTGTTCTTTATTAGTCAAATCTCCCGACAAATCCTAATGTGTGCAGCCTCAATATGTGATTCATTCTGTATAAATTTTGTCGTCTCGTTAAAAACGAGAAAAATTTTTATTCTATGTTTGTAAATAATCAAGAATTTTTTAAACGACGTTTGCTTTTTAATTCGCATTGCACTGTACTGGGTGTCAAGAAGTTTCGGTGCTTTGACAGTTTGATCATATTTAATAAAACATATACTGTTTCCTTCGGTTCCAGTCAATAAGGGGGTGCGGGGCAATCTGCAGAAAGAGACCACCCTATACTGCATGAGTATGGAGAGATGGATGATGGTTATTGGTAAAAAAAGTCGTATGTAATAGTAGGGGGTCTGGGAGCATTTTCGCCCAGAAAATGTTTGTGTTTTCCCACCCCTAGGACTGCATTTCGTGCTTTTTGTAAAACGGAATAATTTTGGATATACAGCGTTGCATTATACTGTAGATAGACCGAATCTTCAGTTAAATACTTGCATGGTACGTCTATGTAAATACCACAACTAAGTCACTAACTTGTTTAGCCTAGCCTTCCAGCAACTCAAATCTATAGGGTCTAGGACATGCTATCCACTAGGAAATTTTGAAATCTAAGGTATTTACAACATAATGTTTAGCATTTTTAAAAAGATATTGAATCATTTGATGATAAAGACATGACATAGATTCGCAAAGCAAAATTTCGTTACTAGCCAGTATCAAACCTCCCTTCTAATTTTTCTTCCAATGTTGTAGAGAAAAGGAACTTTGACTGGGGGGATATTGAATATTAAGAAAGGCCTTGGTTGATTATAAACTTAATTTAAGCAAGGGACATAGTTCATTTTGTTTTCCTGAAAATTTCAATGTCGAAAACAAAACTACTCCCGTGGAAAGTGGGTGCTACGACGATTAAATTAGGATTATAGAGTTTGGGTTAGGATTAGCATAAGGTTTAGATCTATGTATGAGGACAGGATTAATTTTAGGATTAGACCTGCTTGGAGTCCAAATCCCGGACTGATTCATGGTAGGTGTGTCTAAGTTCGCGCGTTTAAGTTTGTAACCTAAGCTAGTAAATCTTGATTGAATCTTGATGTCAGCCTTGTATATCGAGTCAAATTTTTATATTGACAACTAGTGCTGATATGAGGCTTTCAGCATTTCGTGTGTGCAATAAGACATTTCAATTTACCCTGCCACTCTATGTAGTGTTCACAATTGTCTGCAAAATGCCTGCACAAAACACTTGTCAAAACACTGTTGCCATCGCAATAATAATGCTTAACTTGATAAGTCACGGAATGCATATAGATATGAACTTGTGCTTTCCCCAGTAAACTCGATAGCTCATTTGATACAGTGTCAACCTGGTTTGCTGAATATGCGAGTTCCGAATTGCGCTTGAGCATAGGTTTGTGCTTTCCCCAGTAAACTCGATAGCTCATTTGATACAGTGTCAACCTGGTTTGCTGAATATGCGAATTCTGAATTGCGCTTGAGCATAGGTGTGGGAGAGGGGGACGGGGGGCGGCTGCAGCCCTCCAAAACATTTTTTGGTCGGGCAACTTTTCAACCCCCCCTCGTGAGTCATCTGGCAACGCAATGTTGGTTTTTTCTCAAGATTGTATCATGCCTGTATTGCCAAACTAATCTTTTCGCATTTGTGCGTTTCAGATTATTCATATCAGCGGCTTGTAGATTATTTAAATTCCAATCGGCTTTGACTGGCATTTTTATTTATCAGCATATTTGTCTGTATAGAAAATTAATGTCATGACCTTCGATCATAGACATCATATGATTTCATGTTTCCAAGTATTTTGAATAATCAAGGTTTTGTTATTGCTAAGTCAAACCGAAAGCGGAAATGTTTCAAAACCTCGCCAGTTTCTTGATTTCTTTGCTTTAAAATGTGAGACAAATCGTAGAAAGAAAGATGATTGATCTCTATTCCTACAAAGGAAACTAGGGCAATGTTTTGTGACCTGTAAAGAATGGCTTGTTGCCCGACTGAAGAGAAATATGGCTACGAAGATAGCCGATTTGAAAAAGATGTCGACCAGCATTTTCATTGTTCTATCTGTTACAATGTTCTTAAAGAACCGAGGATGTGTAGGAATAATGAACACGTCTTTTGTCTTGCCTGTATCAGTGAACATTTGAAAGTAAATTCGCACACTTGTCCTGAATGTAGCGAACATTTGAGCGTAGACACGCTTCGTCGGCCGCGGGTGTTGAGTAATTATTTGTCGAAGCTGAAGATTAACTGTGATTATGCCAGTCGGGGATGTCCTGAGTTTACCTGTCTTGAAGATCTCGAAAATCATGTTGCAAGTTGTGGTTTTGCTCCTGTGTTTTGTTCAAATGAAAATTGTGGCATGAAGATTAACAAGCAAGAGAGGGACCATCATGAGACTGTGGTTTGTGAATATAGGAAAATGTACTGTCAAGACTGTGGGCAGATACAGGAAGCTGTGGGAAAATTGGAAGGAAGTTTGATAGAACTGGATGGAAAAGTGGAAGCAGCAAATGAAACGATGCAGAGCAATCATGTTGAAATGAAAAAGGTTGTGGGAAAATTGGAAGGAAATTTGGTGGAACTGGATGGAAAAGTGGAAGCAGCGAACGAAAAGATGGAGAAAAATTATGCGGATATGAAAACGATTGTGGGAAAATTGGAAGGAAGTTTAGCGGGAATGAATAAGAGAATCAACGATAAAGTGGAAGCCGTGGGAGAAATGAATAGGATGGTAAACGAAAAAGTGGAAGCAGTGAAGAATAGCCAAGATCAAATTAAAGAAAAAGTCGAGAAAGAGGTCGGAGAAGTCAAGAGAGTAGTAAAAAATGTGAAACAAAATCTTTCCAAAGTGAACAAAGACGTGGATGAGGTCAAAATCATGATGATTCAAATGTTAGAGAAGTTAAATACGATCGAACTTCTCAACAAACTGCCATCTCCAAGTGTGGAAATCTTGAAAACACCAAGGGAAGACATTTTGATTGCAGGTGGTCGTGCATCTTGGGGTACCAAACCTCTTAAAAGTACAGCAATATATTCCTGGGAGAAAAATGGTTGGTTTGAGGTGTCACCAATGAATGAAGAGCATGCCGGAGCTTCGTCATTTATTTATAATGATCAGTTATTTGTCGTTGGGGGAGGGGATAATAAGACAATTGAGACCTTGGATCTCAATGAATTACCTTTAAAATGCATGAAATTTCCTGGAGAACTTCCCTATGGCTGTGGTGGTTATCAAGCTGTTGTGTACCAACAGCGTGTTATTCACATTGGCGGATTTAATTATGACAAAAGGAGATGGTCTAACTTGATTAGTGAATTGCAACTTACCTCACCTTGCACTATGAAAAAGTTATGCCAAATGCCTGAGCCTCGAGAATATCATAGTGCTAAGATAATTGAAGATAAAGTCCTGGTCTTTGGAGGGCAGAAATCCTTAGGCCATGAAAGTTCTTTGGACAGTGTGTTGGCGTTTGATGTAAAGAAGAATGAATGTAAGGAGATGCCACCATTACCACATCCTCTGACACAAATGGCAACAGTTCGTTGGAGAGATCAAGTAGTTGTGCTTGGAGGTCGCGATAGGGATGGTCATGTTCTGAATGATGTTTTCATGTATGACTGCAATACGGGCAAGACCAAAGCCTTACCATCTATGTTGGAGAAGAGATATAGATATTGTGCAGTTATTACTGGAAATACAATTGTGGTCATGGGAGGTAAGAATGAGAAAGAGGAATATCTCAATTCAGTGGAATGTTTTGCAATGGGTGGTTCTACATGGGAATATCTTCCTGACATGAACGAAGCCAGGTGCGAAGCAATTTCTGAAGTTTTACCTTCCACAAGAAAATATGTGTAAGTTTGACATTCACGTTATACATTAAGGGGTCGGTTGTACGAAGATCGATGAGTGTTATCTACGGAGTACAGGATAGTCACATTTTCAACTGTTGTAAAAATGCTTGTAAAGATACAAAACTACGAATATGGACCTCACAATTGATAAATAGAAACTTTAATTTGTAAATAATAAAGTTTAATCTGAGTTATACAATTGAGCGGACAATTTTGGAAAGATTGAAAAATCACTAACCAGTGAACTAAAATCTGCAACTTCACATGCAAACAGTGATTCCAATGTGTGTTTATACACACTATTTATGGATATTGTCTGGTGTGTCAGCGTGTAACTATTGCGTAATTTATTTTAATTAACATGCCTGGAAAATGAGCCATTGTTGCAAGATGCCGCCATTTTGTTCCTCGTATTACTTTGGTATTATTTGCTCGCACACTTTCTATACATTTCGCCCAAAAAAAGCGAAAGCTCTTGAAAATGCAGTACGAATTATTTCAAAATGATACGAAGAGATCTGTTTTGCGGAATAAGGGCAGAAAGTGTTTGTTTTTTTCAGCTTTGGCAGTGTTTTTTTCAGCTTTGCCTTCGACACTTTTAAATTTTTGTCATCACTTTTCATAATGCAAAACGGAAACTACGCATCAATTTTTTACACAAGAGTGGATATAGCTATGGTACTAAACAAAGATAATTGTATATTAATATCAACTCAGATTTCAGAAACCGGAGAACAGTGATGGTTTAAAATAGATTGTCAGTAGAGAACATTTAAAAACTCATTAATAATTCATGAAGAAAACACAAAGAAAAATCATAAGCGTGTCGTATCTGTATATGTGATACAGATTCATGTTGATTTACATAAACTTTAACTTTGATTTTCTCGGCTTAGACAACGTTTATTTTTAAAATTGCTTCGCCAATGAACTCATAAGATGAGTCGTTTTTTAAGTTGTTGTATATCCGATACAACACGGCCGCTCGTGTTGTAAACATTATATATTACCGATAATGTAATTATAGGACATATAGAAAATATAGACAATCTGTGATTACAGCTCTGAAGTGAATATAACTGGAATGCTACCTCCAACCTGGAAATCCGAAGCCAAACATGAACATGAAGGCCAGTCCCAGTTTTTTCACGCTTGGGAAGAGTGCTCAATCAGGCAATCATACGATATAAACAGTAAACACGCGTGTCTAAATGACCCCCAGATTATATTTATTCCAGTTATATTCATTTCAATGGATTACAGTAATGTGTGTTACCTAAAAATGAAACTTACCATTAATTTCAAATGTGTTGGGACAGATGCCCCAAGTACCTACTATTTTAACAAACTTCAACACCCCCACCCCGCCCCCTTTTCAATGTTGGATCTTAGTTAGCATCTTACTCTGATGTGAGTTTGGGTAAACAAGATTGATTGGGGATAGGGGGGAGGGGAGATAGAAATGTTTGTAATAATTTGCATATGTCCACTGGTGATCTAAAACCGCAATTGTCTCAATAACTTTTGAAAATTATTCTAGTTTTCTATGTTATTCAAATTATTTCCTGTTGGGGGAAATACAGTTATGTTTGTCAACGTAAAACGATTTGGTTTATAATTTTTTTCATCTCGTTAAAACGAGAAAATTTTTCAATCTATTGTTTTGTAAATAAATCAGGAATTGTTCTTCAAATATTTACCCTTGTTTTTTTATTTAATTTGCATATTGCGCTTTACTGGTAGACTTTCCAAAGTCCGCGGTTCGTGGTTCCTGGAAGCGACGGACTTTTGTCACCCGCAAGCGCGCCAAATTCACCAGTGCATTTTTGCTCCGGTGACGTCAGTGAATGCTCATTATTATTATGAACAAAACAATAATGAACTAGTGAAATCGACATGGTGAACGCCCACTATGTCATAATTGATTTTCGCGCCACATTTTTCAGTAAGATTCAAAATCAGGCAAGTGACACAAGTCGCTCGCTTCCGTCTTTCTCAAGCGCTCCCTTCGTGCTACGCGCGGTCCCTAGCGAGCGACTTGGGCAAGTCTACTTTACTGGCTGCTTGGTTGAATAATTATGGCTATTTAACAATTAATGTGATGTTTTTATATTTTGCTCCCGAGAGAAATTAGTTTGTTTTCCCGAGAATCCCAAATCAAATGTCGAACATCCAGAGATTCAAGGGAAAACAACATTTTCAGGGGGCAGTGTTTTAGGATTAATGTTAGGGATTAGGATTAAAGCTAAGTTAGGATAAAGGTTAGTAGGATTAGGATGAATTAGGGTTGAAGGAGTTTGTATATAGATGGAAATATATCTAGTGTGAAATTTATATACATTTGTTTAGACCTAACCGGGAGCAGCTGCAAAAAACGCAACTATAGGCCCTGATGAACGAATTTTATGTGTATTCAGATTCAAAATTTCCATCTGCAAAATTCTTCAACATTAATAGTTCAATCAAGTGAGATGCCCAAAAAATGTTGATATTTACTCAGGGTTAGCATGAAGATTAGTATTAGGACTAGGAGTGGGCTTGTATTTAAGTTACTCAATATTATAGAAATTGACCCGTAGATGCATTTAAAGAAAGCAAATCCACCGATTCCACCAACACATATGAGTGAAATTTCTTACACTTTCCAACAACACCAACATGGCTCATCAACAAGAGGCCATAAAAGAGACTCAATCTGAATATATAAACACACTTTTTGGCGTTTTAATGAGCTACAAGTAATTCAAGATGAACTTTGACTCTGTAGTGTGCAAGAGTTGCGGAAACGAGGGGGGCACTGCCCTTCGCCCGCACACACGTTTATGAAAACAGAAAAGTGTGCCCTTTTTTCACTAAATGAAAGCGCCCTTTTTGGACTATAAAATGTGCTCTATTTTAGATGAAAATGTTAGATAAAGATCGCTAGTTATTAGGAAACATAAGGTCGGTCATAAAAGTTAAAAGTGCGAAGACGCGGTCCTAGATGATAGCCGGTGGGAATTTTTCATTTATTTGTCTTTAACACGCGCTCCCCATTTATTTTTTGTGTTTTCCATTGTAAGCTCACAGTCTACCTCGGTCTGCTTCTCGTCAGTTCCGTCTATGTATTCACAATGTAACCAGTCACTGAAAAGCTTTGATAGGGAGTGTGCTGTGCAATATCTGTATCCGGCTATGCCCTTGAGTCATCTGTGTTGGCAACGCAGTGTTGGGTTTTTCTCATGAATATATTATATCATGCCTGTATTGCCAAACTAACTTTTCACATTTGTGCGTTTCCGTTTGTAACTATTCGCTTCCGTTTGTAACGATTCATATTCGATTTTTGAAGACAGCTAAGACAACAGTATATTATTAGCAATCAGTGCAAAGTCAATGCTGTGGTTTTCCTAAAAATATATATCCGTATAAAGGCATGCATTTCAACTTAAACTACCTGCAAAGCGGCTTGTAGTTGTTGTTTTAGACTATTTAGATTTCCAAGTATTTTGAATAATCAAGGCGTTTGTTATTGTAAACTCAAACCAAAGCGAAGGCAGAAGTGTTTCAAAACTCCCCTTGTTTCTTTGCTTTAAAATGTGAGGCAAATCACAGAAAGAAAGATGATTGATCTCTATTCCTACAAAGAAAAGTAGGGCAATGTTTTGTGAGCTGTAAAGAATGGCTTGTTGCCCGACTGAAGAGAAATATGGCTACGAAGATAGCCGATTTGAAAAAGATGTCGACCAGCACTTTCATTGTTCAATCTGTTACAATGTTTTTAAAGAACCGAGGATGTGTAGGAATAATGAACACGTCTTTTGTCTTGCCTGCATCAGTGAACATTTGAAGGTAAATTCTCAAACCTGTCCTGAATGTAGCGAACATTTGAGTGTAGACACGCTTCGTCGGCCGCGGGTGTTGAGTAATTATTTGTCGAAGCTGAAGATCAACTGTGACTATGCCAGTCGGGGATGTCCTGAGTTTACCTGTGTTGAAGATCTCAAAGCTCATGTTGCAAGTTGTGGTTTTGCGCCTGTGTTTTGTTCAAATGAAAATTGTGGCATGGAGATTAACAAGCAAGAGAAGGACCATCATGAGACTGTGGTTTGTGAATATAGGAAAACGAACTGTCATGACTGTGGACAGATACAGGAAGTTGTGGGAAGATTGGAAGGAAGTTTGGTGGCACTGGATGGAAACGTGGAAGCAGCGAATGAAAAGATGGAGAAAAATCATGCAGACATGAAAAAGATTGTTGGGAAAATTGGAAGGAAGTTTAGTGCAAATGAATAAAAGGATCAACGAGAAAGTGGAAGCAGTGGGAGAAATGAATAGGATGGTGAACGAAAAAGTGGAAGCAGTGAAGAACAGCCAAGACGAAATTAAACAAGAAGTCAGGAAAGAAGTTGGAGAAGTTAAGGGAGAAGTAAAAGATATGAAAGAAAATCTTTCCAAAGTGAACAAAGATGTGGACGAAGTCAAAATCATGATGATTCAAATGTTAGAGAAGTTAAATAGGCTTGAACTGCTCAAAAAACTTCCATCTCCGACTGAGGGAATGTTGACTACACCAAGAGAAGACATTTTGATTACAGGTGGTCGTGCATCTCGGCGTAAACGTCTCAAAAGTATAGCAATATATTCCTGGGAGAAAAATGGTTGGTTTGAGGTGTCGCCTATGATTGAAGAGCATGCCGGAGCTTCGTCATTTATTTATAATGATCAGTTATTTGTCGCTGGGGGAGAGCATAATAAGACAATAGAGACCCTGGATCTCAATGAATTACCTTTGAAATGCATGAAATTTCCTGTAGAACTTCCCTATGACTGTGGTGGTCATCAAACTGTTGTTTATCAACAGCGTGTTATTCACATTGGTGGATTTCATTATGACAAAAGCGGATGGTCTAACATGATTAGTGAATTGCAACTTACATGTACCACTATGAAAAAGTTGTGCCAAATGCCTGAGCCACGGGAATGTCACGGCGCTGAGATAATTGAAGATAAAGTCCTGGTCTTTGGAGGACAGAAATCCTTCGGTTATCAAAGTTCTTTGGACAGTGTGTTGGCGTTTGATGTAAAGACGAATGAATGTAAGGAGATGCCACCCTTACCACATTCCCTGACACAAGTGGCAACAGTTCGTTGGAGAGATCAAGTAGTCGTGCTTGGAGGTTGTGGTAAGGATGGTAAAGTTCTGAATGATGTTTTCATGTATGATTGCAAAACGGGCAAGATCAAAGCCTTACCATCCATGTTGGAGGAGAGATGTAGATGTTGTGCAGTTATAACTGGAAATACAATTGTAGTCCTGGGAGGTATGAACAAGAAAGATAAATTTCTCAATTCGGTGGAGTGTTTTACAATGGGAGGTTCTACATGGGAATATCTTCCTGCCATGAATGAAGCCAGGTTCGGGGCAGTCGCTGAAGTTTTACCTTCAACGAGAAAATATGTGCAAGTTTGTCATTTACGTTATACATTAAGGTACATTGGTTGTACGATTTTAATTGTACGAAGACCAATGAGTGCTATCCACAGAATAGTCATATTTTTAACAGTGTAATAACAAATAACAACGATATGAATATATGGACCTCACAATTGATAAGAAGAGACTTTAATTTATAAACAGTGGCGGCGCCAGGGGGGGGGCAAAGGGGGGGGCGACCTTTTTACCACTTCCCCCCCCCAAATTTGAGTTTGCCCCTTAAATGCCCCCCCCCCCCAAATTTGGAAGCCTGGCGCCGCCACTGTTTATAAATAATAAAGTTCAATGTCGGTTTATACAATTGAGCGGATAATTTTAGAAAAATTGAAAAATCACTATACGACTAACCAAAATGCTGCAACTTCCAACATACAAACAGTGATTCCAACGTGTGTTAATTAACACTATTTATGGATAATGCCAGGTGTGCCAGCGTGTAACTATCGCGTAACCAATTTTAATTACCGTGCCTGGAAAATAAGCCACTGTTGAAAGATGCCGCAATTTTGTTCCTCGTATTAATTTGGTATTATTTACTCGCACACTTTCTGTACATTATTTCGCCCGAAAAAGCGAAAGCGCTTGAAAATGCAGTACGAATAATTTCAAAATGATACGAAAAGATATGTAGTGCGGAATAAGAGCAGAAAGTGATTTTCTCAGTATTGAAGGGTAGAGTTTGAATGCGCATGAATTTGGTCGCATTCAGGGCCGTAGGAACTGTGTGCTCTGAATCAACAATAGACTGTAGGTAATTGAAGACGTTCAGACGCGTTGTGGATTGGGGGAACATGGCCAAATACCCTTTCTGACGATTAATTTTCCTAGTCACATTAATTTGTAAGTAACACTGTCACATTGAGCAGTAGTTATTTTACTTATTTTTATTGTTAGGCAGTACTAACTTAACATTGAAATCTTGGGTAGGAAAGACTCTAAAAATGCCATTTCCGACGGTCTAGAAAATTCAAATTTTCATGTTTTCCGGTCGGCGCCAACCATTGGCCAGCCTCACGGGCGTCATCAGTTAAAATTAGCAAGCTTCAAAATGTACCTTTCGTTTGACTAAATTTATCCCGTAATGCCCTCTTTATCCCTTTACAATGCCTATGTTTATATTGGTATTACGATTTAGCCGTTCAGTGTTTATAGTAGATATAGAGTACTAAACAAAGATAATTGTATATTAATATCAACTCAGAAACGAGAAAACATTCGTGATGTTTTTAAAATAGATTGTAGAGAACTATATTACCGAAAATGTAATTATAGGACATATAGAAAATATAGACAACCTCCAACTGGAAATTTGAAGCTAAACTTGAAGGGCAGTCCCAGTCTTTTCGCACATGCGAAGAGCACTCAATCAGTCAATCGGACTCAATCCATAGGATATACGTCACTAATTATACAGTCAAATCACAGCGCGACCGGAGCACGCTACGTGCATGATACTAACAGTAATTTTACTGCTAATTGCATACTTTAGCGTTTTAATAAAACTCGCTTGTTTGGGCTTCCTATGGTCAATCATGATATAAACACGCGTGTCTGGGGATCAAGATTTAGCTCAAGTAAAAGAGAGGCAGTGTGTCTGAAGGTAGCATTCCAGTTATATTTATTTCAAAGGATTACAGTAATGTATGTTTTTCCAAAAAATGAAACTTACAATCATTTTCAAATGTGTTTGGACAGATGCCTTAGCTACTTTCAATGTTGGTTCTCAGTTAGCATCTTACTTTGATGTGTGTTTGGGAAAATAATGTTGATTGGGGAGGGGGAGATATTTATCACTTATTTACTGAGACCGAGGGAAACAGTGTGTTTTGTGGACCCGAGACCGCCGTTGTATATAAGTGTTCAAGGTATGCATAATTCACCGGTTATTGGAGTGAACTTAGTTTGAAATCAAAACTGGATAAATGGAACGCCGTAAATGTTTAATGAAAAAGTTTAAAAAATGAACTTTGGAACTTTATGGTTGACAGTTGACACGCATGCGTATTGCACCCATTTTATTATTGACCGGTCAATAAATGTTTCATTGTGGACCGGTTGGCTCTTCCGCAAAGCACACAGTGAACACGACGTTTTGTGGACCGGCACGTGATACAGTTTTGACCAATCGGCAAACAGAAAAATTGAACTTTGATACTAACTATATAACATAAAAGTTCGTAATAATTTGCGTATATCCATTGTCATTGATCAATCTAAACTGCAAATGTCCCAACTATTTTTGAAAATGATTGTAGCTTTAATATATATGATGTTATGACATCATATTCACCTGAGTACACAACACCAACACAGAAAAAAAAAATCATTTTAATATATGTTATTCAAATTATTTCCTTTTTGGGAAATACTGTTATGCTGGTTTATGTTGAGCAACGTAAAACGATTTCTGTTCTATAAAAAATTTCAATCTATGTTTTGTAAATAAATGAAGAGTTGTTCTTCGAATATCGGCCTTTGTTTTTTTTTTAAATTTTCATATTGCACTTTACTGGGTGTGCATAAAATTTTAAGTGCTTGGTTGAATCAATTACGGCTATTTAATAATTAATGTGTTGTTTTTATATTCTGCTCCCGAGAGAAATAGTTAGGTTTGTTTTCCCGAGAATCTCAAATCAAATGTCGAACATCCAGAGATATACAACAACAACAACATTATTTCCAGGAAAACAACATTATTTCTAGAACAAAGTGTTTTAGGATTAAGGTTAGGGATTAGGATTAAAGCTAAGTTAGGATCGGTTAGGACAAAGGTAAGTAGGTTTAGGGTAAATTAGGGTTAAAGGACTTTGTATAAATGGAAATTTCTAGTGTGAATTTTATATACATTTATGTAGACCTAACCAGGCGCGGCTGCGAAAAATGCAACTATAGGCCTTGATGAATGCATTTTATGTGTATTCACACTCGATATGGGTGATGCCTTGATCAAGGCAAGAAGAACGAAATCCAACACCACAGCTAGAACGAGCGTCTTTGAGAATGCCGGAGTAAAATGTAAAGATTTGTTGCTAAAAGTTGTAAAATGAAAAAAATTTATATAGCCATGTGAAGTTCGTAAATTTTGTATATATTTGTATTATGCGCGGAAAAAATTAACCACTTTCAGCTCAAAAATGGATCTTTTTACCGCGCGTAATGCAAATATATACCGAAATTTGCGAACATCACAGGGTTATATTTTCCTCATTTTACAACAATTCACAAAAAGACTTTGCAGTTTTACTCATTTTAAGATGCTTTTTCCAGCTATGGTAATGGTTTCGTCTTTCTTGTTTAGATCAAAATTTAGTCTGTAGCTGAAATCAACCATTTCCATCTGCAAAATTCTTCAACATTATAGTAAGATGCCCAAAAAGTCTTGATTTATATTTACTCAGGGTTCAGCATGAAGATTGGTATTACTATTAGGACTAGAATTGGGAAAGGAAATCCCTCGATTCCGCTAACATATAAGAGAGAAATTTCTTACACTTTCCAGCAACACCAACATGACTCATAAACAAGGAGGCCACAAAAGAATCTCAATAATATATAAACAAACGTTTTGGCGTTTTAATGAGTTGTAAGTAATTCAAGATGGAAACGGGCCGTTTCTGGAAAAAGAAAAATGTGCCCCTTTTCAAATGAAAGTGCCCTTTTTGGATTATAAAATGTGCTCTATTTGAAATAAAATGTTAGATGAAGATCTCTAGTTATTAGGAAGCGTAAGGTCGGTCATCAAAGTTAAAAGTGCGAAGACGCGGCCCTAGATGATAGCCGATGAGAATTTTTCATTTATTTTGACTAATTAACACGCGCTCCCCATTTATTTTTTGTGTTTTTCGTTAGTTTTCATCAGAAATACGGGTTCGTTGAGGACAAATTATAGGAAGAAATCCGACGCTCAGTCTTTATGTTGGCAACGCATCATGTCTGTATTGCCAAAGTAATCTTTTTCATTTGTGCGTTTGCGTTTGTAACTATATTCGGTTTTTGAAGGCAGCTTAGTCAACACTATATTAAGTCAATGCCGTATCAAGGCATGCATTTCAACTTAAACTACCAGCAAAACGGCTTGTAGTTGTAACTTTAGATTATTTAGATTTCAGTCATGACCTTTGATAATATGATTTCATATTTCCAAATATTTTGAATAATCAAGGTTTGTTATTACAAACTCAAACCAAAGCGAAGGCGGAAGTGTTTCAAAATCGCTTGGGAAGAGCGCTCAATCAGGCAATCATATGATATAAACATGCGTGTCTAAAATTCCAGTTATATTCATTTCAATGAATTACAGTAACCTGTGTTACCAAGAAATTGGCAAAAAATGAAACTTACCATCAATTTCAAATGTGTTGGGACAGATGCCCCAACTACCTATTATTTTAACAAACTTCAACCCCCCCCCCCCCCTCCCGCCCCCTTTTCAATGTTGGGTCTCAGTTAGCATCTTATCTCTGATGTGAGTTTAGGTAAACAAGATTGATTGGGGTAGGAAGGGAGGGGAGATATTAATGTTTGTAATAATTTGCATATGTCCACTGATGATCTAAAACCGCAATGTGTCTCAACAACTTTTGAAACTGATTGTAATTTCTAAGTTATTCAAATTATCTCCTTTTGGGGAAATACAGTTATGTTTATGTTAAGCAACGTAAAACGATTTGGTTTCTATAATTTTTTTTCATCTTGTTAACACGAGAAAATTCTTCAATCTATTGTTTTGTAAATAAATCAAGAATTGTTCTTCGAATACTGACCCTTGTTTTTTTATTTAATTTGCATATTGCGTTTTACTGGGTGCTTGGTTGAATAATTATAGCTATTTAATAATTCATGTGATGTTTTTATATTCTGCTCCTTAGAGAAATAGTTAGGTTTGTTTTCCCGAGAATCCCAAATGAAATGTCGAACATCCAGAGATTCAAGGGAAAACAACGTTATTTTCAGAGGGAAGTGTTTTAGGATTAAGGTTAGGGATTAGGATTAAAGCTATGTTAGGATAAAGGTTAGTAGGATTAGGTGATGAATTAGGTTTGAAGGAGTTTGTATAGATGGAAATATATAGGGTGAAATTTATATACATATTTTAGACCTTAACCATGCCAGAAGCAACTGCGAAAAATGCAACTATAGACCCTAATGAATGAATTGTATAGTCCAGTCAATCTGTGACCAGAGGTCAAAGAAATTGCAATAGAATTTTTTTCAGTGGTAAAATGTGAGGGAAGGTGTCCTGATTAACATACTAAAAATCCCAAAAAATCCCTTCGGTGGAACATGGCGAAAATCAAGTTTCTCTTACTTCTACCTATAGAAAACCATTGCGGACAGAATGTTGAAATTTTGAAATCATTTTTAGGCAAATGTAACCTACATTATTGGAAAGCTTAAACAAAACTATATTAAGGTCAATTAAACCGTTATATTCAATATACTGGTCAGTTTGTCGTTATTCTAGCTCAAAGTTGGAAAAATTGCGCAAAATTTGCACAAAATACAAATTTATGGCATTTTAAATATTGTATAACTTCGGCTAGATAGGCAAAAGCAAGCTTTCCAATGATGCATGTTATATTTGCAAAAAAATAATTTCAAAATTTCAACATTTTGTCCGCAATGGCTTTCTATAGGTATAAGTAAGAAAAACTTGATTTTCACCATGTTCCACCGAAGGGATATTTTGGGACTTTTAATATGTTAATCAGAACAACTTTTCACACACTTTACCACTGAAAACAAATCTATTGCGATTACTTTGATCAGGACCATCTACTTATAGTGATTTGACTGGACTATTATGTGTATTCAGATTCGAAATTTCCATCTGCAAAATTCTTCAACATTAATAGTTCAATCAAGTGAGATGCCCCAAAAAAGTTGATATTTACTCAGGGTTAGCATGAAGATTAGTATTAGGACTAGGAGTGGACTTGTATTTAAGTTGTTCAATATTATAGAAATTGACCCGTATAGATGCATTTAAAAAGCAAATCCACCGAGTCCACCAACACATATGAGTGAAATTTCTTACACTTTCCAACAACACCAACATGACTCGTGAACAAGGAGGCCATAAAAGAATCTCAATAATATATAAAGAAACGTTTTAATGAGTTGTTAGTAATTCAAGATGATCTTTGACTCTGTAGTGTACAAGAGTTGTCAAATGCCCCCCACACGTTTTTTGAAAAGAGAAAATTGTGCCCTTTTCAAATGAAAGTGCCCTTTTTGGATTATAAAATGTGCTCTATTTGAGATAAATATGTTCGATAAAGATCGCTAGTTATTAGGAAGCGTAAGGTCGGTCATAAAACTTAAAAGTGCAAAGACGCGGCCCTAGATGATAGCCGATGGGATTTTTCATTTATTTTGACTTTAACACGCGCGCTCCCCATTTATTTTTTTGTGTTTTTCGTTAGTTTTTGTCAGAAAAACGGGTTAGTTGAGGACAAATTTTAGGAAGAAATCCGATGCTCAGTAAGAAGGAAATGGCATTTCCGAGCTTCAAATAGAAAATTTTCGAAGGGGAACCAAAGCCGACCAACCTTAGTTGTGCGAGTTCGAGGAGCGATGGTAAGATTTCAGGCCGGCCCCGCCCCTGGAGATACTTCTGCGGCCTATGGTAGTGTTCACAATTGTCTGCAAAATAATTGTACAAAACACTTGTCAAAACACTGTTTGCCATCGATAAGTCACGAGAATATCTCGTACGTATATAGATTTGAACTTGTGCTCTCCCCCAGTAAACTCGATAGCTCATTTGATAGAGTGTTAACCCGGTATACTGAATATGCGAGTTCAAATTGCGCTTGGATATAGGCGTGGGAAAGGGGGACGGGGGGAGGCAATTTAACGTCGGAAAACCCCCCCCCCCCTTCCCCTTTATTTTTCTATTCACGTGCATTCGGTGGCGAAGTGGTTAGAGTACTTGCCTTTAACCTCTTAGGTCCCGAGTTCGATTCTCAGTGAGGAACTTTCTCAATGTGACTCGAACACAGTCCTCATGTGACTGGGTTTTCTCCGGGTACTCTGGTTTCCTCCCACAGGGAAAGTTGACAGGGTGGGTTAAACATATAGGTCAGGGGGCAGATTATTAATGAGGTATGGACTAATAGCGGCTGCTCAAGCGCCATTTATAAGCTCACAGTCAGTACCTCGGTCTGCTTCACGTCAGTCCAGTTCTATCTATCTATTCACAATGTAACCAGCCACTGAAAAGCCCTGGTAGGGAGTGTGCTGGGCAATATCAGTATCCGGCTATGCCCTTGAGTCGTCTGTGTGTTGGCAACGTAGTGTTGGGTTTTTCTCATGAATATATTGGGTTTTTCTCATGAATATATACGAATATATTTTTTTTCTCATGCCTGTATTGCCAAACTAATCTTTTTGCATTTGTGCGTTTCCGTTTGTAACTATATTCAATTTTTGAAGACTTCTATAGTCAACAGTATATTATTAGCAATCATTATTTAGATTTCAGTCGGCTTTAGCGCTAGCCAGCATTTTTATTTATCAGCATATTTGTCTGTATAAAAAATTAATGTCATGACCTTTGATCATATGATTTCATATTTCCAAGTATTTTGAATAATCAAGGTTTGTTATTGCAAACTCAAACCAAAGCGAAGGCGAAAGTGTTTCAAAACCTCGCCTGTTTCTCGATTTCTTTGCTTTAAAATGTGAGGCAAATCACAGAAAGAAAGATGATTGGTCTCTATTCCTACAAAGGAAAGTAGGGCAATGTTTTGTGAGCTGTAAAGAATGGCTTGTTGCCCGACGGAAGAGAAATATGGCTACGAAGATAGCCGATTTGAAAAAGATGTCGACCAGCATTTTCATTGTTCAATCTGTTACAATGTTCTTAAAGAACCGAGGATGTGCAGGAATAATGAACACGTCTTTTGCCTCGCCTGTATCAGTGAACATTTGAAAGTAAATTCGCACACTTGTCCTGAATGTAACGACCATTTGAGTGTAGACACGCTTCGTCGGCCGCGGGTGTTGAGTAATTATTTGTCGAAGCTGAAGATCAACTGCGACTATGCCAGTCGAGGATGTCCTGAGTTTACCTGTGTTGAAGATCTCAAGACACATGTTGCAAATTGTGGTTTTGCTCCTGTGTTTTGTTCAAATGAAAATTGCGGTATGGAGATTAACAAGCAAGAGAGGGAACATCATGAGACTGTAGTTTGTAAATATAGGAAAATGAAATGTCATGACTGTGGACAGATACAGGAAGATGTGGGAGCATTGAAAGGAGGTTTGATGGAACTGAATGGAAAAGTGGAAGCAACGAATGAAAAGATGGAGAAAAATCATGCGGACATGAAAAAGATTGTGGGAAAATTGGAAGGAAGTTTAGGGGGGATAAACAAGAGGATCAACGAGAAAGTGGAAGCGGTGGGTGAAATGAATAGGGTGGTGAACGAAAAAGTGGGAGCAATGAAGAACAGCCAAGATGAAATTAAACAAGAAGTCGGGAAAATTAAAAGAGAAGTAAAAGATATGAAAGAAAATTGTTCCAAAGTAAACAAAGATGTGGGGGAAGTTAAAATCATGATGATTCAAATGTTAGAGAAGTTAAATACGCTCGAACTGTTCAACAAACTGCCACTTCCGACTGAGGAAATCTTGAATACACCAAGGCAAGACATTTTGATTGCAGGTGGTCGTGCATCTCGGGGTAAACGTCTTAAAAGTACAGCAATATATTCCTGGGAGAAAAGTGGTTGGTTTGAGGTGTCACCAATAAATGAAAAGCATAACCGAGCTTCATCATTTATTTATAATGACCAGTTATTTGTCGTTGGGGGAGTCAATAGTAAGACAATAGAGATCATGGGTCTCAATGAATTACCTTTGAAATGCATGAAATTTCCTGGAGAGCTGCCTTATGGCTGTGGTGATCATCAAACTGTTGTTTACCAACAGCGTGTTATTCACATTGGTGGATTTATTTATGACAAATGGAGACAGTCTAAAATGATCAGCGAGTTGCAAATTACCTCACCTTGCACTATGAAAGAGTTGTGCCAAATGCCTGAGCCACGGGAATGTCATGGCGCTGAGATAATTGAAGATAAAGTCCTGGTCTTTGGAGGGCAGAAATCCTTAGGTCATGAAAGTTCTTTGGACAGTGTGTTGGAGTTTGATGTAAAGAAGAATGAATGTAAGGAGATGCCACCATTACCACATCCTCTGACACAAATGGCAACAGTTCGTTGGAGAGATCAAGTTGTTGTGCTTGGAGGTCGCGATAGGGACGGTCATGTTCTGAATGATGTTTTCATGTATGACTGCAAGACGGGCAAGACTAAAGCCTTACCATCTATGTTGGAGAAGAGATGTAGATATTGTGCAGTTATTACTGGAAATACAATTGTAGTCGTGGGAGGTATGGATGAGAACTATGAATATCTCAGTTCAGTGGAGTGTTTTACAATGGGAGGTTCTACGTGGGAGTATCTTCCTGCCATGAATGAAGCCAGGTACGGAGCAATTGCTGAAGTTTTACCTTCGACAAGAAAATATGTGTAAGTTTGACATCTACATTATACATTAAGGAGTCGGTTGTACGAAAACCGTTGAGTGGTATCGACAGAATAGTCGTATTTTCAACCATTGTAAAAATTCTTTAAAAGGTAAAAAACTACGAATATGGACCTCACAATTGATAGGAAGAAACTTTAATTTATAAATATAAAGATAATATTTCGTAGAACCGTCCTCAGGTTGTTTTAGAAGAGGTCAAACTCTCCGATTTTTACTACCGAAGAGAGAATTCTGCGGCTTGACCGGGAGTAAAGTAATACAACTAACCAAAATGCCGCAACTTCTAACATGCAAAAAAGTTATTCCAATTTCCAACGCATGTTAATTAACACTATTTATGAAGACGGTCAGGTGTGTTAGTTGTAACTAATGCGCAACCTATTTTAATTAACATGCCTGGCGCGGTTCTACGAAGGCCGGAAGGCAGCGCTATTCGCCCTTTGTGAAACAGCCTGAAAAGCTGCGAAACTACCGGCTATGGTGGCGTGACGTGGATATATAGTGTTATCCGGTTTTCATACAATTGTTGCAAGATGCAGCGATTTTCTTCCTTGTAATATTTCATATTATGTCCAAAACGTGCATGTCCGTATTTCGTACTCCACGCTCAGGGACCAGTCATTAACAGTAACAAATGGCTTTATTAGAATGACTTCACATAGAAGTATTGCCAAAGCTTATTAGTTAATTATAAATATTTACAAATGCAAAATGTCTTGTGGTAATATGACACTGTGAGTAATGCCAGAAATAAAAATGAAGTTATTGATATAAAGAAAGACCTAGTTTACAAATGAGTACTCTATTTACAGTATATATGTAATTGAAGAAGTTTGGGAGTTTATGGCGGGCAGGGGGGGGGGGGGGCACCGAAGAGAAATGTTTTTCTTGGTAAAATTTTTCTGATCCAACCGTTAAAATGTCAATAAAATTCTTAGCCAACCTCAAATATCAATTTAAAAATAAACCAAAAAATTAAAAAATAAACCAAAATTCTTAGCCAACCTCAAATATCAATTTAAAAATAAACCAAAAAACAATCCAAAAACTTGTCAAGAAGATACCATTCAGTTGTCACACATGTCCTTTAGCACTTCCGTGACATGAGTTTGATAACTGCTTGTGCAATTTTCTGCAGTGTAATGTTTCATGTTGTCTGCACATGTACTTTCTTTGGAGACACCATTTGCTTCCTGACAAATCGGAAAATGATCAAGATAGTGACTCTGATTCATTTACATATTGTATTGACATATGACTGTTGACATTGCATTTTAGTCTTCAGTATTTGAATGAGTCATGCTTCGTAAACGACAATAATTTTTTATTTACCCAACCCTTGAGTTGTTTTGTTTTTCATTTACCCAACCTTTTACTCACTCATTTTCATCATGCAAATAAAATAAATTCTAATAATGATACTTGTGTTATTAACACTGATGAAAGTTTCCTGCAGAGGGGAACCGGTATTTGCCTATTTTTGACTGGGAAAATGGGATTTGGGTTACTGGGACTGGGAATGAAAGACATAAAAAATGGGAATGGCAAAAGTCAAATACCATTATAAAGACAGTTGTAGTTGGACATTTCAGAGTTGAAATAACTTCAAGGATAACTATAGAGTATATGTTTCTCCTTATAATTTGCAGGTAGTTGCATCTCTACCAACGAAAGCTTGTTTAAAGGCACAGTTCAGCCTGTTGAACGATGGTTTTTAAGGCGCATTTCAGCCCTGTTAATTGAAAAACTAACTAGGAAAATCAATTAAGCATAATTCAAAATCACCAATCTTAATGTTTTTAACATTTAAAACATTCATATTGTTAAAAACATCGAGTTTACTGATTTTGAATTATGCTTAATTGATTTTCCTAGTTAGTTTTTTCAATTAACAGGGCTGAAATGTGCCTTAAAAACCATCATTCAACAGGCTGAACTGTGCCTTTAATACAATTACTAGAATGTTTTAGTTTAGATGTAGGAAAGGTTTAAAACAGCTGTAAAGTTCGATTGAAACATATTTTTGTATAGTTATGTATTAGAAGTTATGCAATTAAACGAAACTTAAGGTTTGTGTGTGTTTTCTCGTATGTTCGTAAAATTATACAGGTTGTATACATATTGCTTTTACAAAATGGTTTAACTGACAACCACCTCGACTTGGCCAACTAAGATTTTATCAAATCTATGAACTGAATCAGCCTCGTCTCAGGCGCTTTGATGTGCTAAGCGGTTACGTGACGCTCGCACGGAAACTGAGTTGCATAGCTCACCATGCACGGGACGCGAAGCTTCCCTCCGAATTTTCCCCTTCCCCCACGCGTGTCCTCCCGCGCGCGCGTCACGCAACATCAAGGCAAAGCGCCTGGGTACGAGGCTGGAACTAAATGACATTTTATCATGCAATGACGCGAATGTTGTAAATGGCTTGTGAAACGTCTCGATGAGACCATTCGTATTCTTCAACAATTTAAAATAAATTAATGATATTTGGTGAGAAATTTAAACTTAAAGTTTATGTAAATCAGCATGATTTTGTATCAGATATACAAACTCCTAGCTTCACGCTCATGATTTCTTTTGTGTTTTCTTCATGAATTAGTAATGCGTTTCACGCTTGGATAATTCTAGTAATGCGTTTCACGCTTGGATAGCAAATTAATTCAGCCCAAATATATCCGAGTTTTTAAAAAAGTAGATATCTAACTAATATGTTATGCTATAGATGCCTAAAAATCTCGATATTTAACTTATAACGTTCAGTTATTATAGATGTGATAATTTATATTTGCCGGATACCGTTTTGTTGGATATCGGATGGTACCGGATAGCAGTTTACCGAATCCTGGTCGGTCAGAGAAAAATGATAACCGGATAATGACTAGATACCGAATACCAGGGCCTATCAGAGAATATTGGGGGCCCGGGGCAAATTTTCATTGGGGGGGCCCTATTTTTCCCAAAAATGGGGGGGGGTAAAAAAAAATTTCCGGACATTAAAAGGGGTCAAAATAATTTTCCGGAAAAACACCAGTTAAATTAAGGTTAAAAAATTTTTTTCCGTACAACATCCTGTCAAAACATGGGTAAAACCCATTTTTTCGGACCAATATCTGTAACATTTAGGTCAAGAAACTTTTTTCATACCATTATATCCGTTTGACGAATGCGATTTATCGAAAACATAAAGAGTGCAATGGAATAAAACATATAGTACAATTGCACTCGCAAAGAGTGCAATGGAACGTATTCCATTGCACTCTTGGGAAATGGAATCTTCTATTCAATATCACGTGACCATAATTCAATAAGGTATCATATAAAATATTATTTATATTACACGCGTAAAAATTGAGAAAATCAACAACTTGTTGCAAGTTGATATCGACAGGCGTGAACAATGTTGTGCGGCCCACTATGAACAGTATTGTCAACATGTTGTTACAGCATTGTTCAACTGTAACAACTTGGAACAACATGGTTGACAACCTGTTCATAGTTGGCCGCACAACATTGTTCACGCCCGTCGATATCAACTTGCAACAACCTGTGCGTTTTTAGCCGTGTAGTAATAATTAATATAATATTATTTATATTAGTATTAATTAATATAATATTATTTCGAAGTGCTTTCGGTTTTTGGACAAAGTGTGTGCAACGTGCGCCGTGTGGTAGCAGTAATTCTAAAGTAATACGAGCATCAAAATTCTGCATCTTCAAAGATTTCACGAAAGTGCTGCATGGTTGAAGTTGCAGAAATCTTGTTACTCTTATTACTTCATGTAGATGAGTAGATCGGTTGGTAGATGGAAATTTTGAGTGTAAATTTTGTACATTTATTAGACCTAACCAGGGGCAGTTGTGAAAATTGAAACTATAGGCCCTCCGGCAGGTATGGAACCTGCAGCCCTGCGATTCCGGTGCAGCGCTCTAACCAACTGAGCTACAGAGGCCAGTTGTCAAGCTCTAACCACAAGTTCAGGTTACATTGGCATCACCTTAGTCCTAATTAGTATATAGTATAGAGCTCGACATTTGGAAGCATCATGTTCAAACTAGGCGCCAAAACAAGTAACGGGCACTAGTGCCGGGCATACAGTCTGGACGCAGCCTTAGTTTTTTAACTAACCCTACCCAATGAGCGTTACGCCACTGAACTCTCGTCAACCCTCATCTCCGCTTGTCTGGGGCTTTACACATATTTTCTCGTGGAAGGTAAAACGGTAGCAACGGCACCCCACCTGGCTTCGTTCATTGCAGTAAGATACTTCCAAGTAGAACCTCCCATTCGAAAACACTCCACTGAATTGAGAGTTTGAACTTTTTCGTTGGCGTTGATATTTTCACCTCCCATGACTACAATTGTATTTCCAGTAATAACTGCACAGCATCCGTGTCGCTCTTCCAGCATTCGTGGTAAGGCAGTCATACATGAAAACATCATTCAAAACACGACCGTCTCTATCACGTCCTCTAAGCACAACCACTTGATCTCTCCAACGAACTGTTGCCATTCTTGCCAAACGAAGCGGTAATGGTGGCATCTCTTTACATTCGTTCTTCTTCGGGTCAAGCTCCAACACACCGTCCAAAGCACCCCTATGATCTTCTCCTCCGAAAATCAGGATTTTATCCTCAAATATCTCAGCGCAGTGACCTACCCGTGGCTCAGGCATTTCGCGTAACTTGTTCATAGTGTAAGGTGAGGTAAGTTGCAATTCACTGATCATGTTGGACCGTCTTTTTTGGTCATAATTATATCCACCAATGTGAATTACACGCTGCTGGTAAACAACGGTTTGATGATCATCACACTTATAAGGAAGTTCTCCAATAAATTTCATCCATTTCAAAGGTAAATGATTGAGGTCCAACGTTTCTATTGTCTTGCTGTCGATTCCCCCGACGACAAATAGAAGATCATTGTAGATAAATGATGAAGCTGTGATATGCTTTTCATTCATTTGCGACACCTCAAACCAACCATTTTTCTCCCGGGAATATATTACTGTATTTTTGCCAGTTTTACTTAAACCCCCATAGCCACCAGCAATCAAAATGTCTTCCCTTGGCGTATTCGAGGTTCCATCAGTCGGAGATGGCAGTTTGTTGGCCAGTAACCGCTCGACCAGTTGATTCATCATTACTTTTATCTGATCCACGTCGTTGTTCAATTTGGAAAGTTTTTTTTCACATCCTTTTCTTCTTTCTTAACTTCCCCGACTTCTTTCTTGACTTCTTTGTGCTCTTGTTTAATTTCATATTTGCTCTTCTTCGTTTCTTAGCTTTCTGCTTCTACTTTCCAATCCAATTCTGTTAAGCGTCTTTCCAATCTTTCCACAACTTCCTGCATTAGTCCACAATCATGACATTTCGCTTTCTTATATTCACAAACGACAGTCTCGTGATGGGCCGCCTCTTGCTTGTTAATTACCGTACCACAGTTTTCGTTTGAACACAACACCGGAGCAAAACGACAATTTGCAACGTGAGTTTTGAGATCTCCGACACAGCTGAACTTCAAACATCCCCGACTGGCGTAGTCGCAATTAATTTTCAGCTTCGATAAATAGTTATTCAACACTCGCGGCCGGCGAAGCGTGTCTACGCTCAAATGTTCGTTACATTCTGGGCAAGTTTGTGAATTCACCTTCAAATGTTGAGTGATGCAGGCAAGACAAAAGATGTGTTCGTTATTTCTGCACATCCTCGGTTCCTTGAGAACATTATAGCAGATAGAGCAATGAAAATTTTCGTCGACATCATTTTCGAAGCGGCTGCCTTCGTAGCCGTACGTTTCTTCTGTCGAGGAACAAGCCATCATTTACAGCTCACAAAACATTGCTCTATACTTCCCATTGATACCAATAAGCGTTCTTGTGCGATTTCTCTTACATTGTAAAGCAATAATTCAAGAACGAGATGCGTGGTATCAAACACTTCCGTCTTCTCTTGTCTTTGTCTTTGTGTGTTTGATTTTTGCATTTTGCAATACTAAAATCTCACTAATCTTAAGGTACGTTTACACGCTGCGATTTGTCGGGCCGATTTTGCTCGCTGTATGTAAATAAACTGTCGTGAGTACTCGCGTCAGCACCTTGCGATTCACAAAATCGCGAGAAAAATCTGTAACAATTCACAGATTTTTCTCACGATTCAGCGATTTTTCTTCGGTTGTAAAGTTGTTGAAAACTTTTCGCACGCAGATAACTATAATATAAACAGACGAGAGAGCGGACAGCCTCAATTTAACGTTTAAATCGCTAAATGTCGAAGAAGGGGCATCGATTATTTACCAAAATCGGCCCGACAAATCGCAGCGTGTAAACGTAGCTTTATATTACACAAACATTTTCTATTAAAGGGGGAAAGGTTTTAAACGTGCATTTTATAGTTATATCTCGCATAATACCCTTGTTCAAATATACAGGTTTTTCTGTAAAGTTGAGGGTTTAAAACTAGATTGACATATACAGACCATGCCTTGAAGAATACTACTGAATTAGAGCACTAACTGATGCATTTTAGCCTGCTGATCGATGCATTCTATCTTGTGTAATAGAGATGCCATGACAACAACGAATATTTTTGTTTTAAATCAAATTACGCATCGTAATTAAATTAGTGGGTTTTCATGCCGCGGGAGCCATGATAACACTATAGTTTGTGACGAAAACATGTGTATAATAATAATGATCAACTTTGTCCCAGGGTTCTCATGGTGGTGCGTATATTATTTTTTTCAAGTATATTATTAAGAGGTTCCTATTTGGACAGAATTCTAATCAAATTTTACTACATTGTACCCACTGGAAGATATTGAAATTCAACTCCTATTTGGACAATACTTTAAATGAAGAATTCTAATCCTAGTACATTGTACCTACTAGAAGATATTGAAATTCAACTTGAACTTGGCAACGCCCTTTTTGAAGGTAAAAATGGAGTGTCAAGCCCCTCTTCCCGTAAGGCAGTCGATGTTTTGGGGCATAAATATATTTTGGCTCCAGCAAACTAGAACTCATTTTAATGCCCATGGACTACGTTCGTACTAAAATAAGTTGGCATGGCTGCATGGATCGGACCAAAAACATCTTTTCAATCTCGATTGTTACATCATGAAATAAGTCAAGCATTTCACTAATTCAATTCAAAGTAATACTCGGTGTTTCCGTGCTGGTTGTGTTAAGCAGGACGCACACGCTACGTTTTAAGTCAGCAGACGTGAGGTTTAGTTATAGATTCATGTTAAAACAAGAAACAGTCATTGGCATGATCTACGCGCTTATTGTTCTCATTGCTCTGCATTGGCTTCGTTAAATACCATGCACGTAAGTCATAAATCAGCGACAAAAATTGTAGCATGTGCCCCAAGCTCTGATATACTAAAGTCTTGGATAATTTAATGTTGCTTCGATTGGCGTGCTTGATGGGCTTGGATAACGCACACAGCTTCCTCTACTTTAGCAGCCAATGCTTCACGAAACTCCAACATGTGGAGTAGTTCTGCATTATCTATCTCTAACAACATTCCTGTTATCTTGCCAGCTAAATGCGGATGGGTTTTTTGAATGAGTGGGAAAAGACGCTCTCCCAACATTCGCTTTTGATCTGGAGGTGACGCTTGAGCCAAGACTGGTGGATTTAGAAGGTCTTGACCCGGTCGTGGATTCCGCACTCGACCGTGATTTACTGTTGCCGGCGATGGCCATGCATACATGATATTCCGTAATACTGGTGGTGACATTGACACAAACCCGTATGCACCTGGAAACATAGCACCTTCATTTGGCTTCACTGGGGACGGCGAATTCCCCATCATTTCAAGATTGCTTAACTTTTGAAGTATTTGTGTCATCGTAACTTTAAGTTCAGCCATATTTTTATTTACTTTGGAAAGATTATCTTTTACATATTTTACATCTTCCTTAACTACTTCGAACTTTTTGAATTCTTGTTTCATATTTCCCTTCAAACCTTCTACTCTGTTTTTGGTCGTAGTATTAATTTTCATTAAAACTCCAACAAGCTCCTGTATCTGTCCACAGTCATGACATTTCACTCTCCTGTATTCACAAACTTCAGTTTCATGATGGATTCTGTCTTGTTTGTTAATCTCCATACCACATTCTTCATTTGAACACAACACAGGAGAAAAACCACAATTCAGAACATGACTTTCCAGAGATTCGAGACGGATAAACTCGGGACATCCCCGACTAGCAAAGTCACACTTTATTTTAAGCTCAGATAAATAATTATTCACCAAACGAGGTGCCTGACGAAGCGTGTCTACACTCAAATCTTCGTTGCATTCAGGACAAGTTTCAGAGTTCTCGTTGAGATTTCGGGTGACACAGGCGAGACAAAAGATGTGTTCGTTATTCCTACACATCCTCGGCTCTTTGAGAACGTTGTAACAGATTGAACAATGAAAATTTTCGTCGATATCTTTTTGAAATCGACTGTTGTCGTAGCCATACTCATCTTCTGTCTGGTTGCATGCCATTCTTTCAATTATTTACAGCTAGCAAAGCGTTGCTCTACTTTCCACTGTAGGAGTAGATACCATGCAATGGCAACGATCTTTTTCTATATGATTCGTCTTACATTGTAAAGCAAATAAATCGAGGACAAGAAGGGATTTAGGTTTTGAAATATTCCGCCTTTGCTTTGATTTCGTTTTGCAAATTATAACAAACTTTGATTATTCAAATTACTTGGAAATATAAGTCAGCTCGCAGTGCTTGGAAGGAGCAATCTGATTGGTTGATCGATAACTGCGGTTGAAATTAAAAATTCTGGATCGTCATGTCTTCGATCCCTTACTTGTGTACATAGCTGCATGTATAGGATCGATGTCATGCAGCCGTAGCAGACGTAGTAGACGTAACAAGCATAATTCAAGACATTGAATTCGGATCGACACATGCAAAATCGGGGTTTTTTTCAACGTATGTGGCTGATGCAAACGGAACCCTGCAGGATATGGTATATCCCACATCATCCTATTACATTACATTACATTGCATTGCATTGCATTGCATTGCGTTACGTTACGTTACGTTACATTACATTGCATGGGAGGGTACAAAAGCTGGACCCCCTCATCTGGAACCCTTTCTGGACCCCCAACTGGACCTTTCAGAATATAAAATAAATTCAAAATAGAGATCAAAATAGCCGGATATTTGATATAAATAATAATGCGATTTTCGTAAATAATAGATTTTTAATCATTTATGGAAGTAGTTGGGCCTAGTCTTTTGTGCAATTTGTTAGGCAGGTCACTACTTTATAATTATATTAGATCAAAAGAATAATTTCGGCCATGTCAGGGTAGAGCATATTTTCAGTTAGGGATAGTGCGTATTTAGCATTTTTATTGTTATTATCGTGGGTCCACTATCTCCTTGCAAGATGAAGTAACAGCAAACTTATAAGCTTAATATCTTTGTATTTATTTTTTTAATTTATAAGCTTTATTGGACATATAAATTCTAGATTACAAGGTGAACGTCCAATGAGGTTAGTGCAAACGGGAAAACGAGACCCATGCAAGGCACAACCCCTAAATAAAAGTATGACTAGATAACAAAAAGAAAAAGAAAGAAAAAAGATCTATTTACAGTGAATTATTATTTATGGCGGGGAGGGGGGGAGGGGGCACCGAAGAGAAATGTTTTTCTTAATATTAAAATGTCAAAAGAATTTCAAAAAATATTTCAGCCAACCTAAAATATCAATTAAAAATTAAATACCAACTCCAGGCCAAAAAAATTACAAAAGGATACCATTCAGTTGTCACACATGTCCTTTACCACTTCCGTGACATGAGTTTGATAACTGCTCGTGCAATTTCCTGCAGTCTAAAGTTTCATGTTGTCTGTACATGGAAAGACAATTTGCCTCCTGACAAATCGGAAAATGATCAAGATACTAGTGACTGACTCTGATTGATTTAGATATTGTATTGACATATAACTGTTGACATTAATTACGTTTTAGTCTTCAATATTTGAATGAGTCATGCTTTGGAGTTTGGAAAGGACAATCATTTTTTTATTATCCAACCCTTGTTTTTCATTTACCCAACCTTTTACTCACTCAAAATTTTGTTTACCCAACCCTTTTCTCTTTGTTGCCACCCCCCCCCCCCGCCAAAAATTATGACCGGTCCCTTAAAATGAGTAACAGCATGTAAGGTATTGTGGTCTCTTTTCGCGAAGTTGATAGTATATGTAAAAACCAAATCCAATGAATGTAACTTACTATACCAAAGCCCTCGATCCCCATAGCGAATAATCTATATTGTAATAATGATACTTGTATTATTAACACTGATGAGAGGGTCTTGAAAGGGTAAAATTCGGAACTGGGATTTGTGTATTTTTGGAGTGGGTCATAACAGGGACCATAGGGACTGGGAATAACATGACACAAAAATGGAAATAGGAAAACCCATATACCAAACCCATATACCATTTTAAAGACAGTTGTAGTAAGACATTTCAGAGTATAAAAAAATACAAGGGAAGCTATACCTAACTTTTGAACGAGCGTCTAAAAATGTCCTGTAAGAATGTATTCTGGTCGACGACATATTTCTGCTATTGCGGGTCAGTGTTCTACTTAGTATATGACAGAAAATTACAGGTATTTGTATAGATTTTAAACTTTTTACTTCGTGCAGTTATTTCTAAAGAGAGCAATTGAAAGCAGAATATTGTGTTTTAAAAGCCACCACATCGGTGAAACACCTGCTCAGGGATATTCTTACAAGTTTACAGTTGAAACTGGAATTTGGTCCAAAGGTGGGCTGGGGAGTGGGTCCTAGACCCCTCCCCGCTTCAGGACCCTTTGGACCCACGGAGCGTGTCGAACAAACGTGGTCTTTGTTTTCAACAAAACAAAACAATTATATAATAATTGTATACTTTTTATTAATTAAGCACTACAGCTTGTTATATTTTAGAATGAACACTTCGTCGTGTACTGTTTAATACAATTACCAGAATATTTTAGTTTACATGCATGTAGTCATATAGGAAAGGTTTAAAACAGATGTAAAGCACGATTGAAATCTTGTATACTAGATATTAGAAGTTATGCAATTATGTAATTATGTAATTAACTTAAGGTTAGTGTGTGTTTTCTCGTATGTTCCTGAAATTATACAGGCTGTACACGTTGCTTTCACAAAATCGTTCGAACCACCCCGACTTAGCCAAACTTCATGCCATCAAATTTTATCAGGACTGAACGAAATGACGTTTGATCATGCAATGACGCGAATGTTGTAAATGGCTGAGAACATTCTGATGAGAACATTCGTATTCTTCACCAATTTGAAATAAATGAATGATATTTAGTGAGAACTTAAAGTTGATGTAAATTAGCATGATTCACGGTCATGATTTCTTTTGTGTTTTCTTCATGAATTATTAATTTAATGAGTTTCATGCTTGGATAATATAAGCAAATTCATCCCAAATATATCCGAGTTTTTTTAAAAAGTGGATATCTAACTTTATGTTATACTATAGATGCCTAAAAATCTCGATATTTACCTTATAACGCAGGGTTTATTTTAAGAAAAATTTAGAACTGCACATATTAGGGATGTTGCGAAGCATCACGTGTTTGACTGGGGGTCAAATGATGTTTGACTGGGGGGTCAAAGGATTTTTATCTATATTTAACGTTGTAAATGTATAGTTAACGTTGTAAATTATGATAGACTCTTAATTTGTATATGGGTGGCAGAATAAAGGTGTGGTTGGGTGGGGCCAGGCAAACTCGATTCTGGGTGGGGGAGCTACAGATAGGTGGTGTCACCCCAAATTTTGAATTTAGAGGCAAAGATTTATTTCACCAAACTACCCACAAAAATTGTTTCAAAACATGTAACTGGGAATCATGAATACTCAATATATAATAACCTTAAGTAGCAAAGAATATTAGGTTCTCTTTTGAATAGCTTCGCTCAACCCAATTTTACCTCCTGTTACATTACCCCCAGCACGTATGTGATTTGTGAGGAAAATGTGAGGGTCTGGTGGTCCTCTCCCAGAAAACATTTAGATTTTTGATGCTCAATGACAGTATTTCTGGCATCTGGAGCATCCACAAGGAAAATGAGTAGACTCTTTTGAGATTATATTTTTGTTAATTTGGTGACTGCACATTTGAGTTTTAAGAACTGTACAAATGGGATTAGAACTGCACATTTTGTGTAGAACTGCACGTTAAAATAAACCCTGTTATAAGTTATATATAACGTTCAGTTAGCTATTATAGATGTAATATTAGATTTGCCGGATACTGTTTTGTCGGATATCGTATGGTACCGGATAGCAGTCTACCGGATCCCGGTCAGTCAGGGGAAAATGATAACCGGATAATGACTGGATCAGCCGGATACTAATGGTGGTTCTTGGACAATAATTCACTATTTTTCCAACAACATAGTCCATTGTTCAACTATATGTGCCTTATCTAATATCAGTGGCACAGGGTCTGCGAGCAATCTAGTCTATCTAGTTTATATCTTGAAAACATTTTCTGCATGTCATCATGTATGCGTTTCACAAAAAAAAACAAAGAAAGGCCAGAGGCCAGTTGTCGAGCTTTAACCGCAAGTTCAGGTTACATTGGCATCACCATAGTATATATACATAAACTTGCGGGTAATTAGAGCTCGGCAACTGGTCTCTGTAGCTCAGTTGGTTACAGCGCTGCATCGGAATCGCAGGACCGTAGGTTCAATTCCTGCCAGATGGCTTATAGTTGCATCTTCATGGATCACAACTGCTCATACTCGAAATGTCCCACTACAAGACCAATGTACATTGAATTAGTTGTATCGAATGTAGATTCCCCAAAATGTTGATATTTTTTCACACTACTTCACCTTTGCATTTCAAGAATCCTCAAATTCGACCTCTTCAAAAAAGACTTTTTGTATATTATGCCAAAACAATTTAGTTAACGTTGTGCATAAATGCCCATCTTAAGCGCGCGGTTAAAACGAGAACGAGAGTGCATAAGAGTTGGCAATCAACATGACTTTGGTTAGTTGTTCTTAATGCTTTCCCAAAACTATCATGTATTATTTGTCTAAGTTGAAACGTAGTTGGAACAATATTCCAAAAACGCATTAATAATTCATGAGTAAAACACAAAGAAAAATCATAAACGTGTCGTATCGTTATATGTGATAGAGATTTCCCTTGATTTACATAAACTATAACTTTGACTCTTCCCGACTTACACAACGTATTTTTGGAAGATTACTTCGCCAATGAACTTACTAGATCGATCGTTTTCAGACCTAAAGATACTCGACTTTGCCTCGTATCTTTATATCTGATAAAACACTCCTGCTCGTGTTTCAAATAGTACTGCATTAAACCTTTATTTTGTTAACCTAGAGCTTGAAATGTCCCCTGTAACAATTCGTGACTGCCAACTTTCGCAGTGGCGTAACGGAAGAAGAGGGGGCCCTTAGGCATATTAGAGAGTTTGAGCAAGACAAACGAAGTCGGACGACGACGACGACGTGGTTGACAATTTTTGCCTGTCTTGTACATTACCTTGCGCATTCTTAGTTTAGGGTCAGGAGTGAAAACAGATTAGAGATTCATGTCTAGCTGTTTGTGAATGCTGAACCAAATCCTTACCCTGATCAGGATAAAACAGCGACACATGAATCCATATCCCGTCTTCGTCTTCTGCCTTCGTTCACAACGAATATTTTTGCAAAATTCGTTGTGAACGTCGTTCTGCACGAAGGCAGAAGGACAAAGACGGGATATAGTTTTATGTCTCGCTGTTTTTTTCTGGATCAGGGCAAGAATTATGGTCAGTATTCATAAACAGCGACACATGGGAAGACACGTTGTGCAACCACCAGTGACGTCCAACTTAGTATGCGCAAGATAATGTACAGACGGCAAAAATTGTCAAGTATACCTTCGTCTTCGTACTTCGTTGTCTTGCTCAAACTCTCTTATTACTGGGGGGACCCTGTCGACTGTTGTCAATATTTATAGAATGTTTTAGAAAAATTGAAAATTCCGTGTCTATATGACAATGACAATAACAGTCTCCAACACATGTAACTACTTTTAAGAATAACTTTTGTTTTATTTGAGATGGAATAAAAAATTCAGCTACCGTTGTCGATGGAGGCTTTATTATTCAGCATTATTAATTTTGCATTTTCCCATTGATTCTTCACCTGCATTATTTACATTTTCTAATTTTCTGGCCGATAGGCCGTGGTTGATGGGGCCCCTAACTGTTGGGGACCCTTAGTTTTTTAACTATAACCCTACCCAATGAGCGTTACGCCACTGAACTCTCGTCAAACCTCATCTCCGCTTGTCTGGGGCTTTACACATATTTTCTCGTGGAAGGTAAAACGGTAGCAACGGCACCCCACCTGGCTTCGTTCATTGCAGTAAGATACTTCCAAGTAGAACCTCCCATTCGAAAATACTCCACTGAATTGAGAGTTTGAACTTTTTCGTTGGCGTTGATATTTTCACCTCCCATGACTACAATTGTATTTCCAGTAATAACTGCACAGCATCCGTGTCGCTCTTCCAGCATTCGTGGTAAGGCTGTAATCTTGCCAGTCTTGCAGTCATACATGAAAACATCGTTCAAAACACGACCGTCTCTATCACGTCCTCCAAACACAACCACTTGATCTCTCCAACGAACTGTTGCCATTCTTGCCAAACGAAGCGGTAACGGTGGCATCTCTTTACATTCGTTCTTCTTCGGGTCAAGCTCCAACACACCGTCCAAAGCACCCCTATGATCTTCTCCTCCGAAAATCAAGATTTTATCTTCAAAAATCTCAGCGCAGTGGCCTACCCGTGGCTCAGGCATTTCGCGTAACTTGTTCATAGTGCAAGGTGAGGTAAGTTGCAATTCACTGATCATGTTGGACCGTCTTTTTTGGCCATAATTATATCCACCAATGTGGATTACACGCTGCTGGTAAACAACGGTTTGATGATCATCACACTTATATGGAAGTTCTCCAATAAATTTCATCCATTTCAAAGGTAAATGATTGAGGTCCAACGTCTCTATTGTCTTGCTGTCGATTCCCCCGACGACAAATAGAAGATCATTATAGATAAATGATGAAGCTGTAATATGCTTTTCATTCATTTGCGACACATCAAACCAACCATTTTTCTCCCAGGAATATATTACTGTATTTTTGCCAGTTTTACTTAAACCCCCATAGCCACCAGCAATCAAAATGTCTTCCCTTGGTGCATTCAACATTCCATCAGTCGGAGATGGACGTTTGTTGGCCAGTAACCGCTCGACCAGTTGATTCATCATTACTTTGATCTGATCCATGTCGTTGTTCAATTTGGAAAGATTTTCTTTCACATCCTTTACTTCTTTCTTAACTTCCCCGACTTCTTTCTTGACTTCTTCGTGCTCTTGTTTAATTTCATATTTGCTCTTCTTCGTTTCTTAGCTTTCTGCTTCTACTTTCCAATCCAATTCTGTTAAGCGTCTTTCCAATCTTTCCACAACTTCCTGCATTAGTCCACAATCATGACATTTCGCTTTCTTATATTCACAAACGACAGTCTCGTGATGGGCCGCCTCTTGCTTGTTAATTACCGTACCACAGTTTTCGTTTGAACACAACACCGGAGCAAAACGACAATTTGCAACGTGAGTTTTGAGATCTCCGACACAGCTGAACTTCAAACATCCCCGACTGGCGTAGTCGCAATTAATTTTCAGCTTCGATAAATAATTATTCAACACTCGCGGCCGGCGAAGCGTGTCTACGCTCAAATGTTCGTTACATTCTGGGCAAGTTTGCGAATTCACCTTCAAATGTTGCGTGATGCAGGCAAGACAAAAGATGTGTTCGTTATTTCTACACATCCTCGGTTCCTTGAGAACATTATAGCAGATAGAGCAATGAAAATTTTCGTCGACATCATTTTCGAAGCGGCTGCCTTCGTAGCCGTACGTTTCTTCTGTCGAGGAACAAGCCATCGTTTACAGCTCACAAAACATTGCTATACTTCCCATTGATAATTTGATACCAATAAGCGTTCTTGCACGATTTCTCTTACATTGTAAAGCAAATAATTCAAGAACGAGATGCGTTGTTTCAAAGTTCAAACACTTCCGTCTTCGCTTGTCTTTGTGTTTGATTTGACTTGGAAATATGAAACTGATCAAAGGTCATAGCACCAATTTCCGTAATTATGTTGATGAATATTAAAATGCTTAACCTTAAATCTTTTTATGATCTCGATAATCTTATATTACACAAACATTTTCATATTACAGGGGAAAGGTTCTAAACGTGCATTTTATAGTTATATCTCGCATAATATCAATACCCATGTTCGAATATACAGGCTTTTCTTTTTCTTTTCTTGCACAGTGAAAAGAGTGCTTCCAGTGTGACTGAAGAATACTACCGAATTAGAGCACTAAAATCAGTAAAATGCATTTTAGCCTGCTGATCGGCACTCCATCTTGCGTAATAGGCGATGCCAACAGCGATTTTATTGAAATTGTCCAGGCCGCAAAACCGCGGCTGATTTCAAACATGAAATAGGAAATTAAATCTGTGGGTTTTCATGCCATGTCGAAGCCATGATAACAATATAGTTTTTGACGAAAACATATTTATAATAATAATGATCAACCTTGTCCCCAGGGTTCTCATGGTGGTGCGTATATTAATATTTTCAAGTATATTATTAAGAGGTTCCTATTTGTACAGTACTTTAAATAAAGAATTCTAATCAAATTCAACTACTACATTGTACCCACTGGCCCGGATATTGAAATTCAATTTGAACTTGGCAACGCCCTTTTTGAAGGTAAAAATGGGGTGTCAAGCACCCCTCCTCGTAAAGCAGTCGATATTTTTTGGGCATAAATATATTTTGGCTGTTGAACTAATTTTACCTCCCATGCCTATGCATGGGCTACGTTCGTGCTAAAACAAGTTTGGCATGGCTGCATGGGTCGGACCAAAAACATCTTTATACTCAACCTCTATTGTTATATCATGAAATAAGTCAAACATTTCACTAATTTAATTCAAAGTAATATTTTCGTGTTTAAAAGTTGACTATAAATGCCGTTCAAATATATACAACGTAGTTTTGATATACAAAGATCAGTGAGAAAGTTTATAATGTGTTGGGAATGCCGTTAAATTAAAGGCAGGCTAAATGTTAAGCCAACACACTCAAAATAGTTTGGTTTTTTCTATATATATAATAACTTTTTAAATCACGATTACAAGTCACTAGCATTGGTTACTAGCCCCAATATTTGTTTTTTTTAAAGATTGTAAATTTTTTTAATAACATAATATAACAATTAAATACAATATATGAACATAATAAACTTCTTTTGCTAACTAAATAAATCAGTAAGATCAACTTCACAGTATTTGATACCCTTACTAAATCAGACTTACGACGCAGGCATTTGATTCACAGTTATTTACTATATACTGGAATTAACCTAATTGATTAATATTACGACAATTCTCAACAAATGCATTAGTTTAACTTTTTTTTCAGCTTTTCTACTTTGCCTGTTTCGGCGTTTCCGTTCTGGTTGTGTCCGAGAACTGGACGCACACGATACGGTTTAAGTCGGCCAACTTGAGGTTTAGTTAGATTCATGTTAGTAAAACAAGAAACAGTCATTTGGATGATCTACGCGCTTATTTTTCTCGTTCCTCTGCATTGGCTTAGTTAAATACCATGCACGTAAGTCATAAATCGGCCGACAAAAATTGTAGCATGTGCGCCAAGCCCTGATATACTAAAGTCTTGGGTAATTTAATGTTACTTCGATTCCCGTGCTTGATGGGCTTGGATAACGCTCACAGCTTCCTGTACTTTAGCAGCCAATGCTTCACGATACTCCAACATGTGGAGTAGTTCTGCATTATCTACCTCTAACAACATTCCTGTTATCTTGCCAGCTAAATCAGGGTGGGTTTGTTGAATGAGTGGGAAAAGACGCTCGCCCAACATTTGTTTTTGATCTGGAGGTGACGCTTGAGCCAAAACTGATGGATTTAGAAGGTGTTGACCCGGTCGTATATTCCGCACTCGACCGTGATTTATTGTTGCCGGCGATGGCCATGCATACCTGGTATTCCGTAATGCTGATGTCGGCATTGACACAGACCCGTATGTACCTGGTAACATAGCACCTGCATTTGGCTTCATTGGGGATGGCGAATTCACCATCATTTCAAGATTGTTTAACTTTTGAAGTATTTGTGTCATCGTAACTTTAAGTTCAGCCACATTTTTATTTACTTTGGAAAGATTTTCCTTTACATATTTTACATCTTTCTTAACTACTTCGAACTTTTTGAATTCTTGTTTCATATTCTCCTTCAAGACTTCTACTTTCTCGTTAGTCGTTCCAACAAGCTCGTGTATCTGTCCACAGTCATGACATTTCACTCTCCTGTATTCACAAACTTCAGTCTCGTGATGGGCTCTGTCTTGTTTGTTAATCTCCAAACCACATTCTTCGTTTGAACACAACACAGGAGAAAACCCACAATTCAGACCATGAGTTTCCAGAGCTTCGAGACGGATAAATTCGGGACATCCCCGACTAGCAAAGTCACACTTTATTTTAAGCTCAGACAAATAATTATTCACCAAACGAGGTGCTCGACGAAGCGTATCTACACTCAAATCTTCGTTGCATTCAGGACATGTTTCAGAGTTCTCGTTGAGATTTCGGGTGATACAGGCGAGACAGAAGATGTGTTCGTTATTCCTACACATCCTCGGTTCTTTGAGAACATTGTAGCAGATTGAACAATGAAAATTTTCGTCGATATCTTTTTGAAACCGACTGTCGTCGTAGCCATACTCGTCTTCTGTCGGGCTGCAAGCCATTCTTTACAATTACAGCTAGTAAAGCGTTGCTCTACTTTACACTGTAGAAGTAGATATCAACGATCTTTTTTATATTATTTGTCGTTCTGATTGTAAAGCAAATAAATCGAGAACAAGAAAGGAATTAGGTTTTGAAATACTTCCGCCTTCTCCGGCTTTGGTTTCGTTTTGCAATAACAAACCTTGATTATTCAAATTTCAAAATACTTGGAATTAGGTCGTCACCTGTAAGCTAAAACTAGTTTACCCACAGGGTAGTGAATGCTGCCTTGGCATATCATTTTTCCCAAATCTTTAATATTTTAAAGAATAAGAGTAAGAAATATTTGTAATCACCATTCTCCAATTAACCAAAATTTTGATCTCAACAAATCTAGACAAAATTCCATCATAGCATGAAAGAGCATCGCAAAATTAGTAATATTCCAAAGTTTCGTTGCGAAATGTTGTAAAATGCGGATAATATAGCCTTGCGAAATTTGCAATTTTCAGTCATTTTAGATTGCAAACGGGTTACCACTTTTCCAAAATTTTGATCTTAACTAGCCTAAACAAAAATTTCATCACAACTTGAAAGAGCATCACAAAATTAGTAATATTCCAGAGTTTCGTTGCAAAATGTTGTAAAATGCGGATAATATATAGCCTTGCGAAGTTTGTAATTTTCAGTCATTTTGTAATTTGTATTACGCACAGAAGTGGTAACCATCTCCCGTTTGTAATCTAAAATGACTGAAAATTGCAAAGTCTAGATTTGTTGAGTTCAAAATTTTGGTTAATCGGGGAATGGTCCGTTGGAATCATCCATAATTTATACACTTGAATGTGCCGTATGATAACTCGGCGCTCGAAGTTTCGTATCGAAAGAGGAACAGCCGAACAGGTACGATGGCTAACAAGAATGAGTGTACTTATCAACTTATCTAACGCGAGGAAAAGGTATGGCTGTGATATCTAGTATATAAAATTGTATAGACAATTTGCCCACAAATACGGTGCTAGGTCAAAACGGCCCGAAGTCAAAACGGCCCAAAGTCAAAACGGCCCCGCTTCAATAATCATATGATTTAGACCAGGGGCCAGCTAGTTGTTCAAAGGTGGGTTAGCACTAACCCTGGATTAAAATTTAACCTGCTGTTTTAGTTTGTGTATTTCTGTACTTCTGTTTATTTCAAAACTTCAGAGAAATAAACTCCTATCGATCCAGACAAGATCTCTGAAAAAATATTTCCAAATTTATAGACAAGCTGTCAGGATGTTTGCTTTGAATTTTAGGTTAACCTAGGGTTAAGCCGAACCCAGCTTTGAACAACCGGCCCCAGGGGTTAAAGGGCAATGACAATGACATGCAGGTGACATTTAACATGTGCGAGTGTGCGTCTCAATAAATTTTCTTGTTTAATAATGTTTATCAAAGAAGGCAAAAATATATACAAGACAACCTCACATGTGGAATTTGTTCACTTACGCACTGCGTTGTGATGCAGTACAAGTACAAATGACAAAGCATTTTTAAAGGCTTTAAATCGTAAACATAATTAAATCATACGGCACATTCAAGATTTTAATATCGTATTTCAGCCGCGTTTATACTGCTTGGCGCGCATTTGCTGCGTTATATTAATTTTTATACCTATGTTATATACACACAGATTTATTACTAATAAATCAACACTATATGATAATATATAAGAATTCACAAAGTGCAGTCACCTTTTTACAAATAAACCTTTTTAAAAGCATGTCATTGTCATTGCAGACCAGAGGCAAAAAGCACAGCCACATAGGCCTACCAGATTTATTAAGCAATCGTGAGATTATATACATGGAAAGAATATGGAAATTATGTTAAAAGCACCCCGTATAATGACGAAAGCACCGCGTATAATGCTCGAACCACTGCGTATAATGGCGAACGCACCGCGTATAATGCTCGAACCACTGCGTATAATAGCGAAACCACCGCGTATAACGCTCGAACCACTGCGTATCGACAAAATGTCGTTTGATCACTTACGCCAGCTATGGCTTTCCATAAAAAAACCCCAAAGATGAAAGATGATCACATTGCTTGTTTGCCTTATGCCTGTTTATTAGGCAAGAATAGGCTGCCGCCTCGGAAGCAGTGCATCGTGGTAGACCGAAATACGCCGAAACGATCGAGATTTCATCTGCCTTATATATATAATATATATATATATATATATATATATATATATATATATATATATATATATATATATATATATATATATATATATATATATATATATATATATATATATATATATATATATATATATATACATAAAGATTGGGACTGCTGCCTCGCTCGCTCGCTTCACGCTCGCTCGCTACGGCAGCAAATATGCCTAGAAAGTGATTTTCGTTGCACATATCGCGAGGCTAATGATTTCTTTCATAAAGTAGTAGAGGAGCATGTCAAATCAAATAATAAAAAAGCCCCCAATCATATTAAAGTGTGCACGAGAAGAACGAGAAGAACGAGAAATCGGCTATATTTTGGCGATGACGTCATCTATAGTTCCAAAAAGTAAAAATGTTCGAATTTCGAAAAACGGTTAATGCCATCAGATAGATGTACATAATTGGAGGAAAAAACTATAGTACACTGATAACTTTCAGTCGTTCGTTACCGAGATAACCAAAGTTCTTAAAACTGCTGAGTCAGCATTTTCGTTTCTCCAGTAAAGCTTGTATTGGCAGACTGCATGAAGACGAAAGGCTTATTTTGCACTAGTACCTTAGCACCACAGTGTGTGAATTGCAGCAGTTAAGCAAGACAGAAAACTAAAATGCAACTAAAAAAATCAAATTGTTTACCTGTCATCTAAAGCCTTTGAAAGAAAGTTAACCTAGAAAATGATATCTGTTGCAACATGTCGCAAGACTAACTAATTTTACCATGTCAGACACGTACTTTGTTCTGAGTAGTTCTGATATTACATGGCCAAATTTTACCAATGCACGCTGCACACAAGCAAGCCATGACTTCTTACAAGCTTATTATTACACAACAGGCACATTACTCAACAGGCAATATCATTGAACATCAAAAATCCTCTATTAATTCCACTCTATAATATAACTTCTTCACAAGAAATTCATGTCTTATCTTGTCCATACAAAATGTTAGTATAATTCTTGTATCACTTCTTATAGCACTTAACCTCGATGATGGCAACACAATCTCTGTCCAAAATTTTTAATAAGATCCTGTTGTCATTTTTCTTTGTGGCAGCTTTGCGCAATAGACCTGCATCAAAAGTCTCACATGCAACAAGGGTTAGTATTCTTCACGGTTAGTAATTTTGGAATAAATATTATTGTGATTATTTCGCTACATGATCGCCAGTGGCGAAACTTGAGGTGTGGGGGGTGACACCCCACAAAGTACAAATCATCTGGATTGGCAGGGCAAATCATCTGGATTGGCTGGGCAATGAAAGATTTTAAATGGTAGAATGTAGTGTTATTAAATAGATTCCAGGGCTTCCAGAGGAAATTTAATAGAATTTATAGACCTAAATTTTACAGATATTGGTAACAAAATAAGGGTGTCATGCATGTTTTAACTCCGGGAATTTGTCCGAAAAATATTTTCCACCTCTTAATTTAATTGGTTTATGTCCGGAAACAGTGGCCAACAGTGGCCAATAGTGGCCAACAGTGGCCAATAGTGGCCAATAGTGGCCAAAAAAAATATTTTGCTGCAGGGCATCATCGGCTTTCTCAGGGCAATTCTAGCAGACACCCCCTAATTAAAAGGGGCTAGTTTCGCCCCTAGTGATCGCTGTACTATTTACTAGCACTATTTTTGGAACCATCATTGTCAAGTGATGGGTGTAAAAGCTTCTTTGGTGGAACAGTTTGCAACTTCACAGCCAATTAAGTTTTCACTGCCTCATGTTCTCTTTTCCTCCACTTTTGGCAACTTGTTTTCCCTGCAAGTTTTTTATAGCAGTTCTCATGGTAGTGCCAGTCGAGTTCCCAGTGGCGTAACGGAACCTCCTGAGGCCCCCGTTAAATTTTTAAGTGAGGCCCTATTTCTTAAACAAAAAAGTCGGCGAACGGAGGGGGGGATGGGGGGAAAAAAATGTTCCGAACCATATTCCTTAAAAATAACAACAAATTTTCCCTATCTATGTCACAACTCACAATTTCACCAATTCCTGCTTTTGGGGGCCACCCGTTGATAATTTTCTGACCCTCTATAACTAAGGCTCGGGCCAATTTGCCCAATGTACTAGTCAAAAGTTTACGGCCATTTTTGCCGGGAGGCTCCCAGGCATGCCCCCCCCCCTGCTTCTGGGCATCCAAACAGCCTATTCAGTTACGCGACTGCAAGTTCCCCACAGCAGTTAGAGTGCGAGAAATGCCTTTTACGTGAACAAACCGACTATTTTATCATGAACAAAACACTTAAAGGTAAAAATAATCTTTGATTAGAATAGACCTTTTCCTTATGAGTGAAATATTGATCTAGATATGCCTGGACAAAAATTTCATCACAGCTTGAAAGAGCATCACAAAATTAGTAATATTCCGGAGTTTCGTTGCGAAATGTTGTAAATATTAATGCGGATAATATATATAGCCTTGTGAAGTTTGCCGTTTTTCAGTCATTTTGTATTACAAACGGGAAATTGGTAATCAGATGATCAAACTGATTATCGATTTCCATTTGTATATACAAAATGACTGAAAAACGGCAAACTTCGCAAGGCTATATTATCCGCATTTTACAACATTTCGCAACGAAACTTCGGAAAATTACTAATTTTGTGATGCTCTTTCAAGCTGTGATAAAATTTTTGTCTAGACTTGTCTAGATCAAAATTTCACTCAAAAGGGGAAAGGTCTATTACGCCGAGAAAGAAAATATATTAAAGAAATAAACAGTAAGGAATCTATTTTTGAAGCTGGATATACTTCGCTTGTGTGTATGTCAGTGTCAAGTATTTTACAGTAAATCTCTATACTTAGATAATAAACAAATTACTCCATGGTTAGTTCGTCATTAAGTAATCTATATTTATACATTATATTTATCAGTACATTATATTAATATCCTGTATTTATATATTATACTAAAGTCTTGGATAATTTAATGTTGCTTCGATTGGCGTGGCTTGGAGAACGCTCACAGCTTCCTCTACTTTAGCAGCCAATGCTTCACGAAACTCCAACATGTGGAGTATTTGTGCATTATCTATCTCTAACAACAATCCTGTTATCTTGCCAGCTAAATCAGGGTGGGTTTGTACAATGAGTGGGAAAAGACGCTCGCCCAACATTCGCTTTTGATCTGGAGGTGACGCTTGAGCCAAAACTGATGGAATTAGAAGGTCTTGACCGGGCATACTAATACCTACAGGAGAGGTTCGTGGAGGCGGTTTCAGCCGCACTTGACGTGGTTGATTTGCTGTATACTTGATATTTTGTGATACTGGAGGTGGCAATGACACAGTCCCGTATGCATCTGGTAACTTAGCACCTTCCTTTGGCTTCACTGGGAACGGCGAATTCCCCATCATTTCAAGATTGCTTAACTTTTGAAGTATTTGTGTCATCGTAACTTTAAGTTCAGCCATATTCTTATCTACTTTGGAAAGATTATCTTTTACATCTTTTTTCAAAACTTCTACTTTTTCGTTAGTCGTAGTATTAATTTTCATTAAAACTCCAACAAGCTTCAGTATTTGTCCACAGTCATGACATTTCACTCTCCTGTATTCACAAACTTCAGTCTCGTGATGGACTCTGTCTTGTTTGTTAATCTCCAAACCACATTCTTCGTTTGAACACAACACAGGAGAAAAACCACAATTGAGAACATGACTTTCCAGAGCTTCGAGACGGATAAACTCAGGACATCCCCGACTAGCAAAGTCACACTTTATTTTAAGCCCAAATAAATAATTATTCACCAAACGAGGTGCCTTACGAAGCGTATCTACACTCAAATCTTCGTTGCATTCAGGACAAGTTTCAAAGTTCTCGTTGAGATTTCGGGTGATACAGGCGAGACAAAAGATGTGTTCGTTATTGCTACACATCCTCGGTTCTTTGAGAACGTTGTAACAGATTGAACAATGAAAATTTTCGTCGATATCTTTTTGAAACCGTCTGTCGTCGTAGCCGTATTCGTCTTCTGTCGGGCTGCAAGTCGCCATTCTTCACAATTACAGCTAGCAAAGCGTTGCTCTACTTTCCACTGTAGGAGTAGATACCAATGATCTTTTTTATATGATTTGTCTTACATTTTAAGCAAATAAATCGAGAACAAGAAGGGAATTAGGTTTTGAAATACTTCCGCCTGCTCTTTGGTTTCGTTTTGCAATAACAAACCTTGATTATTCAAATTTTAAAATTCTTGGAATTTGGAAATATGATACCATATTTTTACACTGTACTGTCAACAAAAAGAAATACTAGAAGTTACTATCGCAGGGGAAGTGCTGCCTTACGACCAAAGCCCTGGGGATTGATTAAACCAATAAAATTCATTTATTTAAATTGCCTTATACACACTGTATGTATGAATTTATTTTGTTTGAAAAATATTGAAAGTACAATATGCAATAATTACTATATACTGTAAAGTGTACTTCAGATTTTCATATTTACATGTATGTACATGATTGTTGGTATCAATGTTTTAAACCATTTTTACTTGTCCATATGTGTAGAAGAACACGGTTAGGAATATGCACGATACGTCTTTTAACGTGATATGACTAATTTGTTGCAAGTTTTCGTATTCTTTCCAAGTAATGATAGTCTGCTGTATTTTCCATTTGGTAAACAAGTGTTACTATTGGTTTTTGTCCAATATGTAGATGTTTCATATTTATTTAGCATGTAGAGGTAGTGTCCATTGTTGGCCATCATTATTGTCCAATAACTTGTTAGGTTACTGTACATACTGGTATACTGTTATACCAATATATTTTTTTATACTGATATACCAATATATTTTTTTATACTGATATATTAGACATACTGAGATATTTATATTTAGATATACTAATATATCTTTTTTGTATAGTTTGCACGAGGCTTCATTCTGCACTATGGAGATTGATTGATAACAATTGTTTTAAACTGAAGCCGAACCAATAACTAGTGGGTTATCGTAACTGGAAAGACACAAGCCGAGAGACAACCCGTTGGTGATTGGTTCGGCCCACTTCGGCTTAATTTGACAACATTACAAAATACGCAAAAGCGTCCTCGGTTTGTCGACTTCGTCCTCGGTTTGAGCTAACAAATAGTAAATAAAGAAACTACCTCTACGAATCTTAATCTTAAACGTTTACTGTTTGCTTTCGCGCTTATATGAAGCAAGTTTTCATTGTTGTATATATTAAAGTACACGAGAAGCGTTTAAAGTTTCCCGCCGGCTCGCAAACGTGTAATTTATCGTATCAGCGTTTTGATTGGTGGAACGACTTTTACATAAAGTGAATTATCGTATCAGCGTTTTGATTGGCTACTACTGTCCCGCTCAAAATTTGCAAACATGGCGCCTGGTTTCAACCATTGATCTAAGGAAGAGGTTATTTCGCTGGCCTCAAAGTGATAAAAAATGTAACAAAGCAACTGTTTTACCAATACTAACCTTATTCCAAACACCCTAATCCTAACCCTAACCCTACTCCAAGTTTGTTTCTAAACCAATCTTGAAGAAAAAAGAGTTTGACGTAATGTCATTCCGAGGTCAGCAAAATAGTATATACCTTGATCTAATAGTAGACCAGTGGTTTCACCAAAATCGGCGAAGTGAGAGTTTACTGCATTTTACGCGAACAATAGAATTCCAGCGAGAAAATAAAGAAATAATTATAAGAGGTGAAGAGTCTGTTTCTGAGGCTAGATATACTTCGTTTGTGTGTCTGTCAGTGTCAAGTATTTTACAGCAAATCTCTATACTTATAAATAAACAAATTACTCCACGGTTAATTCGTTATTAAGTAATCTATATTTATCTATTCTGTGATTTTGTGGTGTGATTGACGAGCAAAGGGCAACGCCGAGGGCATTTTATGCTCAGGTAATGAAACTTTATAAATTAATCGATATAAAATAATAAACAATCGATATTATCATATTATAAATCAAATGGCAAACTTTTCCTTAGGGTAGCTCTAGCTGGAAACACCGCACAAATGACCAAGTATTCTCGTTATTTTGAATAGTCCTCCCAATGGCTTGGAAAATCAGTGTTTTCTATTTCTTAATCTCCCGTGCCACAGAATAAACACATACAGAAGCCCGACTTTTTAGTCCACGCCTTTGAAGTTAGCGTAATCGCCGCCACGCCATGATTCGCAATTGCAAAACACTCGCCATGTTCCAAGCCAATGTGCTAAGGACAAGCTGTCACCCCCCTGAAAAATTCAAAATGACCAGCTTGGCTTAGGCGTTCAGGGAGAGAGTGCCTCAGTTGACAGCGTACAGGCGGTCTAGGAACATGGTGATAGAATTGTGATTACAAATAATGGCATGGCAGCGATTACACTTTTTTAGCTGAGTCGCCCACAAAATAGAGAATGGTGCGAAAGATCAGTAAGAAAGTTTATAATGTGTTGGGAATGCCGTTAAATTAAAGGCTATCGCCCGTATTCTAAAAGCTCACTCACACTCACACTCAATGAGTGGAGGTTCAACCTGAGCTTTTACCGAGTGTCATTGCTGTTTTTGAATAGCTCGGGGGCTAGTGTCGAACCTTGCTATGTGACTGCTCACCCTCCAGCTATTCATAAACAACATTGGCACTCGAAAGAAGCTCAGATTGAACCTCCACTCATTGAGTGTGAACTTTTAGAATACGGGCGTAAATGTTAAGCCAACACACTCAAAATAGTTTGGTTTTTTCTATATAATCACTTTTTAAATCACGATTACAAGTCACTAGCAGTGGTCACTAGACCTAATATTTGATTTTTTTTAAAGATTGGAAATTTGTTTTCAATAACTTAATATAACAATATGTGCTACAATATATGAACATATAATAAACTTCTTTTGCTAACTAACTAAATAAGATCAACTTCACAGTATTTGATACCTTTACCAAATCAAACTATGACGCAGGCATTTGATTGACAGTTATTTACTATATACGGGAATTAACCTAATTAATTAATATTACGACAATTCTCAACAAATGCATTAAGTTTTAGTTTTTTGTTCATCTTTTCGACTTTGCTTGTTTCGGTGCCTTCGTTCTGGCTGCATGTGTTAAGCTGGACGCACACGCTACGGTTTTAGTCAGCCGACTAAAGGTTTAGATTCATGCTAAAACAAGAAACAGTCATTGGCATGATCTACGCGCTTATTTTTCTCGTTGCTCTGCATTGATTTCGTTAAATACTATGCACGTAAGTCATAAATCGGCCGACAAAAAATTGTAGCATGTGCGCCCGGCTCTGATATACTAAAGTCTTGGATATATTAATGTTGCTTCGATTCGCGTGCTTGATGGGCTTTGAGAACGCTCACAACTTCCTCTACTTTAGCAGCCAATGCTTCACGAAACTCCAACATGTGGAGTAGTTCTGCATTATCTATCTCTAACAACATTCCTGTTATCTTGCCAGCTAAATCAGGGTGGGTTTGTTGAATGAGTGGGAAAAGACGCTCGCCCAACATTTGTTTTTGATCTGGAGGTGACGCTTGAGCCAAAACTGATGGATTTAGAAGGTCTTGATCCGGTCGTGGATCTTGATTGTCTTGATCCCGCACTCGACCGTGATTTACTGTTGCCGGCGATGGCCATGCATACATGATATTCCGTAATACTGCTGCTGGCATTGACACAGACCCGTATGCACCTGGTAACATAGCACCTTCATTTGGCTTCACTGGGGACGGCGAATTCCCCATCATTTCAAGATTGCTTAACTTTTGAAGTATTTGTGTCACCGTAACTTTAAGTTCAGCCACATTTTTATTTACTTTGGAAAGATTTTCCTTTACATGTTTTACATCTTTCTTAACTACTTGGAACTTTTTGAATTCTTGTTTCATATTTTCCTTCAAGACTTCTACTTTTTCGCTAGTCGTGTTATTAATTTCCATTAAAACCCCAACAAGTTCCTGTATCTGTCCACAGTCATGACATTTCACTCTCCTGTATTCACAAACTTCAGTCTCGTGATGGACTCTGTCTTGTTTGTTAATCTCCAAACCACATTCTTCGTTTGAACACAATACAGGAGAAAACCCACAATTCAGAACATGACTTTCCAGAGCTTCGAGACGGATAAACTCGGGACATCCCCGACTAGCAAAGTCACACTTTATTTTAAGCTCAGATAAATAATTCATCACCGAACGAGGTGCCCGACGAAGCGTATCTACACTCAAATCTTCGTTGCATTCAGGACAAGTTTCAGAGTTCTCGTTGAGATTTCGGATGATACAGGCGAGACAGAAGATGTGTTCGTTATTCCTACACATCCTCGGTTCTTTGAGAACATTGTAGCAGATTGAACAATGAAAATTTTCGTCGATATCTTTTTGAAACCGACTGTCGTCGTAGCCATACTTATCTTCTGTCGGGCTACAAGCCGCCATACTTTAATACAGCTAGCAAAACATTGCTCTAGCTTCTACTTTCCACTGTAGGAGTAGATATCAATGACATTTCTTGATTTGTCTTACATATGCGAAGCAAATAAATCGAGAACAAGAAGGGAATTAGGTTTTGAAATACTTCCGCCTTCACTTTGGTTTCGTTTTGCAATAAAAACCTTGATTATTCAAAATATAAAGTGGTGTGATCAAAGGTCATGACATCAATTTTTTTGCAACGTGACAAAAAAAAATTATGCTCTTGGAAAATTTTGCAACCCTCCCCCATCCCGCGTTGGGCAAAATTCAAAAACGTCGGGCAAAATTCAAAAACGTCGGGCAAATTTCTTTCTGCCCGCCCCCTCCCCTACCTTTTTCCCTCCCGTACGCATGTGTAAACTTTTAGTTGTATTATGTGTTATTATTGTACAACAAGCCGAAATTTTCTTCCCAAAATTGTACAACAAAATTTTTTTATGAACTCTTGGATGTCGACCGACTTTTTTAATGAACTTGTCTTCATGGAAGTCTTCATCTGCACAGTGTAATTGACAATTTCCGTTACATAAAATATTCATAGATCAATTTACCGATGTATAACACTAGCCAGACTAAACCAGTGTATGCGGCTCTTCTAAAATAACACTCAAATAAAAACGTTAGCGTTAGTACATTTTCATAATCCCAGCCTTGATACGATGCTCTGAATTTCATACAAACTGAGCATTTCTCCTATTCAAATGGAAAATAAGGCAATTTTTATTCATAGATACTGTCTTTTAATATACCTATACCCCTTCATTTATACGCGTAATTAAAAACAATTCATGTAAACGAACTCGAGTAATAACACACGTACTACATGCAGTCACAATATATAAAGACAGATGTTTCTGCTAACAAAAACGAAATACCATATCTTCCCATCTTCTTTATACAACGGCTGGAACTGCCTGGAAGCTAGGATTGGACGCTGAAGTGGTATAAGCATTCGTTCATGGTATCGTAAAAATATCTCGACGTTGAATTCAAAAATAAATATTGCTGTTTTTGGACGCTGAAGTGGTATAAGCATTCGTTCATGGTATCGTAAAAATATCTCGACGTTGAATTCAAAAATAAATATTGCTGTTTTATAATTTATCATGCTAGCCAGTTAAGGTAATGTACCGTTGTTTGCTAACAAATTAAACGGGCTTCGTCACCTTCGTGACGCAGTCGTTATTTCGATTCTTGTTCGGGACTAAACGTGTTAGAACTACGTAATAAAACATGCATAGGTATCACTATCAACAATAGTCTCCCACAGAATGCAGGTTTTTGCCATTCCATTCCAGAATGCAGGCTTTTGCCATTCCATCTTGCGTAATCGGAGATACCAACAGCGATTATTGAAATTGTCCAGGCTGCAAAACCGCGGCTGATTTCAAACATGAAATAGGAAATTAAATCTGTGGGTTTTCATGCCATGTCGAAGTCATGATAACACTATAGGTTTTGACGAAAACATATTTATAATAATAATGATCGATCAACCTTGTCTCCAGGGTTCTCATGGTGGTGTGTATATTATTTTTTTCAAGTATATTATTAAGAGGTTCCTATTTGTACAGTACTTTAGCAAAGAATTCTAATCAAATTGTAGTACACTACTACATTGTACCCACTGGCCCGGATATTGAAATTCAACTTGAACTTTGCAACGCCCTTTTTGAAGGTAAAAATGAGGTGTCAAGCACCCCCCCTCGTAAAGCAGTCGATGTTTTTGGGCATAAATATATTTTGGCTCTAGAACTCATTTTAACCCCCATGCCTATGCATGGGCTACGTTCGTGCTAAAACAAGTTGGCATGGCTGCATGGCTCGGACCAGAAACATCTTTATACTCAACCTCTATTGTTATATCATGAAATAAAAATGTTGAATATAAATGTTGAATATAAATGTTGAAGAGGTCTACGACATTGATCAGTTCCACAAACGTTTAAAACAGTGTGTGTAAAGTGTCATTTGTGTCGTCCCTTGTCCAGTCTTTCTGTCAAACTGTGTTGTCATTAGTTGCTGTTAACCCAGTGGAAATATCACTTTTTAGTGAGCATGTGAAATTTAAATTAAATTCCTTTTTTTCGATCCACATGATTAGAATTGCTCAGGACGACATTAAATCAAACGTCTCAGTGATTAGCGATTTTGAAGCGATATATCCACTGTGTTAACCTATATTTCAGTATTGCATTAGCAGCCGTTACCCGTAAAGGAGCAACTAGCTCTGTGGGTTAAACCCACTCTCCTCCGCAGAGTCTGAATTATATAGGATTTGTAGGGATAGTAGAGGATATTTAGTGGATCATACCTTGCGTAATTTGTCCTCCCCCCCCCCCCCTTAATATTACGCAATTTTACTAAAAATTCGT